TATTACGTGTTCCTCTTGCTCTCTTCTGTGTGCCATTGGTCTCCGCGTCGTACACGGTCGTGTCCTTGAGTTGGGCGGCATATTGGAAGTGGAGGTAGTCCTGGACGTCCTGCAGCTCCTCCATGGTGACAGCGGCCGGAATCATGTCGTTGAAGATTTCGTCGTTGGAGTCTGTCATGGCATCGCGAATGCTCTCGATGGATCTTGACAAAGCTTCGCGCTTCTCAACAAAGGCACGATACTTGAGATCCAGATCGTAGATTTCCCACAGATCGCTGTTTTGCAACAATCTCGAAGCCTTGATCTCGTGCTGCGGAGCATCCGGGTCGTTCGGGTTGGGTGACAGAGGAACACGCTCTTCGTGAATCAGGTAGTCCTTGCGATTGTGGAGGATGAAAGGGACCTCGAACTGTTCGACGTTCATGAATCGCAGGACGTGGCCAACAACGTCACGGAAAGGTTCTACCAGGTCGCGGTCCAGACGCTTCTTGGGGAGAAGAAAGTTGGAGATCCAGTGTGTCTCTTCTTGCATACGAGCATTCATCTCCTCGTCGGACAGTTCCATTTCCCTGAAGGGCTGGCGGGCGAGCTGGTAGCGTTCGGGGACATCGGTGTTGCGGATGATGTTATCGTCCTCTGTCAACATCCGGTCGGCCAGTTGCGACGGCTCGAAAACATCCTTGAGCTCAAGCGGCTTATCCAGACCTTCTTGATTCTCATCACCCTCCTCTTGTAGTTGCAAAGCCCAGTCGTACTCTGTACCATCACCAAAGGCAGCCATCATGTCTTCCTGAGCAGACTCATCCAGACCACTCTGCATGCGCAAGGGGTCGACATAGCCTCTGCCGGGTCGTCGAACTTCGGCGGCATCTCGCATGGCTTCGCGCTCCTCATCGGGGAATTCGTCCTCTTCAATAAAGTCGGCGAATTCATCGGCGTAGGCTCTGGGTTCGCGGCCGTAGGCTCTGGCATCAGCGTCGGCCATCTCCTCATCGTCACTAAAGATGTCGTCGATGCCGCGTGCTTCATTGCGGTCCCGGTCTTCGCGATGGCCACGCTTCAGGCGCTTGAATTTGCNTCTTCTGGGCATGTTAGTGTGATGGGTGGTTATGTGTATATGGCGATTGCTAGTCACCTGTTCTTCTTGACGGCGTTGGTAGTCGGGGTGTGTTTCGCCAATCAGATCCAGATCCTCCTCATCGAGCAGAGCATCCTCAGCCTCGCGCTCCTCCCTTCTGCGCTTCCTCTTTTCGCGACGGCGCTCGCGGCGCCCCTCGTCATCTTCTTCGTCTTCGTCTACTATGAAGCCTTCACGGATCTGGCTGCCTGGTTAGGGGTGACTTTCCGACGAGTCGTTTGTTGTGTATGCGCACCTCTCTCTCAGCTTCCTCATCATCGTCCTCTTCTTCCTCGCTGGAATCATCGACGTTCGCCTTTTGCTTTCTGGGACGCGGTGCCTCCTCGTCACCCTCGTACTCCTCGTCTTCTTCGCTGCCAAGCTCAGCGTCGAGATCGAACAAATTGGCAGTCGTCATGGTGGATGTGAATGGCGATGTTTTGGTGCAAGCTGTCTGGTCGGGGATTCAGGCGCGTGGTATTTGTCGGTCGTCAATTCGTGGCAGCAGCTGCGCGCTATGCAGGCAGGGGGAGAAGGGAAAGAATAGAGTTGGACAAGCAAGCGCTTTTATATGTCGGCGGAAGGAAGACCAAGTGATGTCGATGGACAGGCGAGATGCTCCTTCACCTGTACTGCAGTTGCTTGAGCGTGCCTGCCAGTCTGAAACTGCGACTGCCGTCACGGCCTTGGCGCCTTCGCCCGGCTGAATTCCGGATGTGTAGGGTCGCAACTGCCTTTGAGCTGCAAGAGGTTTTCGGGACAAGAATGGCGGTTGCGAGCAACGTTCGACCAGATTCTGATAGAATGGTTTCTCGTATATCAGCAGTACTCCCTCGGTCAAGTCAACGAGTACACGTCCACGAATCAGCAGCAACAACGCTAGACACACACCGACAGAACAAAGAGACAGACTTCGGCCGTGGAGACGTGGCTTGGCGGGCCAAGGGCGGAAGTCGGTCCAACAAGGGAATAGAAGGTCTCTAGAAGGTCGAAGCAGCGGTTTCATCCAGTCCGTTGGCCTGTCTCATCTTCACTCTCTGCCGATTGTCTCTTTGCTAGTGTCTTCTCCTGGATGCCTTCTATATAACATGCCATTTACCCGTCGCTCTTGATTACCTGTCTCTGTCTGCCGTCCGTCTTCAGTCTTTCTGCTCTCGCAATCTCCCACTCGACAATCTTCGTCCAGCAAAGCCGCCGCTTGCCCCACCCGGAACACCCCAGTCCCCTTGTTGACGACGTGCATACGCCAAACACTTGCGATACACGTTCTGATTGTACCTTGCGGACTGCCGCCCATCCTAGTCACCGCCCGATATTGATTAATTCCGCCTAGAGGGACAGCCAATCACTTTCCCGGCCTAGGGAGACAACCAAAGCTTGCCGACGAGCTGAACAAGACTCCTTCACAACCGACTCGCACACAACCACACACAGACGCCCACCATGTCGGACGCCTTCAAGACGAAGACGATGAAGCGAAAGAACGTCAAGGGTCTGGCCCTCAGCGCTCCCGCTCCTCGTCCTGCTCAACCCCTCACACCGGACGGAGATGCTACCGGTGGTCAAGAAACAGGCCGCGCAGACACACTCGAGATCGGCGTCGAGTTCAGGTTAGACCTCAAGAGCGAAGATCTCCAGGTCATCAAAGAGCTCGGAGCAGGCAACGGCGGCACAGTCAGCAAGGTCATGCACACGGCTACAAAGGTTGTCATGGCGCGCAAGATCATCCACGTCGAGGCAAAGAAGGAAATCAGGAAGCGCATCGTACGAGAGCTGCAGATCATGCACGAGTGTAACTCACTCTCCATCGTCTCCTTCTACGGCGCCTTTCTGAACGACATGGGCGATGTTGTCATGTGTATGGAGTACATGGACGTCGGTTCACTGGACAGCATCTCTAAGAACTTTGGTCCCGTGCGAGTCGACGTTCTGGGAAAGATTGCAGAGTCCGTCTTGGGCGGCCTCGCATACCTCTACCGCATGCACCGCATCATGCATCGCGACATCAAGCCATCCAACATCCTGGTTAACAGCAAGGGTCAGATCAAGTTGTGCGACTTTGGCGTCAGCAGTGAGCTCGACAATTCGGTCGCCGACACGTTTGTCGGAACGGGCACCTACATGGCGCCCGAGAGAATCCAGGGTTCGCCTTACACGGTCAAGTCGGATGTGTGGAGTGTTGGTCTGTCGTTGATGGAGCTTGCCATCGGCAAGTTCCCCTTCCACAGCGAAAACGGCGACGACGACGATCTGGCCGGCCCCCAGGGTATTCTCGACCTCCTCCAGCAGATTGTGCTCGAGCCTTCGCCCAAGCTGCCCAAGAGCGACGCCTTCCCCAAGATCCTGCACGATGTCATCGACAAGTGTCTGATGAAGAATCCCGACGACCGCCCTACACCTGCCGAACTGTTCGAAACCGATCCCTTCCTGCAAGCAGCTAAGCGCACTCCGGTCGACCTCGAGGCTTGGGCCGTCAGCATGATGGAGCGCCACAATCGCAAGTCCCATCTCGTGCCACAACTGTCTCCCCAAACAAAGCAACTGCTGCGATCCGGCGGCAGAGAGCCCGAGAACCAGCCCAGCCCGCCATCTTCGTCATCTGGTGATATCCCCATCAGCACCCAGTCCATGCCGCGCAGTTCACAACGTCCGGGCTACCCGCAGCGCACATCGAGTGCCAGTCAGGTACCCATGGCCGCCCAACAGCCTTTGAACTTGCCTATTCGCCCTGCTCCAGGAGCCGCATCGCAACCACGCTCTGCCCGTCGCGAGCCCGCACCCACCTCGAGACCCGATTCGCTATCTCGCACCACGCCCAAACGCGCCCCTAACTACGATTACTCAAACTACGATGACATTGTCTCTGGCTACTACGACACCAACAACAAGTTCTAGATGCACCTGCTCGTTTGTCCAGATCAGGAAGCACCAGCAGGGATGGCTCAGGAGTACAGAATCAGACGTGTCCGTCATGTGCGTCCACATCATCTGTCATACCACACTGGATCGAGATGTGAGCACGAAGCAAAAGAGAAGGAGATCAGATACCCACGTTTCGCGACGACACAAAACAGCAGGACAGAGAGCAAGATATCCATCAGACGTAACCCAACGGGCAGAGTCAATCGTCTCGCAAGACATTTTTCATTTGTGTTATTCCAAAGCCGCTTCTTTTTTCCACCACTCATTGCACCGGCGTTTTTCTCTTCTACTTCTCTCGGATGCACAGCAAATAGGGCAGGGCGTTTTATCACATTCAAACATGCGAGCATTAGTCTTGGAGACCTCTTTTTGCAGAAATCAAGTTTTATTTTCGTCCATCATACCTATGTCTTGTGCAGTAATGAGGAGGTGATGAAGTTTGTCTGAAAATCTCGCCCTGGTGTGATTGACCAAGCTACGATATTACTGACCTCCTTGTTCCGCTTTGCCCCTGTTTTTCTGCTCAGTCTCTACTAAACATGGCAATCTGTTTATTCGAACGTGGAGTATTCGTCGAGCTTCAACACGCCAGATATGATACTTGGTTTGAAAGGTTGTAATGAATTCTTTTTTCTCGTTATATCATGTTAACATAATAATGCTCTCGGTTCCCATAATGCATACTTGCTTTGCCCCAAACTCCAAACCCACATCATGTGTATGCCCAAAGCCCAATGTTTTGGTTTTTCTTCTCCCAGGACAGAACCAAGGAAACCACGACCATCGACCTCGTTGCTTCCATCTCTTTCATCCTAAGCCATCAATCCATGCTGATCTCATAATCATACAAATACCCTTGTCCCCACCATGACCCAAGCAATACACACCACCCCCATCCCCTCCAACGCCGAACCCTCAACCCAGAAACTCCAAGAAAAAGATAAACTCCAGAGGAAATACCTCAACGTTTAACCCCATTGACAGCACCTCTACCAGCAACCCTGAACACCGCACTGTCGACCTCAGCAACAGCCTCCCACCCATCCCCCTCCATTCTCGCAATAGTAACTCTGACTCTATACTCTCCCTGCGTCTGCACACACAACCCTTCAAAGCCCGCCGCACCCACGATTTCCTGTCTGTGTCCTCTGCCCAAAACCGAAAGATCAGAGCGGGAAGGTTCAGACACGGAATCCATGAGTTTGGAGGTTGTGAGGAGGTGGCCGGCGGGGAGGGGGATGCCGGAGGGAGAGCAGAGGGAGATTACGGCGAGCAAGTTTGTGGGGCGGGTGCGTTGGCGGGCGGTTATGAGGATGCGGGTGTTGAAGTTCGAGGAGGGGGATAGAGAGGTGGGTGGAGAGGTGGTGATGGTTAAGTTGTAAGGTGAGGAGGAAGATGTCTGTTGAGTGCGGGTTGAGGGTGTTTCGATGCGGGTGGAACTGCGACGGGGTCTGGTGATGGATGTTAGTTGAGATGGCATTGTGAGGTGAGGCAAAAAACTGTGAAGGAGTAGAGAAGTTGGTGCAAAGACATGATAAGTTAACACCATGATACCGAGAGTGCTCTTTCTCTTCGAAGTTTGTGTAACAGGAGTGAAGGCATCTGAGCATGCTTCAGGACAGGGAGGATGTCAAGTCATGTCTGAAACTCAACCCATGCTGAATCTTGCAGGAAGCACGGTTCGCAATACAACAGAACACTCCAGCCGGGCAGCACGAAAGTGGAGCATGGAAGATGATAAGAGTGAAGCGAGAAGAGATTCAAGACAACTTACTCAACACTGCGAGGGCCGTGGTCATTGCGAGCATAAGTGCGGCGTGCAACGTCTGCCATTGTGGGTGATTGATGACTTTCGTGGTTGTCTCGATTTTGGTCTTGATGTTGTCTAGCGATGCGTGCTGATCGTCGTAGCTCAAGGAAACGATCTTCTTCTGGTAATTGATGACGATTATGCAGATGCTGACGTCTAACAGATGGCCTCCGGGTCCTTGTTATATGTCCTCTAGAGAGTGTGGTGTTTCTAGTCTGAGGTGATGCCTGATCAGTATTCTGCCGTGATCGTCTAGAAGCGGTGCTATGTGGTCGAGACATTGTTGTGTAGGTGAGGTGGTGAGGTTTGACAGTGAGGAGGAAGGAAACAGAGTATGGATCGGAGTGGAATTGGCCACAACATATACGTTGTGATGGTAGGGCAAAGGCTTATGAGGCTTGAACTCAGAAATTTGGAATGCCTTTATCGAGAGCCTTCTTTCTCCATAGGTTGCCGAATACATATGTAAGGAAAGGGCCGAGCCGGTGACAGGAAAACAGCCAAACGTTGAAAACGTTTAAGGTAGTCTCTTGACTCGTACGTACCGAAAGGTCTGGAGATGAAGTGTGGTAGAGATAGCAAAAGGAGGATTGGAGATGTTGGAGCGGGGTTGTTGTCCGGTGATGGAGTTCAGCTGTAGAGGGATAGACTTTCAACTTGAATCAATAGCAGTGGACAAAGGATGGTGTTCTGGAGTAAGAAGATGTGGTAGAAGCTCAAGGCTAGAAGATGAATTGATCTGATCCAATGGTCGTTCTTTGGAGAAGACAAGGTGACTTTATATCTCATTCCCAGCCAACAGGTCCTCGAGCTTCGGTTCCTTTCAGACGGGTTGATTGCCGTCAATGTCGAGCTCATCATGCTTCTCTCTCATTGACAAGGTTTATTCATCATTTAGCGTTAGCCAGATGGTCGGGCGTCAAATCAGATGTGCCAGAAAGGGTGCCACATGAACCGACTAGACATCTCTGCGGACGACACAGACATTGAACTTGCCTGTTGCAGCGAGATCTACTGCAACCAAGAAGCCCCGGTGCAGCGCGGACTGTACCGGATCATCCTGAGCCGTTGGACTGGGAATTGAGGGTTGGGCCTCGTAAGGATGTGGTTTGGAAAGAAGTGGGCACAGGGCATAGGGAGACGCATGGGCGTTGCAGAAGGAGTCTGCAAATCAATCAAGCAGGAAAAGCGTTCGAGATTGTGCAGATTCGGTGCGTCGCATATCGATGCCGAAGTGCACCTTTCTCCAAACATCCATGAACATGGTGTCGGGTCTGCGCCATGGCGTGCTGCTAACTGATGCAGACGTCTCGGTTTGGAGAGAGGTCTGGCCTGAGCGCGGCGGTTCACTCGAGCCCGTTGACGCCAGGCGTTTGCACTCGACCAACCACAAGGCAGAACTCGCATCCTCTCAGCGCCGGGTCATCGAGGAACAGACGCCGGCCTGTGCAACGACGCGCTTCTCTCAGATACGGGCCATGCGAAGAGAATAGACATTGGCGCGCTGACGGCATTTGCATGAATCTGCCAAAAGCAAGAGAGAACCCCTGGCACCACCATCGCATGATTCCCTTTCCAGCTGGAGTGGCATCCTTCGCCAAACTATCTTTGCAACACTTCTAGACAAGGAAGTCGGCCTCTACCAATACGGCTGGCGCTAAGGTGGTGCCAAGCCCTGCGAAATAGACGACACGCCATGCTGTTCCTCAAGTCGGCACGCGCAATCTCGAAGAATCCCAGATCTGTGGATAAGCGCTGCAGATCCACGCTCGTGAGCCATGCCGTGGGTCGCAAAGGTGTGACAAATCTTGTCAATCTGAAGGAGAGGACGCATCTGATCTCAGCTCGTCGTGCCGGTACGCCGTACGATTGATGCAAATGACTTGCAGATTGCGCAGGTGCGACTGACAACAGCAGCTTTTACCGGGGAACCACGACCGGCAAAATGTATACGCATTTACATGCTGCTGTAAAGCATGCCACACCCCTCTCATCTTGCGATACCCGGCTTGCCTACGATCTTGGGACACGCTTTGCATGCAGAAAAGACGTCAAGTCTGTCAAAGCGTCCCAGCTCAGGGGCGAGGGCCGGCGCCAGCTATGCAAATCTTTAATATACGGCATTGACATCCACGGGCCCGCCCGGCACTACGTAACTTGTCCAAGCCCTTGGGCATCCTGGCCGTCTGCTTATCGCTTTTGGCCTCTAATCAGGTCTCTGTTCATTGGGATTTGTTCCAGTATGCTTCAGCGGCATCATAGTATACGAAATCAAGCCTGCGTCCCTGCTTCTAGACACAGCATGCAAACTGCGTGCAGAGCGTGCACCGGCAGTCTTCTGGGTAGAAGCCCAGGTACTTGCAACACTTGTCCACCAGTACTTCAGTCTCCTACGGCGATTTCTTAACCCATGTCCGCCAGGGAGCATATCGGAGCTTACACGCCTCGGAAACCATCTTTTCACTCATACGTCCACCGTGGCACACTCGCTAAGAAATTGACCTGTCAACTGTTACACATCTTGAACACTGCACCCGTTGTTCTTTCTGCTGGACTCTACGCCCGCAGATGCAGGTCCCAGGTACCATTCAGCACATTGGCCACATACGACATTGGAACACATGGTCGATCCGAGAATCGATTAGCGATACCACCAATGCTGCGGTCAAGATATGTTTGGGTATATCCAAAGATTCACAAGCCTGGACAGGCGTTCGGATGCAAGCCTTCCAGCCTCAACGACCGCAACCCTGCAGCAGCGATCTGTTCCGCGCAGTTGCGGCTGCTGCTAACCTCCTTGCACACGGTTCAGTACGTGTATGAGTACACAGAAATCGCGACGTCATGATGTCACAAATTTTACTGACCAGCGAGCGCAATGTGTGGTTAGACCAGTTCAGCCTTGTCTTAATGAGTTCTTTGCGCACAGTCCACGCAAGTAGAGGCAGGTATGTGCTAAATTTGGAAGCTCTAATGCTTTTAGGAAGTAGCCGCCAACCATGATAGCCTCCATGCTATTGCAACTGCCGCCATTGAATGTTAAAATCTTCGAGAAAAGATCAGGCGGTCGTTGCAAATTGGTTTCTTTTCAGGAGATGACATGCGTTGTGGGTGAACTCTTACGTGCGAACCACCACCCGAACACATTGAGACATGCGCTTGCTTTGGTCCTGCAATTATCTCGTGTATACATCGACCCAAGTATCGACATCAACTTGTTTTCCAGTACACCAGATAGACGACAAGCATATCCCGACTATGCTATTATCCGCATGCATGTGCGCGCCATATGGAAGTCATGTCCCAAGAGAAAAATCCCAAAGATCTTGAAACGCGCCACCGATCCTCCGACTCTGGGGAACTCTTACAAGACGATAATTGGTCTGTGGCGTAAAGGTGGTACGAACAGGCGTTTCCCTGCTCGGCACGGAGGCCTGATCCTCTTCGCCAGATCTTGACCGTGCTCGACCGTCGATGGGCCAGCCATCAACTTCAACCAGATAGATTGCTTGCAGCTTTGATTGCGTACGAGCATCCTGCCACCAAGTCTCCGCTTGCGGGAACATAACGCCGACGGATCCGAAACACATCTCGAACGTCCTCGTGCGTACTTTGATCTGCCTTGTCATGACCTGAGTGTTTATGAGGCCGAAAAGCTGGGTCCTGGCGCCACAGTTGTCGCGGTATCACGCACACTGGTTTGAGGTATATGCCGAAAGGATGGACATCCCACCGATAATGCTACCGGGAACAGTCATCGTGTTGCTGAGGTCCTTTACTTGTGGAGGCGCAAAGATCAGCTCAGATGTAAGGATGGGTTCTATCTTGTCGGAGCGACGACCTCAAAATGGAACCCTCAATCCAACAATCACAATCTAGCTGTGAGCGTCTGACTCGAGCCCCGTACACACGACTTGATCTCCGACTGCGAGTCACTATTGCGTATATAAAGGAGATGCTGACATACCTACCACTCATATCCAAAAGATAGTCTCCGAGCTATCATCCGGTCTAGCGAGTCGAAAGCAAGCTTGCAGCTCAGAAGTAATCCGTCGTTCAAGCTCGATGCTCAAACATGCCGACCCACAGATCACAAGTTTACCTCATAACTCCTTATTTTTCTCACTGGGTAAAGACCATACTACTTGCACACGCTTTTCACGTACCGTTTCAGAGTAGGGGATTCTCGAGCAACACAACCGATGTCTCGGTACATGTTCCGTCCCCAAGGATATTCGAGTTTGGCGGAAGTGCCTTTCCAGATTACCAGAATACCCCTTTAGGACGTTTGATGGCTCGGCTGATTCCTCTCTCCCGGCCGATCCCGCGTGGCTCCCTGCTCGTTCTGGCACGACACCTCCTGCTCGAGCAAAAACAATTTGAATATAGTACACTGATATCTTGACGGCAGGTGGTGTCTCACTTGGCACTTGACAACACGTATGTAAGCCCTTCGCATGGCGCGCTCACTCGTTGTCGAGCTGTGCCGCTTGCGTCCTGAAAGTATCTACCACACATGGAGATGTGTTGCTTGTTCAGATGAGACTCCATCACGCTTGCCGTTACGTCCCCGTCTCACTTTCTTTCTGCAAGACGGGTGATAACCAAGGCATTTGATATCGCGCATAGCTGCAAGCCGTCCGTTATATGCACATTCACCGTCCCACCGATCTCCCAAATCGCCATCTCACAAGACACAGCCTTTCAGATCTTTGGGACGATGTACGTTGCCGAGCATTTTTGCAAGCGTTGTTCCCCAGTCTCACACCTTGGCTGTCCCAAAAACTACATTAAGATATTGCAAGACAGATGTGCTGTGTCTCAGAGAGTATGCAAGCGAACATGCAAGGTCTCTCTAGCATTACATCTTGACTTGCTGGAGTATGCAGGAGCAGACTTGAAGATCTATTCCCGGGGATGTTTTGTGACAGAAACTCCACGTGCGGTGGCTAGATCGTGCCTTGATGACTCGGAATTTCTGACTCTCCAGTTCTGTGTAGCTTCGCGTACAAGTGCTCTCGAAAGACGAAACTGAGCTACTGTTACACGAGACCCTGAACTTTTTGTTGAAGTCAGGACTCAAAGGTTGTGATTGGTGATCTCATCGCATCAACAATATAGCGTGAAGTTTTGTATTGTCACGATGACCCTCGACAATCAGGTATACGGTAATGAAAGGGAAAACACAAAACTCTCTGTACACACGGAAACAGCACAATACAAGGAAGGAGCAAAACCTTTATATGCAAGGGAAGGTACCACTTCCTTTTCTATATAACAATGGAACACCTTCTTCTGTTATACCAACATCTCCACCATCGCAGCCATACACCGTGTGGAGCAGTCTTGACAAGACATACATTGTTCTGCTATCGGTGGCCACATTTTAGAACGTAAAGAAAAGGAACGCATCGACAAGTGTTAGCGAAGAATTTGCGGAGGTCGACAACGTCTTACTAATAATTACTACTCGCACTCCGAAGGCATCTCTACTCATATTACGGAAGTACTGCAACATCATGACTATAAGTAACGCGCTATCACGAGAGTGCAGATAGGGGAAGTGGACGTTCGAGACCTTAGAAACGATGTCGGATTGACCTTCGAGTAAACTTATAGATGACTTGAGAATGTATAGTCCACACAGAATAGACGCGAGGCATTGTTGATTGAGTGATTAAAGGAAGACTGTTAGTTACAGTCATGGTTTTATTATATTCTCTCTTCATGAAATGGTGAGAAAAGAAAAGAAAAAAAAGAGAAAGAAAAGAATTGGGATATACGAAACATCTCTCACCATGATCAGTTCCAATACTTTATCTTTTACAAATGCAGAGTGCCATCGATTTCTGCTGCTGCGTCCAACGAGATACTACCTGTCATCTTATTACTTCTCCCTGTGCAACTTTTCCCTGTGTCCAATTTAGTCTTGCGTGTAGCTGTGACAATGCACAACCTTGTTAGAAACCAGAACGCAATCCACTGACAGCGCTCATCTTCTCGCCTATCCTTGGACTCAATCCCATACCCAAAAGGAAGTCAAGTATTGTTTGATTTCTAGAAAGCTCCGCGACATCATGGCGGCAGACAGCGCAAATCCTGCTGCCTGAATTCCGCGTGCCAGGTGTCAAGTTTTGCTAGACGGGTGGACGCGGTTTAAATCAAAACCCGCCATCTGTCAAAGAGCGACACGCTCACTGTATAACATCGTTCCAATGTACTTTTAAATTCAATCATCCGAACTCTTACTCATACATTGGGATAAAAAGTCGCAAACATGTATACCGGAAGCTGTTTCTGCAAAAAGATTACCGTCGAGCTGAGTGCCGAGCCACAAGTCGTCGTGAGTCCTACCTCCAAACACTCATCTCCGCATATATAGATAGGTAAACTGACGACAAGAGAACCAAAGGCTCTGTGCCACTGCACTGACTGTCGCAAAATGTCCGGCTCGGTGTATAGCTACAACTTCATCGTTGGTGCCGATGACTACAAGATCTCCGGCACACCCGAAGCAACAGACAAAATCGCAGATTCGGGAAACAAAGTCAAGAACTACTACTGCAAAGACTGTGGTATGTCAACATTGCTCTCAAGCTTGAGATTATAGATGCTAATTCTCGATGTTTANGGAAGCCCTCTGTACGGTGGTGCAGTAGCGGAAAGTGGTATTATTGAGAGAGTGGTCATCAATGCAGGTATCTTTGATGATGTAAGGGAAATACAAAACCGCAAGCCTTCGGTGGAGATCTACGTTGAACAGAGGTTGGATTGGGTGAAGCCTGTTGAAGACTGTGCGCAGTTGGAAGGTATGCCTTCTTAAGGCGTACGCATCACTCGCTCGGATCCTTAGTCAAGGACCGCAAACTTCACTCTTGGGACATTTTGGATACATATAAAACAATCAATCTTGATCTATGACCTCTCCCTCCAAGGTCTGAAAGCCAGACTCATCCAAAGATCTCAGAGAAGACGGTCATCCACACATTGCGCAGAACTCTCACAGCTAAGCTCTTGTTGACGGGATAGCACCGGCACAGGCCAGCAGATCGACAAGGTGCCCGACGCGAGGGTTAGCAAGCGGCTCTCTTAGTCGCAGCTGATTGCCTTATGGTGTTGCAACAACTCAAGGTTATGCATCAACGTGTAATAAGCAGAAGTATAGAAAGAAGGTACTGTGGCCTGATTGTATTCTCCTGACGCATAAGGAGGCCTGACCAAGAATCCATTCTCCCTGTTCTGAACACTATGAACAAGCACAATCGTCTCCAGAGCCAGTTGCACGTATAGAGCGATGTCTACGATTTGGGATATACTGAACAAAAGAAAGGTATCATCATGCCTTAACCCCTGAAGAGCTAACACTGACAGCACTGTCAGCGGCATGGCCATTCAACTCTAGATCGGTCACAATCTTCTCCCAAGCTTCGGCACCACGGCGAGCGTGCTCTGCGGGTGTCTCAGGGCTGGGATCCGCCATGGAGCGATTAAACAACTCAAAGCTCAGCCATCCACTATAGCCCAAGTCATGCAATATGGCCTTCAGGATCTCACGAATGGGTAGATATGCACCGCGATCTTGTTCCCCGTAGAAGAGTCTGCAATTGCGCGACCATGACATACGAGCGGGTTGCTCTGGATCGTAGAATGGATGTCCCTCGATCAAGGGTGAAGACAACCTCTCGGCATCGACGACTTGAACGAAGAAGAGCTTGTCAGGGCGAACAAGCTTTGCAGCGATGGCTGCAGCTAGATCCGCATCTGCAGTTGCGCGCTTGCCAGATGGTTGAGTAGGATCAGCGTAGATGCGACCAGCAATGTTGAAGGTATCGAGGCATAGTCCAAAGTTAGGTCTGTCCACCGCGGACACAACTTCCCAGCTCTGCTCCCAGGTCGAGCAGTGTGTACTCCAACATAACGCTTCGTATGCAAAACGGAGAGGTGGGTTCTGTGCTGCACCCAGGTCGGCAGCCTCTTGGAGATCTGCGACAATGACTGACATATCACCAGTGCATTCAGACTCGGGTAGGAAAGTTGCAGGAATGGCAATCATATCTGTGTGCAGTGCATGTGCGAGTTTGAACCAGAGTTTCAATTCTTCGATCCGCTCAGCATGCTTTTGGCGGTCGAGAAGGCCATCGTAATGCATAAATGGTTGGAGGACGATAATGCTGAGATCACGTTCCTTGCACATGGAGTAGATGTCTTCAGCAGCTCGTAATTGATTCTCTGGTGTTTCGCCTCCTGGGTACTTTTTGGCGTGATATACCAGATCTTCGTAAAAGATTTCGACACCAGTGTAGCCGTGCTTTGCTGCTTGGTCGAGCTTTGGTTCCATATCGTGCACCCAGGCACGGCCGAGGGACATCGTAGAGATGCCTAGTTGGTGTGACATGATTGTGGTGGATGCAATATGGCTCAAGGAACGAGGAGTAGGTCGCAGAGGATGATCGTTGATTGTTTAAAGGAGCAATAGACAAGAGTGTGGCAGAACAGTAGGAAACAATGATGGAAGTTGTGATTAGGTAGCACCTGCCTCTGGAACGAAGTGCCACCGAGCTTGTCACGATCGATGGTTGGGGAGTTCTACTCACTCGTCAGATTCAGCACAGGTAGATCATAAGAGCCGTATCGGCCATCCGTGATCCATCTCGATTCTCGACAAGTACAGTTCAAAACAAGCAAGCGCGAATGACCTGGGCTGGTGAGGAAGCGGGTAAGAGACGGGCCGACTATATCCGCGTTGGGAGTCGTGACCGTGCCGAACAGAGCAACCGCGAGGCCCCCACGTTGGAGACCCCTCTTCTTCGCCAGCACTCCATGGAGAGAATCACCGCCTCAATATCATATTAGGGCTATCTTTGGGGCGGCACCAACAGCCGCTGCCAGCGGTATCACGATTCCGCATCCGCCAGACGACACCGATTTTGGCGGACGGTTTGCTTGCGACTTCGGTGATGGCTGATAGCTTGGAAGAGAACCCGGAAGTATAAAGAGTGTTTAGACGTCTAGTGTGGGACGCACGTTGAAGACACAATTCTTTGCCACGGGCTACGTGCATCGGACGTGGCCGGTCTCTTGTGGTCGGGAATATCATACACTAAACATGGAGTGTCGAATTGCACACAAGAAACATCGCGAAGTTGAAAATACAAATCGTTATATACATTGAGCGAGTAGCTGGTTCTAGGGAGATCATCTAAACGGCGCTGTCTTCGACATGAGCAACTTTGCTCTTTTCGAGACTGAGGCCAGCACCTTCGGCATCCTCGCGGAACTCTGCCTCGGCTTCCTGTACCTCGCGTATGACGATGGCGTTGGCCTTGCGGCAGGGTTTGATCTCGAAGAGTCTGTTCATGGACTCCAGAGGAACGGACTTGGTCTCGGGGATCAAGAACCACACAAATACGACGGAAAGCAACATCATGCCAGCAAAGAAGAAGTAGACACCACATCCTGACTTGCCCATATTGGCAAACATCTGACCAGTGAATCTGGCGATGATGAAGTTNNCTGACAGATGGTTAGCATGTTGTTGTGTGTTGCATGTTGAATCTAAGAAGCTTACCCAGAACCAGTTGCTAGCCGCGGCCATAGCCTGACCCAAAGAACGAACGTTCTGCTCGTACATCTCCGAGTTGATTACCCAGGGAGTACCGTTCCACGATGGGGTATAGAAAGCAGTCCAAAGGTAGAAGAAAAAGACGGCGGCAATGCCTCCAGAGGAAAGAGGCTTGGCAACAGCTAATGCAGCCGCTGAGGTGTCGACCAGGGGACTGGCAAGGTAACCACCAAGGATGAGCATGCACGAAGCACCGCCAATGGCTCCAACGAGAAGCAAATTACGGCGTCCGAACTTGTCGATCAGGAAAAACAGCCAAATCAAGGTGAAGACGGTCTTCACGACACCAAACAGACCAGTAGTGAGGAAGGAGGTGTTGCCACCAACGATACCCAGACTCTTAAAAACTGTAGGCGAGTAGTAGTTGATAGCGTTGATACCAGATCCGTTCTGGAAAATGAAGAGCGTGGTACCGAGGAAGACGCGCCACTGAAGGCTGCGGCTCTTGAAGACAGCCTTGAAGGGGTCGAAGAAGCCGAGACCAACAGATGATTTCTGGTGTTCGAGAGCGGCCTCGATGAACGAGATCTCCTCAACGATGTAGAAGTTGTCGGCAGGGAGGTTTCGGATCCATAGCAAGTTCTTTAGACCTTGCTCTCTCTTGCCCTTGGAGAATAGCCAACGAGGAGACTCCTTGAGCCAGATAGCACCCACAGCGAGCAAACCACCAGGAATAAGCTGCACGGCGAAAGGAATGATCCACTGCTTGTGATTGCTAGGTAATGTCTCGGAAATTCCGTANNCTGGGAAAAAGTCAGTATTGATTAATCTGCGACGCTCAATTATACGTACGTTGATCCAGAAACCGACAAGGCCACCAATCTGCCATCCCAACTCGTAGATACCGACCAGACGACCTCTGACGGCAGGGGNGGCAATCTCGGAGATGTAGATGGGGACAACCATGGAGGCACCACCGACACCGAGACCAGTGAGGACTCTACCGGCATAAATTGGAGCGAGGTCACCGTTAGCGGCCTTGAGCATGATACCGGCACCGATCATGAAGACAACGACGTAGACCCAGAGAGACTTTTGGCGACCGAGGTAGTGAGCGCTGATGTATGCACCGAGCGCACCGAAGAAAGCTCCAGCTTGGTAGACCGAGACGATGTTCTCCTTGATGAATGTGACCTCATCCTTGGGCAGTTTGGTCCAACCAAACTCCTTGGAGAACGAGGGAAGTGCCAGAGTGGTTCCAATAAAGGCAGAATCATAACCTATCATGCAAGACGCGAACGAGGCCACAGCAGCGCAGGCGTAAACACGCCAGTTGTAGACCTCTTTAGGCGTAGGCCTGTCTTCAACAAGAGTGAGGAGACCCATTGTGAGACTCTGACAATGGAGGATGGATAGAGAGGGAAGGTCGTAACGGAGAGAAGAAAGAAAGAAGATGTTGGGGAAACAGGCGGCCTAATATAAGGGCTGGTAACGATCTGGGGCTCCGCGGGGTAGGTCCAATGCAGATACTATCAACGTGGAACGAAGCAAGGTGAGGGAAGGTGCGCGATCCGGATCCTGGTTTGCTGACCAGCTCGAAGGAATCGATCAATTTTTCTCCAGGCCCCCATGCCGTTTCGTGAGCCCTGACATCCATGTTCCCCAAGGTTATGCCAAGCGACATGGCTGAGATTTACCCCCGAACCTTGAGCAGACGTGGAGACACTTTTCGCCTCTGTTGCGCCGATCTCGGTTGGCCAGGTCGCGGTAGAGCTCCTCGGCAAAGGTCTTATCCGACACATCCTCGGTGGCTGGTATGCACACCCTGTGCATATACTGATGTTTTTGAGACCATACTAGAGCTCTGGGTTGGACTACTACCTGGAGTCACGTTCCTCGGAGGGGAATCATAACGAATGGAGCTCGTTCTGGAAGGTTATCGTTGTGGGAGGCGCGTCTCATTGAATGAAGAGCAGTTATACTGAAGTACCTAGTGTCATGTGTGGGTGTGAATACCCGGAGCCGAAGCTGCGGATGCGGACCGGGGTGAGTGACGTTGAGCGCTGCAACTTAATAAATTATAGCCAAGAACGACGTCCGTGAACACGACAAACCACTGTGTCTACCCACAAACCCTCCTATTCTAGCACCCGACATTGCTTACCGTCGTCTGTAGCTCGCGGGGTAATTTGCTGACCAAATTGAAGCTGACGACTGGCATATTCTCCAACAGCTTGAGACACCTTCCTCGAAAGTTCTTTTGAAGCTGTACTTCCAAAAATTTATCCAAGATCAAGATTAACAACATGAACAACCAGCGTGTCATTTCTTGCGAGACTCCTGCTCACGATCATGTCGAGCGCTGTGGCTATCTATTTGGATGGCCCATCAACCACTCGATGTCGCCCTTGATGCACAAGACCATCTTTGGCGAGATTGGGTACGACTGGGAGCAATTCTTCTTACCATCAACCGACATGTCAATGTTTCTTTCATTGGTTCGCGAGGTCAAATTCTTCGGTGAGTCTCTCAAACATCTGATAGAGCACAATATAATGTTTGAACGTACCGAGCTATGAGCATGATCTGACTTGTATGCAATCATAAANGGCGCCTCCGTTACCATGCCCCACAAAGTGGCCATTATGAAGCACGTTGATGAGCTTACGCAAGAAGGTCGTGAAGTCGGCGCTGTCAACACATTATACCTGCGCAAGAACGGCGATAAGACAATCCTCGTCGGCACAAACACAGATGTTATTGGTATCCGTGAGGCCTTCTACCAAAATATCTCGAACCCGGATGAGATCTTCCATGGCAAACCTGGTATGGTCATTGGAGGTGGTGGTGCTGCTCGCAGCGCTGTCTATGCACTGAAGAAGTTCATGAAGTGCAGCAAGGTGTACATTGTCAACCGTGACAAAGCCGAGGTGGATGCTGTGGTATCATGGTGTTCGGAACAGGGCTATGGTGATGGTGTTATGCACGCTGGGACTGTTGAGCAAGCACAGGAACTCGAAGGACCTGGTGCTATAGTCTCCTGCGTACCCGACTTTCCTCCTGTCACCGAAACTGAGAAGACCGCTCGCCAAGTTATGGAAGTGTTCTTGGGAAAACCCCACAAGGGTGCCATCCTGGAGATGTGTTACCACCCGAAGACTTGGACCCAGATCGCTGAGATCTCTCAAAATGCTGGCTGGAACGTCATTTTGGGCACAGAAGCTATGATTTACCAAGGTCTGGAGCAATCGATGTACTGGACTGGAAAGACTTTGGATCAGCTGCCAGTTGCAAAGGTCAAGGAGGTAATCGCAGCGCAGTTGAAGCAAGGTCATTGATGACATTCATCTGGAGTCGTAGATGTGGATCATGTAATTTATATTCATATATATTGCATCCTCGTTGGAGAGCACCCATCCCTGGCGTCAAGACCCGGAAGAGTCAGAGTCCCGAAGGAAGAGAAGGCTACATTTGTCATGGGATCATGTTAAAATAGGTCGTAGTGTGAACTTACTGCAAATATGGCTAGTGAGCCAGTCTTTTATAGAGTGGTCGTTTAGCGCAATCCTGAAGATCGTGCTTCCATCGTCAAGGCTGTAATCCGTGAAACTGGCTCATTTTCGCAGAGCAACCAAAGCGAATCGGACATGCACTGTTCGAGCTCCCAATAGCAAGACGATCAACGACGAGATTGTGTACGTGACACTAGTGGCAGATATCATGGTAAGACGACCAACACGTGGAGTGTGAAGCATCGCTGGACTGAGAATCCGTATTGCGAATCCTGATGCCGTCCTCCGGTGCCGTAGCTTCGGATGTCAATTCGGCAGTGTCTTCTGGTTGCGGTGAGCACGAATATCCGTAACGAGTCGACATACGTAGTCGAACCTTGCTGTAGGTCTCGGACGTTCCAGGAGAGAAGAGCAAGTGCTTTTTCTCGTCGGAAGCGGGTGCAGCCACAGCTGTGGACGGTGATGAGCAGACTCGGTCCTGATCCGCCTAGGGATCCAGGTCTGTGACTCGCTGGGACTACCCACGCTAAGGTAGTTGCGTAGCAGCCCCTCATCTGGAATAACCTCCTGATCAATGATCGTCTTCTCTCGCCAAACTTGCCCAATAACGTTACCTCTCAAGGACGTGGCGTGGAATGGGATTGGTTCCCATAAAGAACAACGATCGAGGCTGGGCGATGACAAAATCCGACATCGCTGGAAGATGCAAGATACCACGGTCCGGGTAGAGAAGGGCGGATGATGGGAGCCGGAGTGTCTCGACTCGTTCATCGCAAGGTTGCTCGATGCTCGAAGCATGTCTCTTTGTGACTGCTTTGTTCGGAGCCTCAAGGATCGCTCAGACTTCTGATGCGTTAGTCGGTCTGGATCGAGCTCTCCGAATAGCGTTGAGCTCGTGTATTTATTGCTGAGCTGGATCTGGTCGCGTGTCTTGATGCTTGACCACAGCTCTTGCCTGCTGCCACACCCTCCGCTCAGGGACGATACAGCGGGCGCAACAACGGAATCTGGCCACGACATCGTTTCATGGGAAGTCCGGGTTCCATGTGTTAGATCGGCCAGGGTATTGGAAAGGATCATGAGTCTTGACGCAAGATTTCATCAAGTGTCCATCCATCCAGAGTTGCAGTCAACATCCAGTTTCGGCAAAGCGGTTGACAAGGCGTCACTGGATCCAACATCAACAATCAGCAGTATATTCATTCCAGCATCAACCAGAATTCATGGAATCTGATTGTCTCTCCAAAGTGCAGTGAACAGCCAGAAGGAAGAAATGTCCAGGATAGATGTGAGTCGGAATCTGCATGCTCCCTCGCCAAGAAAGGTGAGGTCGTCGCGTGGCCGGCACTTGCACTTTCGTTTCTCGGATGCTTACCACCTTCCGACTTCTTTTGTCCACTCAACATCGAAGCACTCACGTCGACGCCTCTCATGTGAATGGAGGCCATCTCTTATGAGATCGATACTACTCGGAGCAGGACCAACGTCTCCACCATCGAGCTCACTCAAAGTCCATCCTGTCGTGCTTGGCGCGTCCTGCTCTTCCTCGCACACGATGCGCGATTGGATGCTTGCACCACTTTGTAGCCTCGTCTTTCTTCTTGTCAGCAGTCTAATAGATCTATAGGCTTCCTAGGTGGACTTCCGGACATTTACTCGCCAGTATCTTCGATACTATGGCCGACTTGCACTCGAAGAATTGGTCACCTTGTTGCTTCGACACTAACCTGCCATTTTCGCGGTACCTACATATTCTATAAATTTAGCATTCCAAGTACGTACGGCCACAGTCAGCTGAAAACTGGGCATCCCGTCCGCTCTGCCATACATAAGCAGTTGAACGGCAGATTAGTACTACGGTGGGTGACCACGTGGGAATCCCTGCTGCTGTACGTTTTGCATACTTTTCTGCATATCTCTTACTCTTCTTTCTAGCAAACGCATCGAATGTGTGTAAGCTATTGAGATGCCCGATCTTTTTGTGCAGCGTATCAGTACGGTATGAGAAGAAGCAAGTAAGCGGTCAAGGCTCAAGCATACGTTCCTGCTGACGAAGAGATCGAGAAGTACAGGCTTAGCATGACTGTACCAGCGTTCTTTGTAGACTCTGTGTTGGCCAGTCGGATCCACAAGGCCTCCACGAGGATCGATCTCTGCGGTCGTCGTACTTGGATCTCGAGATTCCATTGCTAGATCGTCAATATGAGCGATCAAGAATCTAACGTGGCGAGATGCACAGCGATATTTCAGAAGGTCGCAGTGTCATCCCTGCCTGCACTCGCAGCCAATCGTCCTCCCTATCTACACACCTGGCCAATTCACGATACGATCCTGGTCTTTGTGCTGCTCCATCACAAACATCCTCGTGCAGGTCGGATATCGATGATTGTGGTGCCAAGACTCAGCTTAGGCATAGCATGAAAGAGACCTCTTAAGTTAAACGTTAGTTTCCCAATGTGACTCAAGACCTACTTCCACCACAAGCAACATTGGATATCTTCTGTCTGGACTTCACAGATGCGCCAAGTCTCGACTTCACAGACGCACTAAGTCCAATGCCAACTGGCAAGCCTACAGAACAAAGTGGACAGGTCCGTACCCACCGATCCCTTTTATGCTTCTTCCCAGCCAGGAGGAAGACCCAGATGTCTAGGTTTGCTCGCTGCGATGGTAAGCAAGATCGAGAGAAGGGGGATTATAGACCTTGTCAATTTATCCCTTCTCCTTTTCCATGTTCAAGATCAGCAATGTATCAATATATTCATCTAGCTATGTTGTGTAGTAAGGTCCAACCCACAACAGCATACTCGCGGCGCGGCAGCCAGATGTGAAGCTTTGGTGCAGAAATGATGAGCGTGGAAAGATATGAGAGTAACTATCATCACCGCCCTGTTGAATCGTGAGGTAACTCGTGGTGTCTGGTCTTTCGTTCACCCTCAACACTCATTGTGAATGGACAACCACACGTGAGGTTAAAAGCAATAATCCGTCTCAGTGATTTTGTAGAACATGCTCGCATGATCTCGGAAACGACACAGTTAAGTGGACTCAATGCGAACCCACCTACTCGAGTATGATAGAGTGACATTTGTCAACACTCTAGCGCACGATCCATAGGTAAAAAATGGCTTACGGTGGTACTTCGCAGGAAAAGATATGGTAGACAGTACGACCAGGGTGACACACCCGACTTTGTCCCTGGAACCAAAAGACAAGCGTTACAAACACTTATCTCAGTATTGCAACACGAGACAGCAGTTCCTAGCTCTAGTGGGTATACCCTGGTTCTCAACATGGAGATATCGCACGCACGAGTGGAGCTATAAAAGCAGTCCTATTTGTGACAAGCGCTTGAGATTCTCGCATCAACACCATGTCCACAACTGCACTTTATTGTGTCTAATCATTGTATCTACCACCCGGAGTGTGGAGTAAATCACCTTATTGTCCTGTCTCAAGGTTGGTGGTAGCTCAGGAGCATAGATGAAGACATCGGGTCAATGATCTAAGCACAGGCATTGTGCATCTTCACCTCACAGGGCTGTGCCTGTCTCTTTTCTGATCTCACAAGTCTTTCAACTTCCAGAGGGCTTAGAGAGAGACACTGTCACCAGAAGGGACATTAACCTGGCCTCTTATCGTGCTTGCTTCCACATGTAACTAGAATATAGTATGATGGTCGATTTGGCATCTGACTCATCTGGCTGCATCTCTGACAATGCCCCTACTGTACGTATATCAAGCACGCCAATGAGATAGCGACAATGTACTGAGCGGTGCAGAATAACAGAAAGTGCATTGGATTCTATTGTTGCCTTTTCCCATCTCATCAAGTGAACTTCTCTGCTCGTAGACTCTCCTGATACTGTTTATTCTGCTTCTCTTTGCATGTATACATTAGACCACATTCAACCATCCGCACTTTTTTTCGCGATCGCCAATGCTCCCAGATCAAGAAGGCAAAACACAGCCGATTTCATAACCAAGCAAAACCTCGGTACTCGCGCCTTCCCAACCTCTGTTTCCAGCGGTACTGATCATAAACCTACATGCCGGATCCATATGTAAAGCGGAGATAACACCAGTACGATGGCCAGGCACGATCAGGAAGGGGACGGTAGAGCGGGTGTTTTCGATATCGCGGAGGTCGTAGAGACGGAGGATATCGTAGGATGCACTGTTGCAACGTTAGCTCTCAGAAATCATGAAGCAGAAAGGGAGAGGGGTGCGAATGAGATAAACTTACCAAATCAGATGACGGCCATTGGGCATCCCCCTCACTGCACTGACCGGACCGCTTCCACCAGGGAACTTGAATGTGCGCTGTGGCGTGGCCATTTGGAAGCCTTTGTGGAGGGAGTATTCCTCAACTGTGCCGTTCCTTCTACCAGCATAGATGCTGTTGCCGTCGACGGACCAGCAAGCACCCATGCACCATGGAGGTACGCCAGTGGTAGGATGAACGATAGCGATTGGGGAGGAAATTCGTTGATCCCAGATGCGAAGGGTGCCGTCGATGGAGGCGTCGAGAAAGGTCGTGGATGAGGTCTGGGGTAGCTCGTCTTCTGTTGTATTAGTGTGAGTGCCGTTTGTGAATATCTCTTCAGCATGAGGGCTTCCTGTCGATAGAGGATCAGGTTGATCTGCAGTGAATGTGTCGGGTTGTGTTTGTGAGGTGGTGGTATCCATGGGATCCTGGAGGGCGGTGGAAGTGTCTTGGGTTGGCTGGACAGGACCTCCTGCGTCAAGCATTTCTGTATCTTCTGACTGTTGCAAACCCGAGGCTATCGCTTTTGCGAAGTCATCATCATCGTCAAAGGCATTGTTGTTATTGTTGTTGTCGGCATTGATGTTGTCGTCGCCAAATAAGGAACCGTTGTCATCGCCGAACAAGGAGCCATCTGGCGAGCCTGCCGCATCTTCTGTCCCGTTCTGGCTGTTCTTGCTCCCTCTTCTTTCTTCTGGAGCGGAGACGCCATTCGTAAGTGGTTTCGCGGCATTATTGGACGAGAAGGTCGAGCTGGGAATTTGCGTGTCTTCGGCGACATGAGGGACAGGTAGCGATGATTCGGGTCGGCGTTCGAGGGCCGAGATCTGGCCTCCACTGCCTACAAATGAGCGCTTGACTTTGCCCATGTTCAGATCCCAGTCGAGTATTGTCTTGTCCCAACTTCCCGACAGAAACGAGTATTCATCTTGCGCAAGACTCAGGACCGAGACTGCTGAAGTGTGTTCGCGTAATGTCGTAATCTTTGTGCCAGCCTGATGACGGCACGTTTGTAGATTGATTGCGCCGGACTCGAGGCCTGACAAGAGCCATGTCGCTTGGTGTTGAGTGGCCAGGGAGTAGACGGGTGACGAGTCCTTGGGTTCTTCGGCAGATTGAGCAGGCGGAGTACGCACTGATGTCTCTTCGTTCTCCCAGTATGTGGTCAAGCTGCCGGCCTTCATGACGCTGTCGACAAAGGGATGTTTTTGCGCCACTGTCAGGGGCACTTTTCCATTTGCTGTTTCCACCCAGTTGTACATGCGGATGTATCCATCAGAACCACCGCTAAAGACCCATCGCATGTCTGGTGTTGCCGTGACGGCGTTTATCGATGTACTCTGTGGTGCTGCCATGGTAGGCACAATGTCGTACGTAACGGCATTGATGGCTTCTTGCCGTACCGAAGGCCACGGTAGGTGCGTGCTCGGCGATTGATGTGCAGAAGGACGAGGTGACGGCGATGTCAGCATAACGGTAGGGTTCGGCGGTCGTGATGTCGAGGGAGAGGCTCGACTCTGGCGGCGCGATTGTGATGGTGATTCTGCGTCTCCGTCTGCGTCGCCCTCATCGTCGTCGTCTTGGTCGCCTTCGTCATCTTGATCGTTGTCATCGTCGTCGCCCTCTTCTTCTCCCTCCCCTTCACCCTCGTCTTGGTCATCTCCTTCGTCGTTCTCGTTGTCATTGTCGTCCATGTTCTCGTCTTCATCCTGCGACTCGTCCCCTGACCCTGTTATCTGTCAGTCTCCTGTGTTTGGCTAGGCTCGACACGAATACCCACCTTCTATCGGGTCGTCATCCTCAAAAGACACCATTCCGTACAAGAACTCCTAGCAATTGTCGCTACTCCCGTTTCACCATGTACGTCAGAACTTGTCGCAAACGCTAGCAAACAAGGTAGATGCTATCGCGTAGATATCCGGATCCAGATGAGCTGGTAAAGCTATATTGCTGGTATGTATATTGTATATGTCCAAAGGTGTCGCGAATGTCTCGATACACAATTCAATGTCCATCGCGACCAACGCGGAAGTCGCGCCGCCAGGGTCATTTTGTGGGGATCCCGAGGTTTATCCATTAGTATCGCGACTCTTTCGAGCCTCACCCTTGTTCCTTCTTCTGTGGCCAACAATTGTATGCATACATCCGATAAGTAATACATCTAAAGCCCTTGAAGATCCAGCTGTGATGTGTGGAGTCTCCTCTAAGCGTATACTGGAGTCTTTGCAAGGACTCCATTGGTAGGAATACAGTTTTGTCTCTCAACCAACAAATACGGTAGGTATCTCACCTCTTGACTGTATATTATTTGATGACTTCTGAAGTCACTCACGGTGTCGATCCATGTTTGCCTAGGAGTAAAGAGATCGAAGATGGCAAGTACGTTTCAAGCTCGACTACTGCACCTTCCCGCCAGGGACTCAAACGACTGCAGCAAGGCGCCTATCCACGCGTCGAACTCTTCATCTCTCCTGCACACACGACTGCCCTTTCTGCTACTATAAAAAGTCACGATTCAATCCACAAACCAGCTCTACCCAGGGAAATTCCTGAATTTTCGTTCTCTCAGTGGAGAAGCTCAGTTTCGGCACAAGTCTCTGCATTTTCACAGTTCGACACTCACACCGCGCAGCCAGCAGAGAGAGCAAATTCACGCTCAGATCGTCGCCGACCCTTCTAGTGCTCCTTCCAAAAGTGGCTCCTGCTCAAAACATCAAAACAAACTCACCTCTCTCTACGCCCACAGCCGCCTTGCCAACCATACCACTCACTCATCATTACCACAACCATGAATTGCCTTCCTCACGAGGCTATTATTCATAGCTACTACCGTGATGCCGTCCCGAAGAACACTGACGACGAATGGATCTTCCATCCTGAAGTCCCTGACGCACAGGAGATGAGCCGCACCCTTATGAGCGACGATCCTTGCGTCCCTGAGAATCAGATCAACGGCAATTGGTCCTCTAGAGAGGAGCATCTAGCTGCGCAGTACAGCTTCCTACGCGAAGAATCCACCTTCGCTCTGCGCCGCGCCATTAGTCTGGTCCGCGAACAACCTCACCTGTCAGAGCTGGAGCACAGAGTAGAGTCGCCGGGCCTTGGAATCTACGANAAAGGCAAGTGCATTTCACTTCATTTGTTTCTACGTGACTAACGAAATCAGGCATTTGCCACGGGCATTACTTTGTGCACTCGTGGGCTCGGAATCAGAATGTGCTTCTCAATCTTCCGCGCTGGCGTGACAATCGACTGGAACACTTCAAAACGACTCAAGGCTGGTTCTCTCCTTGCTCTATCTCCCACTTCGGACAAGTTCCAGAAGCAAACTACCATCGCAGTTGTTGGCGCTAGACCCATGGAGCTTCTCAACGAGAGTACGTCCGAGTAGTGTGTCACAAATGACCTAGTGCTGACCATGCGAAGANNCCCTCCTAAGATCGATATTTTCTTCCCACGCGCCGAGGAAACCATCTTCGACCCGGCCGTGGAGTACATCATTCTCGAGGAAACATCCTCCTTCTTTGAGGCCCAGCGCCACAATATGCTTTCCCTACAGCGCATGACCAGGGAGAACACCCCTCTCCAGGATTACATCATCTCGCCGGTCGGTGAAGATACCAGTCCACCTATTGACCTCATAGACCTTTCCAATCAAGTCGAGTGCCTCTCGTTTCTCGACCAGCAGGCTGGAAAACACCCTGTCAATGTTCCCAACTATGTTCAGGAGGAGCCTGTCATGGACCTCAGTTTCGCTACAAATGAGGCCTCCGACTACCAATGGGACGTTGTCAGCCGTCCTATGCCTAAAGATGCCGCCATGCTTGACGAATCGCAGATGGACGCTCTCCATCAGATACTGACCACGGAACTTGCCTTAATTCAGGGCCCTCCTGGTACTGGAAAGACACACGTCTCGGTCATGGCTCTTCGGATCATGCTGCGCAAGATGGAGGATCAGAGGAACAATGCTAGACCTGGCGTGGTAGTTCCTCCGCTCATCGTTACCTGCCAAACTAACCACGCACTTGACCAGTTGCTCCGTCACATCGCTGAATTTGAGGATTCTTTCATCCGTCTCGGTGGCCGGTCAGCCGACACGGGTGTCGTCAAGCGACACACGCTGTTCAACATTATGGAGGATCTCAAGGAGAGCAACCCAAGCGCGCTCAAGGAGCCAGCTGGTCTTCGATTTGCGAGAACCAACATGAAACTTATGGAGAAGGACTGGAAGCGAGTGCTCACACCCCTCGATGCAAGCGGTCAAGCATGCAAAGCTATGGATGAAGATTCTTTCAAGGGACACCTCACTCCTCAGCACATTGACTCTTTGAAGAACTCCAGATGGACAACAAGTGCCGATGCCCCTGAGGTTCCTGCAATCGTCAAATGGCTCGGTTCAGATGCATCGCTGACATCCAGCGACAGCAATTGGCCTGCTGATCAAGAATTCGGCTTCGAAGAATTTGAGGAAGAGGAGGAAGAGATTGATGAAGCCACTGCCGAGAAGGCCAAGCAGGATGATGAGATCGAAAAGCTCCGAGGATCGTTCATCCCTCTTCTTGATTGCAGCGTCTTGAAAGCCACCTCCATCAAACACCTGACAGAGAAAGACGTCAAGAAGATTTTGACAGCCAGCAAGTTCACTGACCTCAATAAGGTGCCTCCTCAATACCGACTCGGCCTTTACGAGTTCTTTGTCAAGGAAGCCAAGCAGAAGATCATCAAGAATGCCCGAGATTTGGCTTGTAGATGGGCCAAGCAAGTCGAAGACTGGACTCGCGGCCAATTTGTCAAGAAGCTACAAGTTCTTGCAGATGCCAAAGTCATTGGTTGCACCAGCACCGGTTTTGCCAAATACCGCCCCATGATCTATGCGCTCAAGCCTCGTATCGTCATGGTTGAAGAAGCTGGCGAGTGTCTAGAAGCCAACATGATTAGCATGTTCTTGCCATCTCTTCAGCATATGATCCTCGTTGGAGACCATCAACAGCTTCGTCCTCGCGCGCAGAAGGCTACTCATAACTTCAAGCATTACGACATCTCTCTCTTTGAGCGCCTCGCGAACAACACCGTTGACTACAAGATGCTCGCTGTGCAGAGACGTATGCCTCCTGAAGTCAGACGTCTTCTCTGGCCCATATACGGCGACAAGATCAAAGACCACGAATGTACCCTCGACCGTCCTCCCGTCCCTGGATTTGGCGACTTCAAAACCTACTTCTTCCATCATGAACACCACGAAGAACACGACAAGTTCAAGTCGGCGTACAACGAGCATGAGGCCAAGCTCGTGGTGGGCTTTGTCAACGGCCTCATCGATAAGGGCATTGAATCGCGTAAGATCACTGTCCTGACCTTCTACAACGGCCAGCGTCGTCTTCTCACTCGCGGATTGAAGAAAGTCGAGGGTTGTGCGCTCGCGGAGACTCGTGTCAAGGTTGTCACTGTTGACTCCTACCAAGGCGAGGAAAACGACATCATCGTTCTGTCTCTTGTCCGCAACAACTGCATCAAGCAAGTTGGCTTCTTGAGCGTCGCCAACCGTGTCTGCGTTGCTCTCTCGCGTGCTAGACAGGGGTTCTTCATGTTTGGCAATGCCGAGCTGATGGAGGAAGCAGGTGGTGAGGAATGGAAGCAGGTTGTTGCTATTCTGAGAAACCAAGGCCCGGTCGAGACTCAGATTGCTGGTACTACCAGGGTCATCAACGCCGTCTAGAAACCGCATGATATTGAAACCGGTGATTGGCTGATGGACCAGGGTGGAGTCATTTTGTAGACACTACACTTTCGTTGGCAAAGGTTGGTATGTAGAGTTATGCAGTTGGTATGCATCTGATTCACAGTACACAGAGATGGCCCTACGTGATGACCATCAATGGTGAGATTAAAGATGAGCGAATTAACGACAAAACTCTCAGTTGAGCATAGGTAGACAAACACTAGATTGTGACAGAACAGAGACGTCAGACATGAGTACTTCTTAAGCAGCGACTGATGTATTCAAGGTCTTGTCATAGTTATTCGAAACAAGAGTATGAGAATTGCTGATGGAACAATGTAAGAAAGCTTTTGTGTTTACTGTTCCATCTGTCTATGATACACAATCGCAAGCTGTAAGGTCGGAAAGCCAGCCGACCACGATGCAAATGCAAATGCAAATGCAAAAAAACGTAAACTCCGCATACCACTCTCACCAAAGTCTGCCTTTTCATTCTCAAATCCTTCTTACATGCTAGCCAAAGCCGCCTGCACCAAAGTCATGGTAGCCGAACTATGGCTACTCAACTGCAGTGCCTGACTACTGCCCAACGCAAACGGACCCGCCCACTTTTCTCCCAGCAGATTCGTACCGCTCTGTCTACTGTTTGCCCAGATGGAATCCGCATTCTTGGTCAAGAAACTTTGAATGGCACCTCCAGCAGCAGAAGGCTTTGCATCGCGCAATGTACGCAAGCCTCTCATCATTACACCCTTGAATTGTGCGGTGTCGGGATTACAGGATCCATCCGCGTCGCAGAATTCTTGGGCGATTTTGTTGGTGTCCATCATGCCGTATTTGCCCGAGAGCAGGTTTGTGGCGAGCGTGTCGGCGGTGGTGAGGTAGGAGGCATCGTTAGTGGCGTGGTAAAGAGCAACCAGTGCTTGTAGAGCTACGCCCTCGATGTACGTCAAAAAGGCGTGATTGTTGCCGCAAGAAGGCGGGGAGCCGGTCAGTGCATCTCCTTGCATTATCCCATCGATGAGGATATTTTTGGATAACCAGCTCCATTGGGTTTTGGCGAGGTTGACAAAGTATTTGCTTTGAGAAGGGTAGCGGACGGCGAGCAGAGCCGCGGCTTCTACATAGAGGACTGTGGCGATTGTGCTGCTTTTGACTAGGTATTGCTCGTGAGGGTATGCGTTTGCGAGGCCACCGCAAGGGTTGTTTGCCGGCTTGTTGTTTAGGTTTACCGAAGCAAAAGTTTCGTTTGCGGTGATGAGGTAACTGGTGTCCTTTGTGACATCGTAGGTTTTGATCAGCGCGACTACCCACCACAACTGGTCGTCGAAAAAGTCGTCCCAGTTGAGTGCTCCAGTGGTGTCTTTGCCTTGGCTGCTAAGTGTATGTTTGAAGACGCCATTGGGGCCATCGGTGATGGATGTCAGGAATGAGGAACTATCTTTGGCGCGCAGGTCGGCGAGTAGAGTGAGGCAGTTGGCAGTGTTCCACCAGCCTGCGCTCCAGAAACCGGGACGGGGAGAGTTGTAAAAGGTTTGGAGCTCGGTGATGGCAGTGTGTGAGTCTGTGAGGTATTGGTTTGTTGCTCGGGGCTGCACCTCGGCGGGGAGGGCAGAGGTAGTTGCTGCCAGCAGCAGAGCAGATGATAGGGTGTTGAACAACATGGCAAAGACAAAGCTGATATGACAAAGTGAGTGTGAAGAGGCTGAAAGGAGAGTATATATCATGTAATCCAGCAGAGCCTAGAACAAACGAATGAAAGGGGAATGAAACAGAATGGATGAATAGTCGTCAGTCATCGTTGCAGATCGACCTTACCTTATAACAGACCAGACCATCTCCTCGACAAAGAGGAATGCCTTTTGGGTACTTGCAGTACAGAGTGACTTTACAGCATCTGAAACACGGGATGGGCGTCTAATGCAGTCTGCAAGGGGTTTCCACGCGGTCGACGAGGGTTGTTCTCTTGATGCATATTTCCTCTCCGGGTACTGACTCAACTCATAGTGACTGCTGACAGCAATATGAAGCGTCTTCTCGAAATCAGATGTTTCATTGCCGGCTCACGACGTTTGAGCGAGGTAAAGGACCCGAACATCTTGTCACTTGCCGTACATCATCGCGTCATTGCATTGAATGCGCCGTGGCCGTCTAACAGGCAAACAGAACGGTATGTGGAGATTGTGATGGTGGGCGAGGTGGATGCCGTTGAGGGTGTGAGATCTTCGGCAATAGGTCAAACGTCTTTCGACAAACCCCCTTTGCGGCGTTTCGCCTCCTATAAGACGGGACTAGATCGGGTCGAACGGCTGATAAAGTTATGCGATAAATGCACTTTTGGACACTCAAGTATTCGATGATGATGGAGGTCGAAACACGGGAGAGCGTGAGAGTGAGGTGGGAAGAAAGTGCATGTTCTTGGCGGTGTTGATCAAGTCCCAGTTCAAGGTATACGTCCATCCCGACAAGTTGTATCATCAACATAGTTCGCTTGCGAGACTGAGAAAGGGTTACATATCTGTTACTTTGACGAGATTGCTCATGTTCAAGGTCTGTCAGCTTGGCAGATTAGGGATGGATACAAAGTGTTGTGATTCGAATCTATGTGTACATTGAAAAGCAAGAAAAAGGCTGTATAGGGGTATCTTGGAAAGGTCGTGTTATCGTACAAGATCAGGCAATCAAGCCTTGGGTGCAACAAATGGAGCAGCGCGTATCTCTGCGCTGACGTTCTCATACCAGCGAATGCGCTCTAGATAATCAATGACTTCCAACAGAGTCGTGTTCTGGTCTTGAGCAGGACGGCCTTCGTACTCGTCAACCTCGATAAGGTTGTGAGGTTCCGCAGCGGCCTTGTCAATAGAGTCATCAACCAGCACTGTATCTCGTTGGCTCCAACCTCCCAATGGGGCATTCATCTGTAGAGTGGGGTCTTCCCAGATCCAGCTGAGTTGCTTGTAGACCTGAACTTTCTCGGAAAACAGGTGGTCCGGTAGACGGAGCTTGTCGCGTGACCACATGGCAACGAGTTTCTGTTGTCTTTCATCAGACAGCATGTGGCCCATGATGCGTTCGACATTCTCTGGCATGCCGCTCGACCAGATCATGACATGGTGGTTGGCAAACAGGTAGTCGAGGAAGGTGCTGACAAAGGGTCTAGGCTTGTAGGCCCTGGACTTTTTCTTGCGATAGGCCAGAACACCATTCAGATCCAGGACGACAAGAAGGGATTTTGGGTGGTCAAGCTTGGGAGAAGTGACGAGCGAGTTCATAAGGTATGGAAGTGATGGAGTCGGGCGAAGTAGTTTGCCAATTGCACGAGCGCGCTTGTCGGAAGGTCTGGGAGTGCGAACTTCAGGGTCCTGGTCATCCTGCAGTGTGTCCGAGTGAGGGGCCGGGGTGCGGGCATGTTGGCGCGCGGAGTGGTGCGAAGCAGCAGCTTCCGGCTGTAGACGTGGCTGCGGGAAGAAGGGGACGGGCTGTACGTAGAAGTGTTGAGCTTGAGCGGACGGAGGTGGAGGAGGGTTGTATGCAAAAGAGGGCGAGAAGAAGGANNCGAAGGATGGCGGTTTATAGGTTGGNNAAGGTGGTCGGTTGGTAGGGTGGGGGAGCGATTGGAGGAGGATAGTTGTGTTGAGGGTCTTNNTGATGGAGCGAAAGGCAGAGTTTCGATAGGAAGAATGGGGAAAGTCGTGGCCGTAGGGGAGATAGCGGACAAGGTCGGGCTCTTGCGGTTGCCGTCGATGCTGGTTCGGAGCCATGTCGAGCGGTGATGGGAAGGCGGCGTGTTGGTCCTGCAGCGACGACTTGATGGCAGCTTGTTCCCTCCTCTTGCTCTTGGGCCAGCGCGCCTTCTTCTTCTTGGGCTGTTCTTGGACGGAGAGGTCGTTCATGTCGTTGGTAATGCTGTCATCTGTTTGCATAGCCGCGGCATGGGTAGATTGGAGGCAGTCGGCGATTGGGAGTGAGGATGAGGGCGAGGGCGGCACTCGCAGCTGACGAGTTGCGCGAGCGCAGAGAAACGACGGGCGAAAGAATGTAGCCACTGTGTTTGCCGTCCGACTGGAATAAAGGTCGATTGCTGTTTCGGGGTGCCGCGTCCAAGGCCGCAATTTTCCAAGCATTTTGCATGTGACAGTCTCGATCCAGTCGGCGTCTCGGTGTCTGCTGATGCTCGTTCTGCCCGCCTTCCTTCTTGACCATCCACTTACTCTACAATCAACGACAACTACCTTCTCATCACCGCAATCATGGGAGGCCCCAATCTCGAAGTCTTCAAGGTGCTCTTCCTGCGACTCATCCAGCACTTCTTGCACTAACGCCCCACCAGNTTTGGCATGTACATCATGTTCCCCATCGGCTGGATGTACTACTTTGGCACAAACCTCGACGAGCGCTTCTCCATCCCCGACTTCTGGCCCAAGGAGAACGAGACCCACCACATCCCCTTTGAGAAGGACGAGATCCAATCAGAACTGGCCAGACTGCGCGCTCGCCGCTTGGCCGCCCGCCAGGCAAGACTTGAACTGGACGCCAAGAATGCTCCTCAAGAGCAGCACATCGACCCGACACCCAGCCCAATCCTCGAGTCCTTGAGGAACACCGACTCGCCATCCTTCCAACAGCCACACCAGCCCGAGCAACCGACGAACACCTCGCAATCCCAGGGCTGGTTCTCATGGCTCAAGTAAACGCTTCGCTTCACGATCAAAACACTACACTGTACATTATGGAAAAGGCATGGCGGAGTTTGGCGCATCATCGAGGGGAAATCATCGACAATGGGGTATATTGCTGGTTATATGTACATTACAATCAAGCCGTCATTCTGCTCTGCAATTCGGCCCACGCTCCCTCGTCTAGCGTGCCCTGCTCCACGTTCATGTAGATGCCCTGCACTCCGCTCTCCTTGTCCTGGATGGCGTCCGCAAACTTGACCAGCTCCTGCGTTGCCTCGGCATTGCTCAGCGCCACCTTGGTGTCCTCGTTAGCATCCGAGATGATCTCGGAGCTGGCAATGTCCAGACCCAGCGCTGTCGACAGTGTCTCTCCGGTCGACTTTGTCTCACTGGGCTCCGTGTAGACAACTACTCGGCCCTCGCCATCTTCATCCACGTCTAGGGCGCCTGCTTCCAGAGCAGGCTCAAAGACGTCATCCATGCCGACACCCTCTTTGTTCGCAAATATTATCCTGCCCTTCTTGGTAAAGAGGTATCCCGTCGGCGTAGCGTTTCCTCCATGCTGCTTGATTATAACTCGGAGATCGGCCAGCGTCCGTAGCCTGCTGTCCGTTTCACAATCGATGACCACACCAACATTGTTGGGCAACATGGCCTCGAGGGTCACGGTCTCCAGAGCAGCACCATTGACCGAACGTCCTTGTCCACGAGCTACCGCCGCCTCGATCGAAGCCTTTGCGAATCCAGCCCTGTTGGCTTTGACAATCAAGTCGGCCAATCTGGGGTTGAAGTTTGGGTCGCCGCCGAAGAGTTTGGAGGCTGTGGCGATTTCCTGTGCAAAGACGCTGCGGGCCTTGTTCTTGGAGCTGTCGACTTTGGCCTTGTCGTGCTTGATCTTGGACCATCGACTGTGTCCGGATTGGCATGTGATTGCTTCGTGAAAGCTCCGGACGGTGGTGGCGCGGCGACTGAGGCATCGGTATGTGTGGCGACAGGGTCGAGCGAGGGACGGATAGGACTGCATTACGATAAACAAAACAAAATACAAATGCGACAAGTGAAACAGGAAGGAGACGGAATGCGACAAGGAAGGAGCACAAATTCACGACCTCTTGCTCCGAGACGGCGCCAAGGCGTGGAGATGCATGACGGGGTCCGGCCAGGCAGGTGCAGCAGCGTGCAGGGCCTCGACTCCTGAAACCATTCGACTTGCTTCACAACAAATACACTCTTAATCCTGATGAAGTCCTCCTAATCCAATCGCAAATGGCGACCGATCAGAATGCCCCGCCTCCTGTGGCCGACTCGACCCTACAACTCGACATAGCCAAGCTTCACGGTCTCCCATCCGAGCAGCAGGACCTCTACCTCTTGACCTTCACCTCGGACCTTTCTCGTTACGCAACCTCTCTGGACGAAGATGGCGCTTCAGCTCACCAAGTCTGGATCAAGAAAGAGCTTCTACAGATTGTCGACCTTCCCTCACCCGCTCCTACACGTGTCATTCGAAACAATCTCGCAAGCACCTTCGCATCGCTCTTCGCCAAAGGGAACCGCAAGCTGCTATACGAGTCTATCAACGACCTGGTCGCCATCCTGAACTCTGGGAAAGACAAGCCTCTCAAGGCCAAACATGCTGCTGTACACTGTCTAGGCGCAATCTTCGAAGCTGCTGGAGACAGCGCCATTAGTCTGTCTAGCTTGACTTGTACATCCCTTCTGCGCACTCTCAAAGTGGCATCCAGTCATGCGGGCTTGCGAAGTGCTATATACAAGGCTGTGGGAAGAGTCGCTAGAGGCATTGGCAATTCCATTGATGAGTCTGTCGCAAAGGAGACCTGGAAATCAGCCCGTAGTGCCGCTGCAAGCGACAAGGCTCTGCTGGTTCAGATTAATGCTTGTTGGTGCCTCGAGCAATTGGCCACTTGCACTTCTTATTATGACAACTCCAACGATTTTGAGAAGCTGCAAGCTGCACTATGGAAGGCAATGGACAGTCCTTCGGGCCCCGTGCGTCACGCGGCATCTACTTGTATGGCTGCTGTTCTTGTCAAGAGTTTCTCCGAAACTCCTGTGCGAGACGTCCTCCCCTCGAAGAAGTCTAAAAAGTCAAAGAAACAAGGGGCTGCTGATGAGGGCGAAGAAGACCACGAACGATCCACCACACCCGTGTCCTCAAAGCCAATCACCTCGATAGCCTTCAGCCTGCTGGATATTATGCGCCAGCTGTCTACCCAATACTGCAAGCCTGTTGCTTCCAACCGGACTCGTGCTGCCATCGCAATATGTTACAAGCAAATATTCACCGCGCTGGGTGAGAGCGTTGTCGAGAGACAATACGGTGTCATTGCCAAACATCTNTTTTCCGACTTGTTAAGTCACCAAAGTCTCACTTGCCATCGCTACCGCACTCTTATGACCAGGAAGTTTGTCCGCATAATACTACAACATGTGGTGGGAGGCATGCTTGGAGAAACATCACAACTGAACGCCGCCCGATATCTTATGAACGATATCATCAAAGACTATCCGCAGGTTGTCAAAGAGCGTCCCGAGCCTGGGAAGCAAACACTTACGGCCGCATTGAGTGCTCTGGCATCACTAATAGACAGGTTAGATGCTGCTGTGAGCATCATCTCGGAAAGCTGTCGTGAATCGCTATTGCAAGTTCTGCAGCATCCAAGCTACACTGTCCAAGTCCATGCTTCGAGGTGTATGCGGTCCTTTGTGTTGGCTTGTCCTCAGCAGCTTTTGCCGACGGTCACAATCTGTATGAACAGTGTCAACCGGGAGATTGGTCTGCTTACTGGCCCTCGACAAAGTCCCAGGAGGTGTGCTGGGTATGCTAACGGTCTGGCTGCTGTCTTGAGTGCATCGAACAAGCATCCACTTTATGGCTCCGTAGATGTCTACGCTCGTGTGCTTACACAGGCTACCAATCTGCTTAAGTCTAGCAGTAACTCTGATTTACGAGTTTCCAGTACCCAAGTGCAGGTCGCTTGGATCATGATAGGTGGCCTCATGTCGTTGGGACCTAACTTCGTCAAGATACATCTCTCGCAGTTGTTGCTCATGTGGAAGAACGCTCTTGCGCCCCCAAACAAGGACAACATGGCACGCCAGAGTCAACTTGAACTGAGCTTCCTTGCTCACGTGCGTGAGTGTGCACTTGGGTCTGTCAAGGCATTCTTGCATTACAACATCAAGCTTTTGACCTCTGATGTATCAAGACGTCTTGCGAGCATGTTGCAAAACACTGGCACGTTCCTCTCTATCTTGCCTGAAAAGAAGACATCTGAGGACATGTCGCAACGCTTGTCTCCTGCCCTGCAACTGGTTGACTTTGATCTTATGGTCAGGCGCAGGGTCTTCCAATGTTACACTGCTCTCGTGACAGCTAGTCCAGCTGCAGCTTCAGAAATTGCAACACAGTCGAACGTTTTGCCGTTAGCTGTATCTTCATTCGCTGATCCAGATCGTCTCGGGCCTTCGTCACTAAGCGTGTCGATTGCTAGTTCTGCTGGTACACTCGACAGCATTTGGGGAGTTGGTGATAATAGTGGCTTCGGTGTCAATGGCCTGATCAACGGTCTGGACTGTTCTCCTCTGCCTTTCGAGAAACAGGGCGAATCGGAAAATCACTGGACGTCAAGACACAGCTATGAAGCAATAATAGATAGGACGGTAAGATGTACGTGTCCTATGTTAGTGACTGTGCTGACTATCAACAGNCTTCTCTCCCCAATTGGTGGAGCTTGGGAGCACGATTCAACGACCTCTTATGTTACACTTGATGGATCTCAAATCTACGACCAACCACAGCCCCCTGCCACAGAAGTGGTGAACAGTGCAATCGGCATCTTTGCACTAGCGCTTCCGTTACAATCTCCTAGGATACAAGACAGCATACTGGAGCAGATCAACTCTTTCCTGACATCACCTGCTGTGCAGAAGAGTGTGGCACANAAAACGGCACTAAGCGCAAATGTTGCTCTAGCTTTATTAGTAACCTCCAAGGTATTGACAGGACAAGTCAAGGGTTTAGAAGGTAAACTCCAGAGCGCGAACGCAGAGAAAAACATGCAAAATCTTCTTCACGTAAGTCCTCGGGTGTTCAAGACGTACTTCTGTAGCTGACAAGATCATAGACTNTTTGTTGCCGACCCTGATGAAAGCGTTCGTCACGTTGCTGCTCAGGCTTTGGGTCACCTCTGCGAGGTTGGCGGCAACGACTTGACTTCACGCGAAATCAGCTACCTAATCGACACCATTGTCTCAAACACCGAACCTCATGTCCGATCGGGCTGCGCCTTGGCTCTTGCTTGTATTCACAACTCGCTCGGTGGTATGGCAGCCAGTTTTCACCTCAAAAATATTCTTGGTATATTCATGTCTCTCTGCGCCGACCCACATCCGCTGGTACACTTTTGGGCTCTGGAGAGTCTNAAAAGGATTGTCGATTCTGCTGGCTTGACATTCTCAGGCTATGTTTCTAGCACAATCGGTCTTCTTGGTCAGTTGTATGTACTGGACACACACAATGCCGAGACTGGACCATTAGCGTCTTCTAACCTTGAGGTCGAGCTGGAAACGACTGCTGCCAATGTGTGCTGTGTCGATGCTATCATCAACGTGATGGGTCCAGACCTCTCCGAGATGGCCAAACCTCGTGGCATGGTGTTGACTCTTATTCGACAATTCCAGACCGAAAGCGACGTTTTAGTTTTGGTCGAGAGTACCAGATGCCTAGGCAACCTTTCTATGTATGCACCTGGTCACATGGAATTCGAGAAGTATGTGAAACGATTGCAAGCAGATCTCGACTCCCAATCTCCAGAGATCCGCGACATGGCTATCAGAGGACTGGCCAATCTCATGCGTAGAGACGCTGAGGACATTGTACGCGCTGCCAATCCTGGTCTAGAAGAGAAACTTTGGGACGTGCTCGATCAAAATCCCGCCCAAGGAACCATCAAGGAAATCTTCGTCAATTGGTTGTCGCAGACTGGCATGACAGACACAGCGGGCTGGATTCAGAGATGCAATTCGGTCCTCACCAAAGCCAAAGCTCGTGTCGACAATGCTTCTCAGGACGAAGCAGCAGCCAAAAAGGCAGCTACTACTGATCTTCAGGACGAAGAAGTCGCAGGATTTGCTGCTGGAGCAGGCACGAAAGACGAAGATGCTTCTGCTCCTACATCAAGCCAAGAACTCATGAGATGGCAGGTACGACTGTTCGGCATGAACCTTCTCAACAGCCTCCTGGATAGTGTTGTCAAAGAGTCGGCCATTAACGAAGACATCCCTGCTTTGGCTTCGCTGCAATATAGGGTGGCAGATGTTGTACGAGTCGCTTTCTCTGCTTCCACTGCTAACGTCGTCGGTCTTCGCATCCTAGGTCTGCATATCATCGACCAGGTGCTCAGAGTAAATGCTCCATCACGTGTGTTTTTCGAACATAACTGACTTCATCGCAGNCTTTTTGGTGGGGTGCCCGACCCCGATTTCACTGAAGCCATGCTGCTTGAGCAATACCAAGCACAAATCAGTTCTGCTTTAACTCCTGCATTCGCTGTCGACTCATCTCCCGAGCTTGCCGCTGAAGCCATCAATGTTTGCGCCACCTTCGTATCGACAGGTATTGTCACAGACATTGACAGAATGGGCCGCATCTTGAAGATCCTCGTGGCCGCCCTCGAGACCTTTGCAGGATCTACAGAAACATCTTCCATCGGAGAGCTCAAAGGTCTCAGTCCAAACGCCCAAGTCATGGTACGCATGTCGGTGTTCTCCGCATGGGCTGGCCTGCAGATCGCAACTGCCGAACAGAAATACTTGGTCGATGTGGTTAAGCCCCATGTTGCGAAATTGACGCCGCTTTGGCTGTCTTCCCTTCGAGAGTACTCCCGTTTGCGCTTCGAACCAGACATTTCGAATAACACTAGTGCGACTCCGTTATCAGACGACCTCGAGACAGTTTACGCTGCACTAAACCGCGAGACCTTGCTCAAGTTCTACCAAGACTCGTGGCTAAGTCTCGTCGACGCCATTGCTAGTCTAATTGATGAGGACAGCGAATTTGTGTTCGATGCACTTGATGGCAAGACCCAAGCGGATACCGACAGTGGTGTCACTGTGTCGCGCGGGAGCGATATCAATTATCGCGAAGAACCTGTTGCTTTCTTCTTCGTGTTGTTTGGTCTTGCGTTCGAGGCTCTCGCTAGTAAGCCTGGCGCAGACTCAGCGACTGCAAGAGCACAGAAACTCGAAATTCTTCAGGCGCTCAAGAGAATCCTTCGACCTTCGATCTCTGGTAACGCCATCTACCAAGAGGTCATATTCAACGAGACAATGGATCTGCTTGATCGAATGGTCCTCACAGAACCTTCGAATGTGCAGACCATCATTGTTGAGATTGCAAGAAACCTCTGCGTTGGCCATCCCTCATCAAGGCAGGGTATGAGTGCGGACGATCATCTATCCGATGACATCGATCAACTTTTCGAGTTGACCCGCATCATTGTACTCGTGTTGGCAAGCATTGTGCCTGGCTTGGCAGAAAGTCCTCGTCCTGTACGTGCCGATATTTCTGATGAAGCTGTCACGCTAGCACGTCTCTCACTAGACGCACTGGTCGATGCTTCCGAGGTCTTTCCCTCCATCATCAGAGCCGATCTGCATGCATGTATCTTCCAGATCTTTGTCACTATCATGAGCACAGGTGCATGTCAGGCGACCTTGATACCACAAGCATTACCCATCTTCCGTCGCTTCATCAATGGTGTAGGTGCTGACCCTAGTGAAGACACCAAGAAGCAGATCCGAAGCACGCTTTCTCGCTTCCTGATGATTCTTAAGAACGCCCAGAAACGCGAATTTGAAGCCTCTCTGCCGTGCGAGAAGAACACTATCCTAGCAGGAACCATGCTCATCACTTCCGCAAACGCTGTTTTCGAGGCCAACGACCCTGTGCTGCTGCGCTTTGTCGCTGAGTTGACGGAGTGCCTCGACAATCCAATGACTACAAAGATGGCCGCTGGCTGCGTACGAACACTACTCGTTGTGCCCATCCGAGGCGCCGCCCACTCCGCTATCTTGTCACGTCTACTACCACGTCTAGTGACCTTCCTCACCGTCCCCTCTGATCTCGAAGGCATCGAACAGAGCCGCACCATCATAGCACAATCCCTGACCACAGCACTCTCATCGCTCCCCTCCGACAAGAAACTCGCAGGCTTTGCACTACTCATCCCTACCCTCCTCGCCCGCGCCGAAAAAGAGACAAATGTAACTGTGCAGAAAGAGACTGCAGCGAGATTGCTAGAGTTGGCGAGCAATGACGCTAACGCATTCAGAGGTGTTGTCGTGAGGTTGAGTAATGAGCAGAAGACATTGATGGAAAAGGTCATCAAGGGATCACAAGGACCTAAACAAGAGGTCCGAGAGGAAGTTGAAGAGAAAGAACCTACTATTGCACTCAAGATGAACTTTTGAGGAGAGGTCAAAGTGTTTCTAGAGATACCAAAATTCGAGCTTTTTTTGTTTTTGTTCTCTTAGAGAATATACGTAGAACTGTTCACCATGTCCCACTGTCAATACTTTGAGAATGACGGAGACCCCCTTTGTTGCCATTAGCGTAAGAAATGTAAAAGAGAAATGGCGCAGCCAGGAGTTGAACTCGGGGTTTCTCCATTACAGCCCGGGCTCTGAAACTCCTCAGAGAGCACGAGCGCGGACTGATTGATGTGGATGTGTCTTTAACGCTAGACCACCGTATCTTACATTGTGTTGTGGAAGGGTCGTTGAGTATATATATTCCATTGTTTGTGATGATGCTCAGAGGAAGTCTTCGAGGGAAGTGAAGGGATGGAGATGGATGGAGATGGTAGACGAGTGGTTGCAAGCCTCACTGCTTCACTCTTTGCAGTATGGCATTTCGTATAAGACTACTGCGAAAAAGCTATAAACACCATAGTCAGCCGGCCAAAGTCAAGACGAAAGAATACAAGGTAAAAGGGACGAAAAGGAGATTCGTTTTACATCGTCAACATCATATCTACTTCGAAAATACCCTTCCATCCTTCTATGTGAAATCGTAAATCACCAAAGCCTGATTCCCACAATGTCGTTCCCTAAGCACGACCACTTTTTCATCATCAAAACCTATAAACCCTCTTGTCATACTAGTCTCATCGATCCCCCTATCTTCAAGTGCAGCTCCCAAGCCAATACCTCTTGAGTTGCTGAGAGAGGTCGAGGTTTCCTCTTTGAAAGGCGGGAACGATGGCTTTTCAGGTCGCAACTGCACACTCAATTCGCCGGCTGCTAATCGGCGACGGGCAGATGCAGAAGCGAACCCGCCTTCGAGTTCCCAGACGCGGAGTTCGTCGCCGCGGGTGCTGACCGAGACTGCTTTACCGCGGCCGCCGACGTGGGCTCCTGATACAGAGGAAGTGTGACCCCAGAGTCTGTTGCCTGGGCTGATCTTTAGGGTGTCGGTTGTTGAGGAGACGAGGTAGAGAGTTAGTGTGTTGTCCGGGTGAGATACCAGGAGATAAGGGTGAGAGTAGGAGAGCGAAGTTGGTTTTGTATGGATTTGGTTGGCCTCAGAGGTGTCAAAGTGTCCGAAAGGGGGTATTACTTGTGGAGTTGGTGTCGGTAGTGGGTTGGAAGAGTTGAAGGTGAGGGGACGGTAGTTTTGGTCGATTGCCGAGGTGAGGCGTGATTCTATGAGAGTACCATCCAAGGTCAATCGCATCTCCTGGATGCCAACGGTCCAGCCGCTGAGATATGTGGGTAAGGAGTAGGCGATTGACACGAGGACAGTGTCTGGCTGTGGTCGGATGGATAGGGTGAGAGGTGGCCAGACAGTACGTGAGTGTAAAGACTGCAATAAACGCGGAGGCTCCAGAGTTGTGTCCTTGGATGCTTCATCTTTAGTCGGCATGAACTTATAGAATGAAAGGAATTGGCTCGCGGTCATGGTTGCGAGATAGGGAAAAGACAGAGCAGCGGCCGAGATCAAGCCGTTGGAAGAAGGTTCGTGAGAGTAACGAGCTACAAAGCGACGCTGGAAGACATGAAGGTCGTAGATGGTGAATGAGCCGTCTTGAAAGCCCACAGCAATGGATATGGTGGAAGAGGATGAAAGTGCAGAATCGATCGTCAGAGCTGAAGGAGGGTTGGCCTTGGCAGAAAATGTCACGGTAGCTAGCATATCCCGGCCTGTCTGAGACGACCATGCGCGCAAACCATGGAGATTGTCGGCCATGACGATAATGCCATCATGCATCTGGAGTAGTGTTGGAGGGACTGATGGCTCGGGCGAGACAGGAACTTCACTGACGCCGCATGTGCCCTTGGTCCAATTATGCCGCGTCTTGTATTGTCTCTTCCAATTTGTCTCTTTGCCTCTTCTGACTAGGTTATCCTCGTCCAGCCATTTCGAGAGCTTGCTCGAGTACCACAAGCTTTCAGCGGGAACTCCAGACTCATTAATTCCAGGTATGCGCGATGCCCTCGGGCGGACGAATCGATTGTAGTAGAGGGCCTTCCATAGTTGTGAGTCGCCAGCGAGGCGGTGGAAATGCTGCGACACGCTCTGGCAGGTGATGAGGTCGGGCACGGGCAGAAACGAAAGCACTCTGAGCGTCAATTCGTGGCTGAGCCTCGACAGCCGGTCCGGCTTGTTTTGTTGGACTCTTTTGATACTTCGCTCGTCTTCTTCGAGCGCATCCGACGCTCTGCGCTTGACCATCGTGTCACTGTCGTGGATGAGTCGAGGTTGGTTCAATGACGGCGGCGAACTTGGAAGGCGCGACCAGATTCTTATCATATCTCCGCAATCTCCTCGCGTTAGCGCCCGGCCGATCTCCCGCTCCGCGTGCATCGGCCTTTTGTCAGGCACGCGTCTGCCTTTGCCTTTTCGTGTTTACTGCCCTCCATACCGTGATGTGACATTCTAATCGTCCTTGACTGCATTCTCGACTCGGTAGTACCCATGGAAGCCGGGCCTTCTACCAACGTACCCGATGGCTTCGTGACGGCTGCTCAATACAATGAGCTACTCTTGAAGCATGAAGCTCTTCAGAAAACCTATCAACAATACAGAAAGGATGCTGAAGCTCGTGCCTCCAAGGCTGCCCAAAAGATACGCGAGGCAAAGGAGACTGTCCGCAAATGGAAAGAGTACATCGACAAGAAATTAGCAAAGCAGGCTTTGCGAGAGGCCAATCGCGACTTCGAAAACCAGGACTTTGCAACTCCTCGCGCTGTCCAATCCAACTTGGAAAACATTGAGGATGCTCTTGCCTTGCCCAATCCGGCCCTTGAAGTTGTTAGAACCACATCCGTCGCGGTATCGCATTCTCCAGCCCATAGCAGAATTACCTCAAGTCAGACCACTGAGGGTGAGGCTGCTCGTTCCAGTTCTCTGGCCCACTCCGACGACACGCCTGTTGTTGTCTCCGCAAAGGCCCTGAAAAGGAAACGAAGTTCTCCGAAGAAAGATTCGCAAGCTTACAAAGTCAAGAATGAGCTCTTGAGTAGCAGCCCTCACAACTCACGCACTCCTGTGCCAACTCTTTTGCGAGCAGAGACTTCGGATCTGGACGTCTATCGTGACCCTCATCCGCTGCCAAAGCTGAATTTCGAAAGGCATCCCCTCAGTCGGGCACCATTAAGACAGTCAGTGGATCAGGATTCAGAAACCATAGGACGGCAATTTGAACACCTTGAAACTCCAACAGCAAATCGTCCCTCAAGGTTTCGCTCACCCAACGGCGCAAACATAGATGTTAACGAAGACGATGCTCAGCTTTCCGATAGTACGGTCAAGACTGTGAAAACAGAGCCTGGCATCAGTGTTGCATCGGCAAGGAGAGAAAACATGTTGGTCAGAACTGTCAGCGAAAGCGTCGGGCCCCAGGAGTCGCGTCCTCAAAGTGGTCCGTTGCATGATCTGAGTCCCAACACTCCCACTCTGCCCCGGACGAGTGCTGCTCCTGTGACTTCCGGCAAAAAGCTTGACCATAGTAGGGGAGCTGATGCTGTGCATGTGCTATCAGAAGACGGTGACAATACTAGACGTGGATTTAAGAAACCACGCATCGACGATGCTACACCCAAGACCTTCGGCACGGGACGACTGAACGGACTTCTCGAAGGGACTTCACCTCAAGTTGATAGAACGATCTTGAGCCCTCGTTCCGCACCAACGATTCGACGACAGCGCGAATGGCTGGACAACACCGTTTCAAAGGAGTTGGAGAAGCATACAGTTTCAAAGTCTGTGGAGAGGCCTGCCAGCCGCATCACCAGAACTGTCCGAGACAAGCCAGCTGCTCGCCCCGCTATTGTAAGGTACAATCCGAAAGACGACCCAGGCCCCATCGAACCTGAGCATGAACCTCTGCGTGCCCGACCCCTTCATCGACTGAACCTTGACGACTTCAGAGTCAACCCCAAAACGCATGGACAACTCGGATATGCCTTCCGCGAGAGCATCCGCAAGCGCGAGGAAAAGAAGTGTCTACCTGGTTGTACGAGAGATGAGTGCTGCGGTGCGATTCGACGCTTCATTGCCGCAGGCGGCTTGCCACAAGACACTTCACTTACCGATGATGAGTTGACACTGCAAGGATATTTGGGTTCGGGATATGCGTCGGCAATACACAGTGCGAGCGCACAAAAGAGACAAGAGATGCTGTTAGAAGCGAGAGCCAAGGCTTTTGCGGACCTACATGGAAAGCACAGAGAACTTTTTCAGAGGAACAGGTCACCTCCAGGGTTCTGGCGTACTGAGATGCCAACAACACAAGAGTTGGAGGAAGATTGGGAGGAAGCTAGGAAGATGGACCGACAGAAGGTGGAGGAGAGATGGAGAGAGGCTATGAGGGGTGGTCGCTACATCTTTAGAGATGAAAGCTGAGCCCATTGCACCACTCACGTTTGCTTCACTATTGCTATCGCTCCTGGCATATCTGTGAGAGCTCCAAGCAGCCATTGCTACCCGATCCCAGAGCCATATCAATTCATCATACCAGTTTAACATCTGCAAAACATCTGTCCAATGGAGCTTGATCCAGAGTGAGAGAGATCCTTGTGTAACATGTGCTCGATATCAGACAAGAGTGGGGTATATCAAGCGGCAGTTCGGCATGGCCCCGCACACGTCATTGAGCCCCGCCAGAGCTATCTTCAATGACCACAGCAGCTTCCCTGATTGCATCAACACAATTCCAGGCCACGTAATTCCCATGAGCACTCTGTTCTGCCGAAGATCCTGTCAACTCTCCCTGAAGGCTTTCACTCCTCGATCACTACCTCGAACCACTCACCTCCACCCAATCCTACCAGCAAGAAGAACAGCAACAATGGCCAACATCCACACCCCCATCCCCAACCTCAAGCTCAACGATGGCAACTCAATCCCCATGCTAGGCTACGGCACCGGCACCGCATGGTACAAGACCGGTGACGAAAGCCAACTCGACCAAGCCTGCGTCGACGCGACAAAGACGGCAATCGGCCTCGGCTACTACCACCTCGACGGCGCCGAAGTCTACAAGACCGAACCCGAACTCGGCAAAGCGATCAAAGAGTCCGGTGTCGAGCGCTCCAAGCTCTTCGTCACCACAAAGGTGTTGCCAAACATTGCAGATATCCCCGCTGCTCTGAACACGAGTTTGAAGAAGCTGCAGTTGGAGTATGTGGATTTGTATCTGATCCATGCGCCGTTCTTCGGTTCGCCGGAAGAGTCGCCCGAGGCGTTGCAAAAGGCTTGGAAGGCCATGGAGGAGGTCAAGGAGGCAGGGCTCACGCGCAGTATCGGTGTCTCCAACTTTTTGCCCCAGCATTTGGATGCCATTATCAAGACTGCGAGGATCCCGCCTGCCATCAACCAGATTGAATTTCATGCTTACTTGCAACATCGCGAGTTGCTGCAGTACCACAAGGAAAAGGGTATTGCGACTGAAGCGTATGGTCCTCTGACCCCGGCGACGAAGGCTTCTCCTGGACCCCTGGATAATGTTCTTGCCGGCCTGAGCAAGAAGTATGCTGTTAGTCCTGGAGAGATTTGCTTGAGATACTGCATCGATCAGGATATTGTGCCCATCACAACCAGCAGCAAGGAACAGAGATTGAGCGACTACTTGAGAGCGATGACCTTCAAGCTTACACCTCGGGAAGTCAACGACCTCAACGAGGCCGGCTCGCAGAAGCACTTTAGAGGCTTCTGGAACCACAAGTTTGCCGACAACGACAGAAGATAGAAGCCCGGCTGAGAAACAAAGCAATGGAAAGGACGCAAATTAAGTGCAGTTTATCCTTTCATATTTGTACATATACTTGTGATCTCGCGCTATGTATGACTTTACAACTCGATATCTGCTTGTATACAGTAAGATCAAGATTCTGGCCTCTACGCGGTCCAGTCTAGCAAGTGGCGAGTCTGGTGATTCAAAGCGAGTATAATGCTTTGTGAACGATGACTTGCGCAGTGCTCGCAATCAGGTGCGAAGACCAAGGACAATGCTTTGGATGTTGTTACAGGGAACGCTAGAGACGAAGCAGCCAACAGAAGAAAGCTCTAGTTCTCGGCGATGAACAGCGAAGCAAACCATCCGCGCTTTCTCTCACTAGGGAGGATTAGAAGGTCAAGAGCTAGAAATGTTTGTTAACGAAACAGTATCAACGTACTCATATGAGAAAACAACGTACTCTTGCCACCATCGGGGACTTTGCAATCACGGAGGTCAACCTTCCAAACACCCGAATCTGCCACACGCAGTTGAGCAAAAGATGACTTTCTCTGGATCATCTTCATGTTGGCAGACATAATTGTGCCGACAGGTCCAAAGAGAGCATCAAGGACACCGGGCTTACGTCTTACATCCCTGGTGGCATTGAAGTAGGCAATGCTCTCGGTAAAGCCCTTGTCCGAGAATACACGACCAAGGGGGACGTCAAAAGGCAAAGGTCGCTTGCCAAGAGCAATCTTGACAGGTTCGATACGCAGCAGCGGCTTTCCAGTGGCAGAGGGGATGGCCCAAATCTTCTTGATGACATCGTTTGCTCCAAAAGCAGCCCAGGATGCGAGGATAGCCCACATCAAGGCGGTAAGGAGGAAGACACTGGCGATGCGCAAGTCACTCTTGGAAGGGTCGGTGGTGAAGAAGCCAATCTGCATGGCGGCCACGCAACCGAGAAGCAGACTTGCAAACAGACACCAGGCAACATATTGGCGAGGTTTTGTGGCTTCGTAGATCAAGATTGGAGATTCGGCGCTGGCGAGCTCTTTGAGAGATTGTAGGACACCTGAGCGGCCGCCCGGTACATATTCGAGTGTGGGTTTGAGGGACGACGGAGGGAGATGAGCTGAGGTCAGGTCGACTGGTTGCTGAGCGATGGGCTGGTGTTGCAGCGACGCAGCGGCTATGGGCTGGTGTATCGTGGGAGGAGGCGTCGAAGGATGGTATGTGGTGGTGGAGATTGTTGGTGGAGCAGAAGGAGCGAGCTTGGGCGATTGGAAGTGCTCAATGTCATCTTTGTCGTCGGTAGGTTGCTTCTTTCTGAGGGCGTCTTTGTGTTGCTTCTTGCGAGTCGGCGCAGAAGCATCGATGGGCTTGACTACGGCCTTTGACGGTTTGCGCACATGGAGAATGGGTGATGAATGGAGTAGCCGCGAACGGAGTGGCGTGCAGGCGCGGAGACCCAGAGACTGTGATAATGTCGACTGCAATGGTGGCAGTAGCCGGAGTGGTCGCCAGAGTGAAGCCATGACTGGTGATTGAACCATCAATCGGATCCAAGATCATCTGGAAATAATGTCTCGAGCAGGCTTATCGATACGCTATGCAGAGGTGTGCAGACGTACAGAATATACACAAGTTGTGCAAATAGTGCTTGGCAGCTAGCCATGCATGCCGACGTGTTCTGGTCAAACACGGCGCACAAAGACGTGCATTCGATCGAGCAACATGATAGAGTGATCAGCACTCGCGCATCTTGAAGAGTCATTCTTCGTCCGGTGAGAAGCGCGAGAAGCGCGAGAAGCACGCGAAGCCTACGAACTTCCCTCCTCGTCAGGCTTGCTTCAGCCATATCTATTACAACTTTGACCTCTCCATCGCCAGTCTCAGCCCACGCATCGCTACTCTCTGGAAGCTGTANCGTAACGCCATATCGCACGCCTCTCGCCCATGTAGCTGTTCCAGTTCCACCTCGTCTTTTCCGACTCCGGCCCGTTATGCTCCCGATGCTATAGAGCGCGTGCATACCAACTCTGTCGAGAAGAGNATGGACCGCACCTGCAAGCTCGACTTTGATCGGATCTTATGCGACAGCCAGCATGTTGCATCGCTCCACAACCCCAAGCGCTTGGTCGACCATGTGGGAACAAGATAAGAGCAAGCTTAGACTGGCCAACCGGCACGGCCTACGNNTCTCAAAGCCGTGCCAGCTTCATCGCTGCATTGGTCGCGTCTTGGGCCACTTCTGTTCGACCAGCACGCTTCTCTGTCGTCGGAATTGCACATTGCTCAGTCGGAGAACGCCGATCCTACCAATACTGTACTACAACAGCGACATGGTGTCGAGCGGTGGGTATCGCAGCTGGAGACGATGTTTGCTGATACTGATGCTGCTAACCACGCTCTATCCGTTCGCATGCATGTCTAGACAGTCGAAGTTGTCGCCCTGGACATGGACTTGAGAACTGCCGGCTGGTTGAACCTTTGTTGGCGAAGGATTATTGCCATATTGCATACCCCACCCCACTTTTTACCCCCATCTGGGCAAGACAGAGGTCCGCGCGGAGCAATCGTTGCATCGCGTGTCTCGTTGCCAACAGTTGCGTGCCCTCTCTGCCTTTTTCAGCCCCATGGATGTTAGCGTGCCCACCGCTCCACGACAAAAACCAGATTTGGCCATCTCATGCTCGTGCGCTGATTCATGCCTCCATGTTGCATCACCAAGGTCATGTTTGACACCATCTGCCTGCGAGTTGGCTGTGGATTGTTCGTGTTCAAAACATGTGCATCAGCTCTGTGCCTCTACTGTGTTTGACTTATCAGTCGCTGGCCTGAGCGGTGCGCCATCAGCCATATCGCTTGACAGTTAGTGGTTCTGTGGCTTTGTCTGGACTGGCACATGGCCCCCCCCCCCCCCCCCCCCCCCATGCTCTGCCAGGAACTAACCTCCTACGGGGAGCGGGGAACCTTCGACTCGTTCCATTTATCTCTCTCACTCTGCTGTCGGGTCCATCCCTGATGTTTCTTTCAATTCTTCTGCATACCGCTCGGTCTGTTCGGCGGTATTTCTCCAGCTCACTCCAAGTTTTCTCCAGCGCACATCACTGTCCTCCACAAATCCCCAGCGTCCCCAACCTCGGCTAAAAGGCGAACAGCCGCTAAAGCTAGCTTCCCGGCTTTGGCCTAGATCTCTCCACAATTCTTCGGTCACCGTTGTCAATCAGTCGCATCGTCGACGACGGCAAGGGTGAGAGGACGCCTTAACACTTCCTGTCCTCCGCGGCTCTTGTTCTTCCTCACCCTTCTCTTCCTTGACCACCTCCTACGCTTCATTGCCTGAGTCGCTCTCTCGTTTTGCGAACCACCTTTGCATTGACATACCGTTCGTCGATCCGGCACTGTTCCTATTTCTTCCGAACGCAGGTCCGACGATCTGAAGCCACCGTCAAATCGACAACGCCGAGCGTGTCCGTCATAGAACGATCATTATGTCTACCGCACAAACTCCTCAGGCAGCACGGCGTGCCTCAACCGCCCTGCCTCTTGATATGGCCCAGATTTCTCGACCAACAACACGGGAATCCGTGACAACCCCAGTTCAAGACGATGGCTCACAAGCAGTTCGCCCTCGCAGCCGTCGCGTGACGAGCTATCATCATCCTTTCCAGACTCGATGCTCACCTTGCAACGACTCTGCACCATCATATGCAACAGCCACTCGCTCTTCCAAGTTCCCACCCGCCCCTCGATTCTTTGACAATGGAAAGGAGGTTCTGCCGAAATATACTTGCACTGTGTCGAGAGAGGGTCCTATGCAAATGCGTATTGAGAAGATCTCGCCTTTTCAGTACCTCCAAAAGCAAGACTTTCGCACTGTTTATGTCGTTCTCAACGGCACTCAATTGAGCGTCCACAAGATCAAGACTGTTCAGCTTGCCGGTCATTCGCTGCCCACTGCCGGACGGCTGATCAAGCGATACTCGCTCCAACACGCTGAAATGGGTTTGGCCACGGATGTTCAGTACAACCAACTATTGCCCGCGACCCGACTCGCACACTTTATTCCTACCGCTGCCCGTCGCAAGGCTTTCGAGAAGGACCCCGACCTTTTCACACCCATCTCACAGGTCGTGCTCCGCCTGCGTCTGGAGACTGACCAGTTCCTCTTGGCAGACCACTCAGAGGAACGCATCTTCCGATGGATCCATGATTTGTCTGCCAGCATCGATATCTCGCTGCCACTGGATGAACGTTCCGCGCCGAAACCGTGCACCATTCCTAGACGCCGCCGCAGACAGAGACAGGAAACGGAGAACATTGAAGATCAAAATGTTATCGAAGAGCAAGAGCGCATCATGCGCGAGATGTATCCTTCCTTGGCACGATCGATTGAGAGAGGCTCAGAAGGAGCAGACCTCACACGCACGGAGACTACGTACGACACTAACGCTCTGACGCTCACTGCCACAATGGATCAGGAGGCCGAAGACATTGATCTTTCGTTCCTGGCAGAAGATCTTGGCCAAGAGCAACCCTCGACCACTCGACCTGCCAACATTCGCCAAACAACTTCTTCCACCGTTTCTACGATAGCATCTTCGTTCCAGTACGAAACCAGCCCTGACAACTTGGGCCCCGGTGGAAAGTGGAACCCGCCACATGCCCGTACGAATGCTTCACAGTGGCGATACATTAAGCGATGCATGCCCACGCTGCTCTTCGATGCTCCCCGCGCTACCGACATCATCATATGCCATGGTCGTCGCTTGAGAGTTAACACCAAGATGGACATGCTTGAGGAATGGGAATTGAAGCCACCTTCATATGATATCCACGAGTTCCCTGAAGGCCTGGATCGCTCTGTTACCATGGCATCTTCTCTCGCGACCACATCTTCTACCATCACAGCATCGAGTGTCGACACACAGGATGGAAAGGCGGTTGCCCTTGCCCACCAAATCCCTCAAGACGATCTGAAAAGAAGCTCACACATCGCAATGCCCACTCGCAACAAGATCCCAGAGCGAACCTTGATGGAAGAGGGTATCGTCGTGGTCGCTTTCTAGACCAAACACACGAAATCAAAGCAACGCCCATATACGCTCCTACGAACAGATTGACGAATTCAAACGCCATTTTCCAAATTGTCAAGATCTTTTGGAGTTTCTTTTTCTCCGAGCAAAGCGCACTCGTTCTATCTTCATGCGTTTCTCTGGCATTTTACATGTACCCTGGTTCACAAATTCCCGCGCCTGTCAGCATCATCGCACTCGCTGCATTGTTCAAATGCCAGATACCCCATCGTCATTTTTCTCCTCTATCTATGTTTATTCCCTGATGTCTCTCTGTCCGCTGCATGTAACCGAGCCACTCGTTTGCCCGACAAGAACCAATTATTCTTACCTACCTTCTTTTCGTATAACGTGCTCCGGGTGATCTAGTGAATTGGGACTCTGTTTATGCATTTGCCTCGAACGAATGTTTAACAGGTTACCATAGTTGGCAAAGCTTTCCTTGTTATGCTGTTGCTATTTTGCGGCTGGCTAGCTCGAAATTGAGAGTAGTTTATGTGATTTCGTTCATACTCACTGTTTCTACTATCTTTGTTGTTGTTTTTGATTCATATACATACTGCCCGGGCAGATAAATGAATTATTCGTCATGACTGTAATAGAGTTTATGGTATATCAGGGCCAGGGTCACACCATTAACGTTGGAAAAAAAGGTATACGGCGACCACAAAGGATGATACACTGGGTAAAACTGATGTCTGGAAGGATGCGACGAGGCTATAGATAATGTTTACGATCGGCTAGCGGGGCAGTCACTCCATGAGGGGTATCTAGAATATCCCTGTAAAGATGTCAAAGTTTGAAGTGAGTGTGGAGTATGTCATTCAAGGGCTTATGATACTATCCTTACTAGCACAGAACCACAAATCAAGTTGTAAAGAATGGCATACAAGGCAAGAAAGAGGCGGTATACAACGGTGTGACAGAAGAGCAAAGAGTTGATCTTAATATTGTTATATGATGATGGACAGGGCTGGAGGAATGATGATGCATGGAGAAGGCACGATGCACAGTGATGTTTGGCCACAAAATTGTACGTTTTTGAATTAAGAGATGCTCGTCTGAACAGGTAGGTGCGAGTGAGGAAGAGTAGCTGCAGAAAGATGGTGGAAGGCTGGAAGGGGAAGGGGAAAGAGCGATGAGAGAGAGAAATACTGTGGTCATGCTGTCTTGATCTCATGAGGGAACGACAATGTGTTTGTCAAGTAGTCCTTCATGTTTCTCTCTTGACCTATCATTATCAATGATGTGTTGAGATGTATTATACCATTGATATATGAGCAGATTCAAAAGTGGAAGAGTGAGAGTAGATGATTGAGAGAGCCAGATCACTGAGAGCATCCCGGAGCAGACCAAGCCCCTGTATGATGATGATGCTTGACAGCTCCAGATCAACCACATTCGTATCATAAGACTCTCCGTTGCAACGGACAATGTAGGCATGGGTGCAACCAAAACAATGAGTTCGCAGAGTGGTTCTGAGTTCATGTTCTACCAGCTGCTAAAACAATCCGACGGGGCATCCTCCTGGCGGAAAGTTCACCATTAGAGCGGACCCGATCGTCCACAAAGGATTCGGAAAAAGCTCATGTTTCTTCTCAAAGGTTTGTCTATGTGACATGGGAACCAGGCACGGTGCAGGGCCAAAACGCAGACTTGTTGTCTCCACCTTTGCGGTACTTCGTTGTTCCCGACGCGTTGCTTTTTGCCTGTCTCAGTCGAGTTTTCCGTCGGGAAACACATCTTCCACACCTTGAGAGTGTGTGAGCGTGAGTTTTTCGAGAAGTTGGCAAAGGTTTTCTGTTCGCCGCGGCAGAGTCACCAATACACGTGGTCAGAGAGAGCGGAGTTGCAGTCCTGTTCTGACAATCTTGCCGCGACATGAATGTGCGAACCAAGATGATAAGATCGGCTTGGGGAGGGGTTGGGCTCATGGTAGCGTCATGATCTCTGGTGAAAGGTGATGATTGTTGATCAGATGGATGGGCGATCGCGCGGCGGCTTGTGTACGGAGTCGCTCTCCTGCTATTCGAATCGAAGAATGCGGTTGTCACGATCCAGGTATCGATCCACTCGCGCTCACCTGGTCTGAAGCGATCACGTTTTCAAGACACTTGTAGTCTCGTGTCGACACGATAAAGGTCCACACTTGTACTGCTACTAGATTAACATCATCTGCCCGTAGAGCGATTGATTGGTGTTGCCATAATTCCAAGTATTGCACGACTGCTCCCAATCGTGATCGCTCACAAATCTCCTGTTCCGTACAGGTGGAGTTCAAGCCATGAAGCACACCACACCGAACGCGGTCGTGAATCAACAAAGGAACAAGGTATTGACTTTGCGAGATATGCTTCAGGGATGTAGGTGTCATCGTATTTTGAGCCCACAGATCTTGTCTGAATGGGGATGAATATGCGAGGAGGTAGATACCAAGTCGCTGGTTCCTGCCACATGGATTTTTTCAGCCCCACATGTCCGCCTCGGAGTGCACTCCATCTGACATGTGTAGACTTTGATGAAATCACGAGCGTCTGCGAAGAGTTGATGCATATGCGTAGTTTGTTGGCAAGAGCCTCTCGTATCCATAACGTCTTTATTGTGTAGCAGTGCTTGTTGAAAGCAGGTCAGAACCTTACCACCGATATGCGGCTCGTACCCAATCCGGACAAGACTCCGCTTGATGGCTACGATACCAGAGTCACAATTGCTCGAAACCAAGAAGGCAGCAAAGGATTAATCACCACATAAGAGTACAAACTGCACAGCCCCTTCCGCGACGGCATCTGAGTTCAGCCCCAAGTCGGCACTCGTATGCATAGCCACAAAGAGCTTAAGATATTGGAGGTCATTTCGCTTGCATACAGCTTATCTCTGTTGAGGAAAAGCGTATGTGTATGAGAGGTCCGGCAGCAGGGCTTGGAAAGTTCCTACGATATGATAATGGCGCTGGCCCTGATCTCGGCTACAGACTGTCTGGATGGCCTGTACATCAATATATCCTTGAAGGTCGAACATTTGGCAGCATGTCATGTGGTGATCCGATTGGACTGGTCACAGAGGCTCACCGAATATCTGTTTAAACTTCGACAAGATCCACGGCAGCGGAACTCTGCATGATTGACAACTTTGACTTGAAGATCAGGACACGGGAAAGGTCTTGGCCTCTCGATCATCAGTTTGCAAGCTGTGGTCTCTTTAAGCACTGTTTTTGTCGCGTTGGTTGGGAGTGCTTGCAAGCGTCGTGTGTGTTTTCTCCTGCAGCGTGCAGTTCGCAGACAACGTCGCTATCCGCAGATGTTGTGTTTTATCAAAGCCTTCGCTCAGACTACGGCGTCGGTGATTTGGCGAACAGCCCCTCGTAACGTGCTCCGAGACCAAGAAAACAAGGAACTGCTCGTTGAGCCGTTGCGGCGTTGGAATCCTGGGATCCCAGGGATCTCAAAAGTCAAATCAAGCGAGAGGCTGCGAAAGCAAGCGCAGAGTCGCAAACGGTGTCGCTGAAGCAGCTAGCAGGGTAGGGCCAGCCCAAGGCCGGACGATTGGCCAATCTCCAACATGTGATCGGTGCGGTCTGATCGGCAACCAATAGGGTTCCGTTAGGAGTGTGTTCCGCCGCTCGAGCATTGTCTTGGCGGGCGACGTGTCATTGGAAAATGCACCAGAAATTAATTTGATCGATTTTCTATCGAATGATCCCTCCCTTATCGAAAATTCTGTACAATGGCTTCTGCTCTACGCGCTAGATGGCATCCCAGCATACGAGTAGAAGAACTCCGTCAAAGGGAGAACAAATAAGGAAACCAGGCCCAGTGCGCCGATCATAGAATCGTTGAAGCAATTCGCCTCTCATTGATTGTCAAGCATGCCAGCGGCCTTGACAATTGTACCGTGCTCCTTTTGTCCCATCGATAAATAGTAATCGCGAGCATCCTCAGTGGATATTGTAGAGCAAAAGATGGATCGAAGACGCCAGAACACCACCCAATGTGAAGCGTGATTTGTTAGTCCCGCCAATGGATTGTGAATGATCTTGCATTAAGCAGGGCCTGTACGTCGGCGCCGTCCTCCTCGGCCACCGCCTTCAGGTCGCTGAGCGAGGACTTCTCGAAGCAAAGGATCGTCCTTGTCTTTATCCACATGATGGACACGAACATGTCTGTGACAGAACTTGTTAGTCAAGACCTCAACTCCACAGATCAGGGCAACTCACCTCTGAAGATTGTCAGGACGGGGATATCTGTGCTCCCGGAGGGGACAGAATGGGCACACGTATCCAGGACTATCGTGGACTAGCCCGTGTCGGATCATCTCGTTCTTGCGCTTAAATCCCTTGCCTCCCTCGCCCCTAGGACAACCCTTGACAGGACAGTAGTGTGGACGACTCGAACTGTGCACATTCGCATGCGAGCNTAAAGTAGATCGTTAGAAGAATGCGATGAGTGCGCGATAATGATGGCGCACTTACTTGAGAAGATATTGAGTTTGGAAAGGTGGAGCAGCGCATCCAGGATGGTCACAAATGAAGCCCCCAGGTGCTGACGTCGATGTTTGTAAACGAGGCACTGAGGTTCTCGGTGTGCCCTCAAAGGAAGACGGGGTAGACTCCATTGGGGTGGTGTGAGCAGTACTACGTCCCCCAGCCTCGGAGTCTTGACAGCTCTGAAGTGTGCTCATGTTCTCCGATGAGGATACAGTACCCATAGATGACGAGGTCATGGAGGGAATGAAGGGTGGAGGTCTGGTGGGTTGCGCCGACCTGCGCCTGGAATTGTCATGGTTCGAAACGGAGAATGAAGCTGGCGAGTGTGAAGGCGGATACATTTCGTGACCATCGGCGCGAGTGTTAGTTGGCGAGGGGTGGCCAAGTAGGACGAAGTTGCTTGGAGGGCTGGACTGCTGCGATGGCGGAAAGTGTGGGTGGGAAGTTGTCACATTCTGTGCAACGACTTGATTGGCATACGCAGTGAGATTCGGCAGTCCAACGGTCCTCGTATCACTCGCCTCCGTTCCACTATCAGCAATCTTGCTCAACTGATGGAACGAAGGAAGAAGTCGATCGTTCTTAGATGATGTTACTGCGTCCTCCTGCGGTAAAGGATACAGGGACAACGAACCAGGTCCTGCAGATTGTACTGATTGCGCTCTCTGGGATGGTGAGTCGGTATTAGCGCGCTCAAGGAAGGTGTATTCGGGCATAGAGGCGGAATTCGTCATGGCGCGCAGGCTCAGGTTTCTCCCATTCAATGGTCTGTCCGTCCGTCTATCCGCAAAATGATACGGTTCCTGAGAGAAGGGGTGGGAGAGTTCTGCGCGGGGCTCTGGTAGAGGCATGTATCCTAATGCGGGTGGGCGTGGATCCGGGGGTAGTACGTTTCGATTCATGAATTCATGCTCCGGACCAGGCAAGATGTTAGGCCTTTTTGAACGTAGGCCATGCGCAAAATGCTCGTCGAGTCCAGTTAATTGATGCATTTGATCATCGAGATGACCCATCTGTCAGAGGGTCTGGCAACAGCTCGGCTATAGTATGGCGGGGTCTAGATGAGCTTGCAGCAGAATTGAACAGGCGATGGTAGGGTTGATTGCGGTAGAAAGCCGCAAAGTTAGTTTGTTGGAAATAAAAGATGTACAAGTCAGGACGGCTGGGCGTCTATGTGCTGAAGAAGAGTGCTTAATGCATAAGCTAGTGAGACTGTGGCATGCGATGTTGAACGAAGGTTCTGTAAAGCGGCACCAAAGTTAGTAACGTGTTTTGGTGCAAGACGTGGTGCTTTGCCAGAGATGGCGAGAACCATAGAGCAAGCTCAGGGGTGCAGAGAAAGCCTGGAGCTATGAGATGACAGATGCGCCATGACTTGAGTGGATAACCTGTCATCACATGTCACGCAAACAGTCGCGAAGACGACCAATGCAGAGCCCAAGCGCGTGGCTTGGTCCAGCCTCTCGATAGTTCCGATTTGTCGATGAGGCGGCGAAGCGAACTCATGAAGGGAAAGCATCTTGAAACATTGAACGAGTTTGTACGTACCAAAGCATGAGAGTTGCTGCGCGCGACCAGCGTCGTGAGCACCACAACACGACCTACCCTCTGGGCGGCGTGTTATGTCGAGCAGCGACTGAGTTCAATACGTCTCGACGATAATAGGCACTGCAATGATTTTGACCAGCGTTTTGGGGCTGGTGAGTCGCAAAACACCAGCTGTGGTGTGCGAATCAATTGGCAAGTCGGAGTTTGGAGGCAGAAAAGCTGGACGGAAATCTCTCGGCAACTCGTCCTGGGCACGCGTATCGTGAAACTTGTCAAGATACAGATAGCTTCCTGGCGGATATAGTGTACGACAATTGATAAAATGTCTGAAGAAAAATGATAGAGATGCAATCCAAAAATGTCAGGGACGATGGGAGAGGAAAAGGAAAGAAGGACGTAGGGCGGTAGTAACCGTCATTTGGGGGGGACGGACGAGCAGCAGACAAGGAACTAACTTAACAGTCCGGCGGAGTCGGTCGCATTTCCTCAGATGGATGTGAACCACCTCCCCTCACACCAAGCGCGGGCGCGCTCGATCCGAGGTGAGCAACAGAGCCGCTCTGCTGTTTCCGACCGCAATTCTGCCGACGAGCCTCAGACCACGTAGATGTACTGTAAATTGCCGCCCGCTAGTTCGGAGACCCCTTTCAGATCCTCTCATTCCTCAATGAAGCCTTTGTGCGGCTCACGCTTCGTCACGGAGCGCTCTGCTCGACCTGTCATTCGATGGAGAGGGTGCGGTGCGCGATTCACAACCGCCAAGCTTCCTGTATGGCGCTGGTCTAGACCGTCCATCATGCAAGCGCGTGCATCGCGAAACTGAAAATCTGTCCGATTCGCTGCTTTGATTTGGGTCCAAAAAGTTGCTTTGTGTCGTATCCGCCGGCTGTTTTTGCTGATACAGTAGCCTTCGATGGTTGATTTGCTGTATTACTGATCACTCCTCGAATCATACGCTCTGCTTTCTTGCGCCCTCGCAGACATGTTAGATAGCGACGGCCGCCGGTGGTATCCATGTCCACACATGCACCCAGACATGGGACAACGCAAACGGCTTACCCATGCATTAACGCATTATGGCAACCTTAGAGAGGAGAGTTCCTGCTGGTTGGTTTGGAATTACGAACAAGATGCAGAACGTTTCACCACAAAACCTCCAGAGAACTTAACAGGCGGCGCCAACCACAAACGGCTGCGGAAAACTGGCCAAGCCAAACGGGTTTAGTCTGGCTTCAGTCCAGGGTCTGTCTTGAACGACCGACGGCGCACAGCATGGCTTTCGTAGACAGGCCACATGATTGAAGGCACTTATGCATATTACCTCCACCAGTATTATTGGGAGCCTCACGACCCGCTTTTGCAAAGGTTCGACTTTGTACAGCAAGTGCAAGCCCTACTGTCGTGTAAGCAGTAGTGGAGCCTCAATCAGCATACACCGCTCCCTCCACGCCACCTCGAAACCGCATCAAATGAAGCGCAAGGAACCGTTGTCCGCGGGCCAGGCCAGCGCTGCAAAACGCTCACGGCCACGGCTGGAGGTGCCCGACTATCATCCGACCCCATCTGTGTGCGATGAGGTGACGGGGCAATCGATATGGCCAGCTCCAGAAGCTCAGATGAAGCAAGCTAGGGACATCATCCTTGATTGGTGATTTGCATCGAGTATTAACACCTTGATGCTATTGCTGATGATCCTCNNCAGTGCCCGTTCGCAGAAACGGACAATGATAGTGCCGGACAAGGATGCAGACGGACTCTCATCTGGTGTAATTCTACATCGTACACTGATTCTTCTGGGGCTCAAGCCCGAGCTGATCGACGTACATCTGCTGAGCAAAGGTCAAACGGTTCACCATGAACACGAACGAAATGCCATGGCTGCCAAATCTCCCGAGTACATCTTTGTTCTTGACCAAGGGTCCCGCAAGTCTGGACCTCTGATAGATGCACCCCACACCGGTTTGGTCATTGACCACCACAATGCCGAACCTGAAGACTTTCCCGAAGGTTCATCTTTCTGTACCGCAAACAAATCCCCGCCAGTGGTGACGTCTGCTCTCCTGACCTACCTGCTGTGCGAGCCACTTCACGAAGGCGTCAGGGACGAGACCGACTGGCTATGTGTAGTGGGAACGCATGGTGATCTGGGAAACACAATCAAGTGGGAGCACCCTTTCCCCGATATGGCCCTTACCCTCAAGAAGTACACCAAGAAAGCGCTGAATGATGTGGTCTCATACGTAAATGCGCCTCGACGGACAGCAACATACGACGTCAGTTCTGCTTTCGACGCACTTCTCACGGCTGAGCATCCCAAAGACGTCTTGAAACACTCGAGGCTACTCGCAGCTCGTCAAGAAGTCAATGCCGAAGTCGAGCGATGTACCCATACAGCACCCAAGTTCAGTCAGGATGGTAAGGTCGCCGTATTCAAAATCAAATCCGAGGCGCAGGTGCATCCCGTGATTGCAACGAGATGGGCTGGTCACCTTCAGAGCAAGGCCCTCGAGATTGTCATGGTCGCTAACGAGGGTTACTTGCCGAACAAGGTGAATTTCAGCTGTCGGGTACCAAGATGTGCTAAAAGTCGGGACCCACCTGTCGATATCATCCAAAGCCTGAAAGCATATGCCAGCTTGAAATTGGTGAAGGATGAGGACGACGATGCTGATGGCAGTCTACCTAGCGAGCCAGAGATTTCACTCCTGGAACGAGTAGGAGACGACTTTGCTCGAGGTCATGTGCAAGCTAGTGGAGGCATTGTGGATGTCGACCAGTTCGAGGAGTTAATGCGCTTGATGCGTGTTGGAGTGAAGAAAGACAAGACGCAAGGGTCAAGTCCGCAGAAGGGAAAGAAACCAATCGATGCAGGACAGAGCAACAAACTCACAAGTTACTTCGGAAAAAGAACTGATGGGACCGTATGTCAGTGAACTGATAAACACTCCCTTGATCCTCATCGTAGAACAGTACATCGGAGGCATACAACGTGACTGCTGAGTGCTCTGAAAGCCCTCATCTCAAAGGCGCATGTTGCCAAAGGTCACAGCTCGCTGGCTGCATCGCATGTCGCAGATGAGTTCAGACGTGAGATCGTCAACGAATCTGTTTCTTAAACCTGCCTCACATGCGTCATTCTGTCCTCAAACGACGCAAGCTCCCGACTAGTCAGTGCCATGCAGAAAAACAGATAGAGATCATTTTCCAGGCAAGACACTGTAGTGAGCATTGGGATTCGCTTCGTAAGATGGTCCGAGATGGTAAGAGCACAGTACAGCCATGTCAGACATTTGGGCGGTCTCTTTTGACAACATGCCAGGAGCCTAGGGTATACATACCAATATCATTAAGGTCTGTGATAGGCAAAACTAGAAGACAAGGTTGTACCAACCTCGAGCCCAACATTGGTTTGTATGCCGAGATGTCCAAGACCATTTGACCGAATGGTAAATCACTAACAGAGGCAGGGCAGTGTATAGAGGATGCGAGATGTCCAATCTTTAATAGGTGAGGAAATTCTATGCCGGTCCTTTCGAGTTAATATAAAACTACAGAGATATCTTTGACGCTGTGAGGGAAAAAAGCAGAAGGGGAGTAGGGAGTAAAGGTTTAGAGAACGAGACGGCCGGGCTCTGCCTCGAGGACCTGCTTCATACGTTCGAGGTACTCTTGTGCTCTCTTCTCATCGCCCTTGGGTGCCGAGACGCTGAAGACGTTCTGAGCGGCGACAACACCCTGTGCACCGAAAATCTTGGATGCCTTCTTGGGACTTGAAGGCTTTCCAGAAAGGATATCGATGATATCAGCCTTCTTGGCAGCGCGTTGACTAGTGAACAGCGGTGCAGAAGANNAAAGGCCGGTGACTTGAGGAACGTAGTGGCCGCGAGAAGTCTTGAAAGAAACCTTGTCGAGACCAAGAACAGAGTTGAAAAGCTCATCAGCTGTAGGCTTTCTGTTCTTTGAAAGAGGGAGGTTCTCGTTTGCGAGCTCCGAAGCACGAGCAATAAAAGTAGAAAGGGGGAGGTTGATTCCAAGAGTCTCGTGGACGCGCTTCTGGGTCTCGAGCACAGCGGAGAGGGAGATGGGAAGGGCGATTTCGGTGTCGGGGATGGGAGCGGGCTTCTCAGCCTCGATAGGCTTGGCCTCGGGCTTCTTGGGAGGAGCAGCGAGTTGGATGTTGGAGAGATCGAGGTGTGCCAGCTTGTCCATGCGCTTGGCCTGCTGGCCGGGGTAGTTCTTCTCAATCTTGCCCAGGTAGGCCAAGACGTCACCCTTGAGCAGACGTCCAGCGGGACCGCTTGCAGGGATCTTGTTGGCGTCTTCCTTAGTCAGGCCGTTCTGGAGGAGCAGGTGCTGGACCGAGGGGTAGAGAGGGTACGTTTGCTTTCTGGCCTTGGCATCGGAAGAGCCGTGTAGCTGAGTGGCTCTGGTGGTGTCTGCAGCACCGCCAGCAGAGGCATCGGCATTGGGCTTGGATGAAGGTGGGGCCTCTGATTGACTTGGGGAGGATTCGGTTGTGTCGATGCCAGACTTGAGCTCCTCTTGCGGGCTAGGGCGGTCCTTGCGAGCGGGTTGTCCAGCAGATGCGGCCGATTCCTCCTGAGGGATCTCGAGGGTGGCCAGGTCGTCGCCCTCCTCAGCCAGGACGGCGATGCGCGAGCCGACCTGGACGGCCTTTGCGCCTTCGGCAACGACGATTTTTGCAAGGATACCGTCCTCCTGAGCCTCAACGTCCATCTGGGCCTTGTCGGTTTCGATCTCGAGGATAACATCTCCAGCCGAGAAGGAGTCGCCNNTGTACAGCTCAGCTTCACTGCGCATCGTCGGTGGGGGAGACAGAGGGCGCTGCTCACCTTCCTTGAGCTTCCAGCTTGTGATGTTGCCCTCGGTCATGGTGGGCGACAAGGCGGGCATGGCGAAGTTCTGGGCAGCGCGGTTGGCCGCAGCGACACTGAAAGCNNTGCAATGAGCACGCATTAGATTGGCTCAGAGAGAAAGACTCGACTTGGGGAGCTCGAGGGCTGGAAACTCACGACGGCGACCATGTCTGCCGACGACGGCAGCGGCGAATCTGCAAGAGCTGGCAAAGGCGACCATTGTCACTGCGAGGATGGACGGATTGTGGGCGACAGCAACAACGACGACAAGTTGTATGCTGCACTGCTCTCAACAATAACCAAGTCCAAGATTGCTTCCGATGGGGGTCCCCGACTTGAAATGATCGGCCCGAGTTTTTGCTCCGAAAAGACCCTCGCAACCTCAAATCTACCTCGACCTGTCCGCAACCACCTCTGTTGCAAGACTTTATTACAGAATATTTAACCTGCGTTACGCCAATCGACCGGGCAGTCACTCTGCTTGAGCTGTCTGGATGGCCAAACAATGCACTTTCCTTTCCAGACTTTTTCTTGGGTCGCACCTGCCAAGTGCGTTGCTTCAAGAGCTGTTCTTCAGTGCCCTTTCTCCGTGATTGTCGTTACATGAATTTGCCTCTTTGCGCCCTGGACTATCAGAAACAGAGCCGAGAGGACTTCGTATCGGCCATCAAACATCTGCAACCCTGACCATCCCGAAACCATCTTGATAGCCGCCCTCGAGATACGCGCCCGCCGCGCATACCATTGACTCCGACATGTTGACATCACTCTACCACAAATAGCCTGAAACTGGCGCGACGCTTTTTTCAACCAGTTTCTGCAACCGCTCGATCTCTATTCTAGACGCGCTCGTCGTGGTAGGCTGTTCTTTCACCACGGAGCCTCGCTCGGCCTGCACGCTGCAGAAGCGCTCACAGCATGCTGGCTGTTCCTGGACGGCCGCCTACCAAAATAGGACTGCCTGAGAGCCTCATTCCCGAAATGTCCAGGTGTTTCAGCATCAGTAATATCTTGGCTCGACTGGCCATCAGGTCAAGAATGTATCAAGATTCGAAGTATAAGTTCAATCCCTGCGCATGCTGTAGAGGTATCAAGTCGTTCCTGCATTGTTCTAGCTCTACTCCTTCTTTACTTGCCTTCTTTACTACTCTTTCTACTCTTTCTACTCGGTTGTCTAATTCTAATCCCCTTCTTTTCTCACCGCGGGTCGGTCATTTCTCGGTCCATTCTCTCAATATATTAAACAAGGAGTTTTCATCAATCCACATAGAGGTTCGATCCTGAAGATGCCTAAGAACAGACGCGTTTCTTCAAACCATCGCCAATCACCCTTTCCGATAGCACAAGCACGACAGTCAGGGTCAATAGAGATCCAGCCAGGCCACAGAAACACAGCCAATTGGAGTTCTGCCGAGGATGAGGTCTTGGTCGCTGCTAGAGCAGCCGGTCTCAACTGGCAATCTACCGCTGCAAAGCACTTCCCTAACAAGACGGCCAACGCTTGTCGTAAACGTCACGAACGATTGGTAGAACGCCGAACTCATGAGGACTGGACCACGAAAAGATTGGACACTCTCGCATCAGAATACATGGAACTTAGAAGGGAGATATGGGCTCCATTGGCAGCCAAGATTGGTGAGCGCTGGAGTGTAGTCGAAGCAAAGGCAAGTCAAAAGCGGCAAGCTATATACAATTAAGCGCCTCGTTAACATACCTGTTAGTGCATGGAGAAGGGCCTCAGGAATCTACAGTCAATTGCACGTACGGCTCGCAAGACATCTGCTCCTAGTGAGGACCTCCCTGCCCCAAACAAGGAAGAGCATGAAGGCGATTCCGGCATCGGCTGTTCGGACGCTGAATCGGAGCCAGTCGATATTTGTACAACTGTTGGCCAGTCTCTTCCAGGCTCAACACTAGTCCAAGAACGACAACCTGCTCTGGGACTTTCGGTCAACCAACAGAATGCATTGTACCACATTTTGCCTAGGCCTCCGCCATTGCCTCTGTATCAGCCCCCATCAAGAGTCCCTGCTCGTATTGTACCATGTACAGGCAGGTTTGTTTCACTCAGGCCGTCTGACAGCAATCCTGCGAGAGAGCGGACCCCGGAACACTCAACTCAGCGGAGTGTAAGTATCAAATCGATGCTCTCGCATACGCCAGAATCTTGACCAGCGAATCCCAAGAGGTTTAACGAACGATTTATGAATGATTAGCATTGCTAGGCGTTGTTGGGGAAATATTCTGATTTCAGTAATGATTTACGGAAGGACGATTTGGTGTTAGCAAGCTTGGCCGGGAGTTGTGACATGGTTTCGGAGTTCGTGTAAAACAATTGACGAGGTCGGTAGCTCGAGACAGGATGGTAGTAGGATATCAAACTATTTTGATAATCAGCCTCATCGCATATCAGGCTGATGTCGTGCTATATCGCAGTGCCAAGACGGTTGACGCATCTCGGTAGTAGATCGCGGTCGGCGGACAAGACGCGGCTTCCAGTTCCTTTTCAATTGCATATTGTCGGAAGTGATTGAGAGATACTAGGACATTCCTTTACAACTTGATCTGACGGACATCCGTGCAGGCGGTTGTCAGCTTACGTGGAAGGAGCGACACACGGATGCAGAGGCATCTCGTAACTACTCGTAGATGAGAGCGTGTCAATTCCCGGGGCTGAGTCTACAGACGACTAGCCCCCTGCTGCACGCGTCTCGCTCGACTTTTGTTCCTACCACCTCGAGGACCTTGCTGAAGAGCCATCAAACTCGTATTCTTGTAACCTCTCGCCCTCGACACAACTGGTCGTTGCTCAATCACCGCATACCGACCCGACCGTCCCCGTCTCATCCATCCATTTCCTGCACGAGCACGACCTCCACCACCATGGAGCACACTCGAGGTCATTTCGGTCACTCACACCATGGCCACCACCATCACCACGATACAACCTTCCTAACGAGTACGGACAAGAACGACGCTGGAGTCCGTATCACGCGAGTCGGACTTTTTGTCAACCTCGGCATGGCCATTGCTAAGGGAGTCGGTGGTTACGTCTTCAACTCCAAAGCGTATGTGCCAGCCCCTTCAGCCTGTCACGGTCAATGCTAACATGCTGTTCTTGCAGANCTGTCGGCCGACGCCATCCACTCACTCACAGATCTCATCTCCGATTTCACCACCCTCGCGACCGTCTCGTACTCATTACGAGCCCCCACAAGCAGGTTCCCCACTGGCTACGGAAAGATTGAGTCTCTCGGGGCACTTGGCGTGTCGGGTATCCTTCTTTCGGGAGGAATCATGATCGGCCTACAGGCAGTTATGGCTCTCGCACAACAATTCTTCCCGGATATCGCCCATGTACTCTCCCACATTGGCATCTTCGGCCACGGCCACAGCCACAATCATAGTCATGGCATTGAGGGCATGGGTGTCAACATCAATGCAGCATGGCTGGCCGCCGGCAGTATCATAATAAAAGAGTGGTTATACCGAGCGACCATGAAGATCGCAACAGAGAAGCGCAGCAGTGTTCTGGCGAGCAACGCATACCACCACCGTGTCGACAGTCTGACTGCTGTTGTTGCCTTGGCCACCATCTGTGCCAGTCACTTCTTGACAAACGCTGCTTGGCTCGACCCTGTGGGTGGTCTCGTCATCTCAGGCATGATCGTGCAAGCTGGATACGGGAACACCAAGGCTGCACTCCTGGAGCTGGCCGATGTATCGATCGATGACGAAATGAAGCACAAGATCGAGAGCGCTGCATCGCAAGCTCTGGGAGCTCTGAAGCTGCCCACCGAGTCGGCTCCCCAGGTCCAGGGCATCAAGAGTGGCCAAAACTACCTGGTTGAGATCGCCGTCACCGTCCCCTCGACCTGGACGTTGGAGCAAATGACCGAAGCCGAGAACAGCATGCGCGAAAAGGTATCCTCTGCCACGCAAGGAATCAAGCGTGTCTCGATCCGCTTCACCAGCTCGGAAACAACCGGCGATGCTTTTGCGAACGAGTTCGTTGCCTCCAAAGACCAGACACATGGCCACGAGCATGAACACGAGCACGAGCACAGCCATGATGATGGACACAGCCATAGCCATGAACCCGTACAAGAAGGCTCCAAGACAGGACTCAACAAGAGAAAGTAAAAGGAAACGGTTGGCCATATTTGAAGACGATACATGGAGCACATCTGTGATGGAGCACCATATCCTGCTGCTAGAAGCTCAAGAAGACCCCCAACTGCGTTAGAACAAGGCAAAGCAGCTTTCCGCCTGGCAGTGAAATTGAGCCACCTCGGGTGGGCAGTAGAGATGAGAAAGCGGCACATGTCATGAAAGCATTGGACACCTCGAGGGTATGGCGAAGGGAAGCATGCTACCACACGCTTGATAGAAATACAAACGACCTCGTAGACATACAATCTTGGGAAAATTTTGAGCAACGAACAAATTACGATTGCGGATCACAAAACACACACGAGAATCACAGAACAGCATTGATCGTAAATGTAGTAAGAAAGTCTAGTTGTATAAGCGGCCTATTTTCTTCTGTAGACGAGATGATTGTCTCCGTCTATGACTTTGAACGTGGTCTAGCCGTCCAAGTACGGCGAACCGCCGCTCCGCTTTGTAGCGGCTTTACAATGTGTGCGGCTCAGTCTATATGTACAAGCATGCAGGGCTTGCAAATCCATGCGGCTCAATTGCAGCATGTGGGAAAGTGGTTGTGCGCTCGTATGATGCAGTTGGCGGATTTTGTGCGGTGACACTCTGACGCTGCTCGTATTAATGGTGACATCGCAGTCCTGTGCCCATTTTGCGATAGGGAAATTGCGTGCCTCGATGGAAATGCGGCACAGCTTGCCGGTCCTCAACGGTTTTCTGGGGACACTGCGGCATGCGATATAGGCAGCCTTCTGTCACTCTTTGCTCTTTGGGCATGTGGCACATGCCCCACTCGATAGGGGGCGTGTGGAGCGGGCGTGATGCGGAGGTGATGACTCTGGCATTGGATGGGAATGCTCAGGTTGGATCTGACTCGGTAGCGGCCTGGAGTTGGTAGCCCGAGTTCCTCTGAACAAGACTGACATAGTAGTCAACCAGCACCTCCGGCTTAGGGACGATGCGCCATTGGACCTTTTCCAAGAATTCCATCTCCAGAGTCGCAAGTTCGCTGACGCTGATACCGCCAATTCTCGCATAAGTAGGGTTCGTCCAGAAAGAGTCACTCAAGCCTTTTGCGGCGACGGTAGAAGCGGTAATAAGGAAGCGATGGACGGTGAGAGAGCTGATAGTGAAGGACGGATAGAGTGAGCATAACAGATCGATATAGTAGACGACGGAGAGGAGGATTGGTGGCGAGAGAGTAGCATGCTGAATTAGACGTTGCAGATAGTCGTGGCATGAGATTCCAGGCGGAGCCCNTGCGTGTTGTGTTAGCATGTGTGTACACGTTGGCGTGGAGTGGAAAAGTTACCTCGAGTGGAATCTGGTTAGGCGACCGGTCAAAGGGATCTTGTCGTTGAGACGAATCAATTCCAAGAGCATGTTGCTGATCAAGTAACCCAGATCCTTGGGGTCGCATGTCTCGTACTTGAGAGGCATGATCTTGACATTGGGATCCATGTTGACATTGAGGTTCGGCTGAGTGCGAGGCTTTTTGTGAGCGAAGGAGACAGGGACGGATCCGGGATGGCAGCGGCAAGGGGTCCGGGAGATGCAGTCGTCGTGTCTGTGTGTATAGGACGTTCAGGGAGGCTTGTCTCTGGACGGGGGGCCATTGATGGCGCAGGGGGAGATGAGCCTCTGCGTTTGCTGCCAGCGAGAGTGTTGGCAGTTGGTGGATAGCCTTCGGGAGTGTACTGGGTGGCAGCATCGGCCGTCATGGGTTTCTGCACAGGGGTGCGGGCATGGGAAGGATGGGGTTGCAAGGCGGGCGATGAGGTGGTCGGGAGCCTGGGAGCAGGATTCTTGGGCGAAGGCCTGGAGTAGCGTGCGTGGAAGGCGGCACTGGGCGAAGGGGAAGCCAGGGCCGACATTTACGGAAAGGACGACGGTCTATGGACGTTGTTGAAGTTTTGGTTGCGTTGTGGATTGCAGGCGCTGCTTGGATGCGCGGGCGTGGCGCATAATTAGGCAGGAAGGCGGTTGCGGGAAAGCAGAGTCTAGAGAAGAGCGTGGAGAAAGGCAAGAGCGAGGGCGAATGGTGATGGACGTCTCTGAGCAGAGACCTTTTGCGTAGCGTCGGAGGTTTCAAAACGTCTTGTTTAGTTTGCGTGTTTCGACGACGGCCAACAACCTGTCTCTCGACCCACGTGCCGGACGAGCCTTCAGACTTGGCGTCGGTCCCAAGCACGTCATTGTGTCTCCGTACCATCCAGGTGAGAATAGGCAGGAGCGTCACTCGTCCTCATCAGCCATTGCACAGGCAGGTGCTGGTCGCTAGTCACTGGTCTCTGAGACGCCATTGCCCATTGCTTCCCCTCGGCGCCCGCTACCATGGTGCAGCCTCCGTCGCTGGCAGCTCTGCGCGAGCTCAAGTCATCGCCGCAGCCATCGGCCGACCACCAACTGCCGCTCTTGCGCACCATCAAGAACGACATTGTCGGCCACGGCCAGCGCAAGAAGCTTGTTGTCCGTCATGGCCTGCTCGACTGCCTGGCCCACACCCTGGCCACTTCCCCGGACCCCGACATGCACCTGCAGACAACCTTGATCGTCGCCAGCCTCGCCGAAGAGGGCGCGGCCTTTGTCACTCCCATCCTCCACAGCAACCTCGTACAACCGCTATTACTATTCCTCTCTCCGGATGCTCCTTCTCCGACCCATCTGATCACTGCCTCTCTCCGCGCCATCAATGCTCTTGCCGCCTCGTGGATCCTCTCGCCCAACCCCGACTCCGTCTTCGTCAACCACGTCTTGAACAAGCACACACTCGCTTCCTTCCTCGACATCCTCCGTCGCCCTCTGCCCACCTCGGTCCAACAACACCACATTGCTTTGACCTCGACTCTGCTGGCCACATGTTGTGCTCATGCCCATCATCACGCTTCCAACCTGGTCCACCACGGCATCCTGGACGCTCTTGCCTCCAATCTCGCCAGCTTTGCTTTCGTCTACAACAGGAACCAGCAGTCCAATCACAACAAACTTGATGTTACCGCTCTCATAAACGCCATCTCGGCCATCATACGCGACTCGACCTACCGAGCCCACCGTCTCATTTTTTCTGATGACCTGAGGCGCATCTTTTGCCATCCGTCAGACACCTCTCCTTCAGATCCTCTTCAAGCCCCCGACTTTAACCACCTCAGATATATCAAATCTAGCAATGTCATTGCTGTCGATAACTTACTCCCAAAAGTCATGGTTCCCCTTCAAAAATCCCTTGCTTTCGGCCACCATGCCCTCATCAGCTCCAGACTCTTCCCGGACCACTCTGCAACCAATGTCTCCGTAAACTCACCTCTCTGCGTCTGGCTCATGTACCTTGCTCGCTCCCAGCAAGACCCCTGCTGCCGTCTAGCCGCTCTTCGCCTTCTTGCCATTCTCAACGATGCTCTTGACGCAGACACTGCCGCTCCCCGCTCAGATTTGCTCACCAGATCAAGAGAAAGGGAAAGACAAATGGCTTTGTTTGCGATCCCTATTGCTGTCAAGCTTGTTCAAGACTCACTAGAAGTTCCCTTTGGCCAGGACCTGTCAGTTGTCAGAGAAGACGCTTGTGCTGTTCTAGCCCATCTCATTGAAAATAGCACTGAGCTTCAGCAAGCCGCTCTGGATGCTGGCGCAGTCAAACATGTCTCGCAACTTTTCAAGAAGTCGTTTGACCCCATAACTCTTGCTCGGCCAATGTGGTCCGCCGATCCTCAAGCTCTAGACTCGCAATTACCCGCTACCCCGTCCGCTACCCTTGGACCTGATGGTCTCGCTCCCGAAGTTATGCATGCTATGAAGTGTAGAGCAGGTGCGCTAGATGCGCTTGCTGCTATTGCCGAGAAAGAGGACGTCAACCGCAAAGCAGTCATCGATAGTGGCATCATCTCCAATCTTATCGACTCGCTCGCGCCCATCAGCGTTTTTGATTCCTCGATACTTCCTTCCAAAAACGGCAATACAGTACCAGTCTTGCTCGCGGCCTGCCATGCTGCTACAGCTTTATCGAGATCTGTTAGTCTCTTGCGCACAGCACTTATCGATGCTGGTATTACCAAACCTATATATGCCCTCTTGTCTTTTCCGGACGTTGAGGTCCAAATCGCTGCTACTAATGTTGTTTGCAATCTCGTTCTTGAGTTCAGTCCCATGCGTCAGGTAAGAACTTCTGCTCATCTTTTTGGTCGACACATGCTGAGTCTGCAGGATCTTGTCAACGCCGGAGTTGTCACAGCACTGTGTGAGCAAGCGAAACGATCAAATTCGAAGCTGCGCCAAGCCTCACTTTGGGCTTTGAAGCATCTTGTCCTCAATTCTCCAAAGGATCTGAAAGTCGAATGTCTCGAACAGCTAGGGACCGGTTGGCTTATTCAGGCAGTGAACGGGACGTTCCAGCGGGAAACCTCTATGGCTCTGGGAAGTATCAATGCTGCGGGTCAACAGGTCGATCTGCTGAATGCCTCAAACACCCCTGGAATGGATATGGACTGGACCGAACAGGAGAATGATGATGCGAACGATGACGATGAAGATGGCGAAGTATTGATGGACCACAACGGTACACGTTATCAATCGAGTGGACTTAGGTCGACATTGGATACTACTAACTACAAAGCGCATCTGCGCTTGCTTCGTAAAAACGAACACGACCCTGCAGTTCAGGCAAAACATGATGATATGCTGGTTCAAGAACAAGCGCTTGATTTCATCAGAAATTTGATCAACGGCGATGACAACGTTGCCATGATCGAGCATCTCAACAGCGTTCTAGGTGCCGACCAGCTCTTTGAAATGCTTCATAACAAACTTCGACCTATTGTCGTCCGGCCTAATTCGCCGATTGACTCATATAGGCATACGGTATATTCTCCGCAGTCACAGCAGTCAGAGACTGTGTGGCAGCCACCCGAGCTGATCAACGCTGCCCTTGGTGTCATTATACACGTGGCTGGAGGATCATCCAAACACCGCCAACAGTTGATAGCGCAAACCCCATTGTTGATTGCCTGGCTGCCGCACTTCTCTCACGCCGACCGTCGCATTCGTGTAGCATCTGTCTGGGCAATCATCAATCTGACCTGGGTGGATAGTGCAGCCGATAGAGAAGATGCCAAAGCAAGAGCTCGCACCTTAGCATCATTTGGTATAGACGAAAAAGTCCGTGCTTTGGCAGAAGACGTCGACGCTGATACACGAGAGAGGGTCAAGACAGCTGTACGGCAAATCGACGAATTATTGGAGGGTGGTCGTTACCGATGACTACTTGACATGAACTGAGAGTCACCAAGCATGAGAAACACACGACACGAAACGTCCTATATACAACGAGGCCAATGAAATGTACTATACTGTATGCCACTATCACCGCTCTTTGGAGCTTTACTCATGCATAGGGTTGAATTTATATCTACACAGAGCCATGGTGCTTCTTGTTGAACTCGTCTACCATCCTTCTGGCAGCAGTCACGATATTCACAGCGCCAGGGGAATCAGAATGGCAGCACAGCGATATCTCATGATCGCCCAGTGGCAGATTGACCTCCTCTCCCGTAACGGCGATGACAGATGAGTTTTCCAGCTGTGACTTGATGTGTGCTGCTGTCTCTTCTTGTGTCCATGCCCTAAGGGTCACCATGTTAGCTAGCTTTTCTGAAGCTTCTACTGTATCTTGGCCTTACTTTTTCTTGCGGTCAATCACCAATGTGCCGTCTTTTGAGTATTTTACATCACCGTATAGCTCAGCGAAAAACGGCAAGCCGAGCTCCTTTGCGACTTCTTCGTGAAGAGTACCGGCAAGGCCGAACACAGGTGTGCCTTTTGGAACCCNCGAGTAGACCGCTCGGCATACCTCGCGGTCCCTGTACATCATGCCATAGAGTACGCCATGTGGTTTCACATGGTGTAGAGGTACGCCCTCGGCATCCAGAAAGCCCTTCAAGGCGCCCACTTGGTAGATAACCATTGCGGTCAATTCTTCGGGTGACATCTTGATTTCTCGTCTGCCGAAGCCTTGGATGTCCGGTAGTCCCGGATGAGCTCCGATCTTGATGTTGTGCTGTTTGCATAGCTTGACTGTGTTGGCCATGATCAGAGGATCTCCAGCATGAAATCCACAGGCGATGTTGGCATGGTCGATTAGTGGAATCAGCTCTTCATCCGGACCGCATTTGAAGTTACCGTATCCCTCGCCTAGGTCGACGTTGATGTGTACTTTCTTGCTGACTGGAGGCATGTTGTTTTGTGTTGCTTACTGGAGTGCTTTAGGATGAACACTTAGGTCTGGCCGGCTGAGAGGAAGGACGGATGGCACGACCTTTCTCCCTGGATATACCCATGTCATCTCGAGGTGGAGTTGGTCTTGGAGGCTTATCATTGATCGACACTTACCCCAAGACCCCTCACCGGCCAAAGCCATATGCAGGTCAGCCGACGACCAGGCAGTGACCTTGATGAGTCCAGTATATAAGTCTTTGACCGTCTCGAATATCACGATGGCTATTATTTGAGATACAACAATATGGAAAAACTCAAGACTCTCCTCATTGCCAATCGAGGTGAAATTGCGGTTCGTGACCCTGTCCATATTCATACCCCACACCCACACACCTTGGCGGGGTAACATGCAGCCATTACCTAACAAGAACATCTATTCCAGGTCCGCATCATCAGGACAGCAAAAGCTCTAGGTATACGCACCATATCAGTCTACTCAGCTGCGGACGCCGCATCGCGCCATGTAACAGCTGCAGACGAGGCCGTCTTGCTCTCCGGCAGTGACTCAACCGTATACACTGATGGCGACAACATCATCGCCATAGCAAAGCAGAAAGGAGTCGATGCCATCATCCCTGGCTATGGCTTCCTCTCCGAGAATGCCGAATTCGCTAGACAGGTCGCAGACGCTGGAATTGTCTGGGTGGGCCCGAGTCCGGAAGCAATCGAAGCCTTTGGCGTGAAGCACGTAGCACGAGACCTGGCTGAAAAGGCTGGCGTGCCAATTGTTCCCGGCACCAAAGGCCTCGTGGAAAGTGCTGACGATGCCGTCCAAGCATCCGAGATGCTCGGTTTCCCCGTCATGCTGAAGGCTACAGGAGGAGGTGGTGGTATGGGTTTGGTGACCTGCTACAATGTCGATGAGGTTCGGTCTGGCTTTGACAAAGTGCAGTCGCGAGGCAAGACATTGTTCAAGAACTCTGGCTTGTTCATCGAGAAATACTATGCAGCCTCTCGCCACATCGAGGTGCAGGTCTTTGGTAATGGCCAAGGATCAGCGATTCACTTTGGCGAAAGAGAGTGCTCTATCCAGCGCCGTCACCAAAAAGTCATCGAAGAGTGTCCGAGTCCATTCGTCGAGAAGCATCCTGGTTTGAGAGAGAAGCTCGGTGATGCGGCTGTCAGTCTTGCAGAGTCTATCAAGTATGGTTCTGCCGGTACGGTGGAGTATCTGGTTGACGATGCATCTGGAGACTATTTCTTCTTGGAGATGAACACTCGACTTCAAGTGGAGCACGGAATTACAGAGCTCTGTTATGATGTTGATCTGGTAGAACTCATGCTTCAGCAAGCCGATGCTCAACTCAAAGGTCAAGGCGGACTGGGAGCGGGCTCTCTGAAGAAAATGCAGCCATCATCCCCGAAGGGCTCCGCAATCGAAGCCAGAGTCTATGCAGAAAATCCTCTGCGTGATTTCGCCCCTTCTCCCGGTCTCTTGCAATCTGTGTCTTGGCCAGAACAACACAACGATCGGATCCGTATCGATACATGGGTCTTCACCGGAGCTACCATCACACCCAACTATGATCCACTCATAGCCAAAGTCATGTTTCATGGTCCCTCTAGGAAAGAGGCTGTAGAAGGCATGCAAAATCTACTTTCGTCGTCCAAGATCTGCGGTCCACCAACCAATCTCGACTTCTTGGAAGAGATCATACGCGATGATAGATTCAAGGCTGGAAACACCTTGACTAACTTCTTGGACTCGTTTGACTTCAAACCTGCCGCTATCGATGTTATATCGGCAGGCGCTTATACCCTTATACAGGACTTGCCAGGCAGGCCGACAGTAGGCAAAGGTATCCCTCATTCCGGTGCGATGGACCCCATTGCCTTTTCGCTCGCAAATATCCTTGCTGGAAATCGTCCAACTACAGAAGCCCTGGAAATAACTCTGAGTGGCCCGGAACTACACTTCGTACGTCCAGCTGTGGTCGCTCTGACGGGTGCTCCAATGGACGCCCAACTAGACGGGCAATCGTTCTCAATGTGGCAGCGATACCACATCAAGGCTGGACAAAAGCTCAAGATTGGCAAGACAACAGCCTCTGGATGTAGAGCCTATCTTGCTGTCTACGGCGGCTTCCCTACCGTGGCCGAGTACTTCGGATCAAAATCTACCTCTCCAATTGTGGCAATTGGTGGTTACCAAGGACGTCAACTTGCACCTGGAGATCTGCTAGCTGTTGTTGATGATATTCCTGAATCTATCTCGAGCTCGAGTGTCAGCTTGCCGAAGACTCTTGTGCCTGTCTACTCTAGTGAGTGGGAAATCATGGCCATGGTCGGACCACACGACATAGAATATCTCCTTCCCGAAGACATTGACATGATCTACACCACTACGTGGAAAGTCTCACACAACGCCAGTCGTAGTGCTATCAGACTGATTGGACCCGTTCCTAAATGGGCCCGTAAGGATGGTGGCGAAGGTGGCGCTCATCCCTCAAATCTGGTCGAGTACGGTTACCCCATAGGAGCACTCAACTGGACTGGTGACGATCCATGCCTATTCCCCGTAGACTGCCCCAACTTCGGTGGCTTCGTTTCCAGCACAACTGTCATTCGAGCGGAATGGTGGAAACTAGGCCAGCTCAAGTCAGGAGACACTCTAAAGTACAAGAGGGTATCTCTGGAAGAAGCACTTTCTTTACGCAAGCAAAATGACTATTTCATCGAGTCGATCGAAAACGCTGTAAAGGATAACAGCGGATTCGAGGATGTCAAGCCTCTTAACTCTGCCTTTGAGCCCTCTGGCAATTTCGGCAAGTCGGTCATTTGGGAGAGACCTCAAGAGGGCCGACAGCCTCTGGTCAGATACAGACAAGGCGGAGACGACCACATCATCGTTGAGTATGGCAACGAGGAGTTTGATCTGAACCATCGCTGCAGGACGACGGCGCTTGAGAAGGCTATTCGATCTTCGGACCCCAAGTGGCTCAACAACACTGTATCCTGCTGCACTAGCGTCACGCTTTTCTACAATGGCCTGGAAATCGAAAGACAGAAGTTGGTAGCACATCTCCAACGCCTGGAAGAAGAGTTGGGCGACCTCAGCTCCGTCAAGGTGGCTTGTCGAAAATTCCGCCTTCCGCTCTCATTCGAGTCGAAAACGCAGGAGGAAGCGACAAAGAGGTATATGGAGACGCAACGGCCACATGCGCCGTACCTTCCCAGCAACTTTGATTTCGTCGCTAAGAACAATTCCTTCACTTCAGACCAGCTACGAGACATTTTCCTCACTGGCCAGTTCATGGCTGTCGTGATAGGGTTCTATGCAGGCAACACGGTATCGTTACCGGTCGATCCTCGTCAACGAATGTCGTGCCCAAAGGCGAACCCAAGTCGAGTATTTACACCTGAAGGCACCGTAAGTTGGGGCGGCTCCTGCATGTCAATCTACCCAGTCGATAGCCCAGGTGGATACCAGATGACCGGGCGCACGATTCCCATTTTCGATGCACTGGGTTGGAAAAGCGGATTCTCTCCTTCACGGCCCTACCTGTTCCAAGACTTCGATATATTAACCTACTACCAGGTCAGTGAGCAAGAGCTAGATGTGTTGCTTGCAGACTTTCGCAGTGGTAGGTACAAGTTCGAATGGGAGGACATTGAGTTCGACATGGCCGAACACAACAAGTTGTTGGCAGACACAGCCAAGGAAGTCGAGGGCATTCGTGCCGAACAAGCAGTTGCTCAAGCTGAAATGACAAAGGCAGAGAATGAGAGCCTGGCCAAGTGGAGAGAGGAAAAGGCGAAGAACAAAGTCGACGACAGCACAATTGAATCCATGTTGGCTGGTAAGTTTCTCAAATTCCCTTCATTGTCGATGGAACTCGCTAACGGCAAACANGATCCCAAGTACACAACTATAGACTCACCGGTCGCTGCGAATGTCTGGAAGATCATGGTTGAAGAAAAGCAGACCATCAAGCCAAACCAAACCATAGTCGTCCTCGAGGCGATGAAGCTAGAGATTGCAGTAAACGCTCCGCCAGATCAGAAATCTGCAAAGGTTGAGAGACTGTTAGTTGCTCCCGGCGAGACTGTGAATGCAGGTGCTCGCATTGCGTTGCTGAAGTTTAAGGATTGAGGAGGATCTGGAGTATCGGGGTAGGATGACTACCAATATGTACCATGGTTTGCAATGTTGGAATGAACTATATCGTAAGATTGCGATTGATTTGACCACTGAAAATAGTGTCTCTCGATCAATTCCAACTTGAACTGCTGTACGCAGGTGGCAGGAGCAATGTATGCGCCACACTGCCTGTTTAGTCAGGTGCTAAAGCCGCTTATCATCAGCTTCGTACCTGCCGTCAGCGCGACGGATCCTACAGAAACGTTGTTGACCCCGCCATTGTGTTTATAGACGAAGCTTGCCCTCTACATTGTACTTTCCCGAAACCAAATATCCAAAGATGACAGAATCGGAAGAGAAGCAGATCTATCACGGGAACTGCCATTGTGGCGCCTTCAAGTTCTCCGTCGCTCTCGCACCGATCAAGAAGGCTGCGGTATGCAACTGTAGTATTTGCAGAAGAGTAAGATCCAATCTTCCTAGATCCCCTTGCTAGCTTTGAGTTCTGACGGGGAGCNNTCAGAAGGGATATCTCTTTGCAGTGCCCGAGAAGCCATCTGACTTCAAAGTCGAAGTTGGCGATGGCGTCTTGGAGACCTATTCGTTCGGCAATGGAGTCGCTGAGCACAAGGTAACCAATTGCCCAGCTCAATGGCTTCAAAAGAAAAAAAAACTTATAATGTCCAGNTTCTGTCCAACCTGCGGTACGGGTGTTCTGGTCGAAGCAGCAAAAATGAACTTCCTAGCCGTCAATGTGNNAAACCTCCAACCAAACCATCCTCTATCTTTCCCACAATCTCTGACAAGAATCCAGATAAGAACTTTCAAGCACGGAGAAGTGGACATTGACAACTTAAGAATCAGCACCACGGATCGCGCAAACATCGAACCAGTCTACACACCTTTTGTTCTCCCTCAAGATCAAACACCTCAAGTATCCGAAGGACAAAAGGTGTACACCGGCAGCTGCCACTGTCAAGCTATAAAGTATACCGTTGTGTCTGAAGAGATCAACGAAGTCCGCACTTGCAACTGCAGTTTCTGCTCTCGTGTGAGTTTCTTTCTCCCCGCGCTAATATGACCACTATCACGGTTTCTGACACTGTGATGAAACAGNAATGCGGATATGTGGATCTATCCTCCAATCCCTTCGGTCAACCTCTTGGGCACAGAGGATAAGCTGACAGACTACCTCTTCCACCCTAGTCGTGCATACCACGGTTTCTGTGGTGTCTGTGGTGTCGACGTGGTCAATAGAGTAGACTTGCACCCTGTTTTCAAAGCTCCGGTCAGGCCGATCAATGTAAGGACTATGGATAATATTTCGTTGGAAGATCTCAAGATCGAAAAGGTGGATGGATGGTCTCAGGAGACCGGTCCCTACAAGCCTTACGATGTCTGATGATCTGGCTGTCATATGTTAGTTAACATGAGAGTTTGGAACAAGGGCAAGCTTGGTAAAGTCATTATTCTTTCATAACAGAAGTAATGCATCTATTTGGTATCTAGAGAACTTTTCGACGACGAATCTGCAGAGACCTTCTCTCTATTCAAAGGTTTTAGTGGTATAGGTGGACCCTTGCTGTCTTTAGCAGCATCTTCATTCTTTACCAGCGAATCTCTCCATGTCTTGAATCGTGACACGAGACTGGGTTTCTTCTCATCGCCAACCTCTTTCTCTGAATCGTGATCTGAATGTTCCATCTCTGCCTCACGGACCTTTTCTTCGACCACGTCTTCTTGTCTCACCAGTCCCTTGTCAGTGACGAAGAACGTAAGCAAGAGCGCTATTCCGATAACCGCCACGCAGAATATAAAGACAGTACGGCTTGCGTTTGCATATGCCGTACTGATGCTTGTTCGATCGGCAGCGCTGACAGTGTTCAGATCAGGCACAGCGAACGTGGATTCGGCAATGTATTGAAGATGTGGCGGCAGGCTTGATTCTAGAACATTGCCTGAGATGGCCGAGCAAATGGCCAGACCGACTGCACCTCCCAGCTGACGCAGCAGCATTCGATTGGAAATGACGACTGAACGTTGTGATTTGGGACAATGTGCTTGCATGGCAGTATTGGTTGTCTGGAAGGTGCAGCCGCAACCAAAGCCAACCATAACGATGAAGCCGCAAATATGGCCAACAGGAGAATTAGCATCGAGAGAGACCAATAAGCCTGAGCCTAGAGTCCAAACAACAAAGCCAGCGAATATGACCTCGATGTAGTGGCCGATAAAGGACATGTACTGTCCACCAAGCGCGGAGAATGTGGCTTGTACCAGAACCAGAGGCAGAATGAGTACCGCTGACCTCATAACATTGTACCCACCAACATTTTGGTAATACAACGGCAGATAATATATCAGAGAGTAGTAGTTCATGCCGAGCAAGAAGGATTGCACCAACATGCAAGCCACTGACGGATTTTGCCACATATCTAGTGGCATCATTGGAAGCTTTGCAAATTTCCACTCAACGATGATGAAGGCTATGGCGCTGATGCCGCCAATCACCAGCATCGAGATTGTCCCGGCCGAGTTCCAAGGTGTACCGTGACCGCCATCGGATATGGCGATGAGAATAAGGATGATAGCGGTGGTGCAGAAGAAGAGGCCGAGCCAATCGATCTTAGCCATGGTCTCCCGGAAGTTGACCTTGGGCATGCTCTGTGGCAAAGTGTATGCAGCGAGACACGCAGCGATAACACACAAAGGCGCATTGAGATAAANAAGACCTCGCCAAGTCGAATGCTGAGTGAATGCAGCGGCGATCAAGGGGCCTGCCGCATTGCCAAATCCGATAAAAGATCCGATGATGCCCTGATATTTTCCTCTTTGTCGTAGAGTCACCACATCTGACATGATCATGTTGACCAGAGCCACGATACCACCGTTGGCGATACCGGATATACCGCGAAAGACATACAGGACCTCCTTGTTAGGTGTCAAGCCACATACCAAGTCCGAGACGGCCAGAAGTAGAAGACATCCGATGAAAATCTTCTTGCGACCAAATAGATCAGACAGACGGCCATAGAGGACCTGGAATACAGTATTTGCGATCAAGGCCGACGTGCCGGCCCAAGCGATAGTGTCTGCAGCATTCAAGTCCCTCGCGATGCTGGGCAGAAGAACGGTGATGCCATTTTGGTCGACATAGCATAAAAACATGCAGAATGCGAGGGTAAAGAATATCGTCAAGCGCTCCCGTAGTGGAACCAGGTTTGTCTGGTCGTGGATGGCGGCTTCCAGATCCTTTGTTTCTTTCGCCATGTTGAGGCCAAGTTATGTTTTCTTCGAATCTTGGTAGGAAGTCGAGGTAAGAACCAAGAAAAGAATATAGGATTAGCCCAATATTACGTTGCCAACTTTTGTGCCCAGATGTGAGCAATAGGATGAAGAGTGGGTGACCGCGATAAGATGAGAGATTTTGAGTGACAAGATCGGTAGGTCATGATGACTCAGTGAGCCACGAGTTTATTAGGATGTATGAATCAAGACTGGCGCAAAAGGTGGCATCATTCAGTATAGTATGTCGACAAAGTTGTGGGAGAAGATGATTCACGGTGAAAAGATGGATGATATCTTCAAATCGAAAGGCCGAATTGCCGTTCGAACTGGCCGCCGATGACGGCTTGGCTGGCTGTTGCCCGCTCGGGATCTTCGAAAGAATGCCGTGAAATAAATTCACATCACAAACACCTGCCTGATCAGATGCGAAAAGCACATGTAGAAAGATGATTTTGAGATACGAATCGTCCTTTCTACTGTTTATCCTGGTTGTAGCATGAATACCGTCGTCCACGCGACCACTTTCCTATCAAGTACCGTCGATAATGTGGCAGATCCATCAAGCTCGGCCGAGAACAATTGGTCGGCTTTCCCGCCGGTGGTGGCTGGTACAGAACTTCTAATCATCGTAGGTCTCAGCGTACTCCTCTTCATACTCTTCCTGCATCTCGCGCAGCTCTTCACGCTTCTCCTCGAGACTCTCACGGTCGCTGCTCGAGACCGATGATCCTGAGCGTGTCTCATCAGGCAGAGGTGCATCATCGTACAGACCTGGCTCGTAGGCAGATCCGCCATAACCAGAAGGCTGGGCGACCGGGGCAGGAGCGCTGTAGCCGTAGGAGTCTTGGGATGGGGCACCGTAGCCTCCGTACGACGGGTCGGGAGCAGGAGCGTAGTTGGTGGGGGCCGGAGCGTAGCTGGGTGCAGCGGCTGCAGGGGCGGCATGCTTCTTCTCGTCGTCCGAGTCGTCTGCAAATTCCAAGAAAGTCAGCAAGAGCTAAGGTGAGTAATTGAAAGGTTAGACACTTACCCAGAGCGTCAGCAATCAGTGCACCACCAATAGCTCCTACAGCCAGACCGGCTGCAGCTCCACCAATGGCACCGCCATAGCCACTGCTCTTCTTCTTCTCATCCTTCTTCTTATCCTTGGTCTCGACATCCCCGTAGTACTGGTTGGCACGCGTGTCATGCTGGCCCTGAGGGGGTACCGAAGGCATGGCACCGCCGTAGCTGTCATAGAAGGAGTTTGCTTGTCCACGGGATTGATCACCCTGAGGAGGAGCCGAACCATACTGGCCTTGAGGCGGAGGAGCCTGTCCGTATGGAACGCTAGGCTGGCCGTACTGACTCTGAGTATGAGGAGGCTGGTAACCACCGTAAATTCCACCAGTGGGAGGGGGGAGGCGAGGAATACTGGTTCTGGGGAACAGGATGCTGAGGCATGTCCCACTGAGTCTGACCGGTAGCCTGGTTTACATAGAAGAAGCGCTGGCTCTGTTGATCAAACTGCTGCACCCAACCAGGGGGAGCTGGCCACCAGCCTGAGGAGGTGGGGGTCCAGAAGGTGGAGGGGCTTGTCCGTAAGGACCAGGGGCAGGCTGGCCGTAGGGTTGCTGTTGTTGAGGAGGGTACTGCTGAGGAGGGTAGGACTGCTGCTGGTGCTGTGGATACGAGCTTGGAGGGGCAGGCGACGAATACTGAGGCTGATTGACATCACGCGTCTGCTCGGGCTCTGTACAAGAAAGGGTCAATCATCGGCAAGTCTGTCTAGAAGGTAAGATCAAGGACTCACTGCTCTCAGCGGGCTTTGCATCCTGAGCAGGCTGCGAAGGCTTGTTCTCCTTCTTGTCATCATCACCAAACATATCCTCGAACTCGCTCTTGAGTTTCTTGAAGAAAGACATTGTGCTGCTATCTTTTGTGTGTGTGTGTGTGTGTGTGTGTGTGTGTGTGCAGAAAGAAGTGAAAGAGCAAAGGACAGAAGGAGCTGCAAATCCACAGAGAGAAGCACGAAAGCCAGAAAAGTGAATGTATAAAAGTAAATAACGCAACCCCGCCAGCTATATATACACCAATGCTCACTGATCATCACATGCCCCTCTCCCTCTCTCACGCTGTGAATCATCTAGAAGCACCTCCCGGATACTTGCCAGCTGTTTGCCTTGCCCCAAAGACCTGCCAAGGCTTACCTACGTGTTGTTCATCTTCCTAGCCCATTTCGGATATTATCCTCTATTGCATCCCTGACCAGCGGACAATCACTCACTCGATATTGGACATCTTAATTGCTCATGGCCTTGGCAGATGCTGCCGCCAAGTCCGTGATATGCGAGTATACGTGTGTATATCCTGCTTTTCTTGCATTCCACTTGCCCTATTACCGCGCGCGTTGGACTGCAGTCTAAGCAAAGAAACAAGGATTGCGAATGCTTGCATGTTTGCAAGTGCCAAATCATGCAGTTGTCCAGCTGTCTTTCGGGGCGGTAAAGGAAATCGCTCATTGAAGGATTTGCGTATTCTCGTTTTATCGAGAGATGAAGAGTACTACTACTTTCTTGCCCTTCCCGCTAGTTTGCTCGTCTCGGTCCCCACCTCTCTCGAGACTCCTCGGCCACCGAGCCCCTGATATTGTCGGCACTATTTAGCCGCTTTCGACGAAGTTTTAGACACCAGCACGTGTGATAGATGATGATAGCGGTGACAGGACGCAGACCTACTGGAGAACCTCAAACATGTAACATCGGGATATGGTCACACGAGAATAATGAGAAGCACAGAATATTGTGTATTCGGCAGTCCCGGCAAGCCAGGAACAACCAAAATGTAGATTCGAATTGCAAGAATTCCATCTATATAAAAGTCTTTGCAGTGCGGGTATCATCCAACGACCCACTCGCATCTTCCAGAAAAAAAAAGATATGTACAAAATTGTATAGCAATCGAGAAGAGAAAAAAGGGGGTCAAGAAGACCGACCAAAAAATCATAGCCTGGTACTCCGGTCATCAACGTGCTCTCTTTAGGGCATGCCAATCGCTTAGTGGTGGAAAGCACGAGCGTGGCGGCGGTGCTTGGTGGCAGCCTTGGAGGCGTTCTCAGCGAAGAGGTACTCGACCCATGAGAGGAGGTCCTCAAGGGTAGTGCCCTCAGGGAGAGCCTTGGTGGGCTTGGCGACACCGGCCGAAGCAGTGCCAGTGGGGACACCGGCCGAGATGGTGCTGGTCAGAATCTCAGAGGGGATGGCAGAGGCGGCGTCAGGAACTGGGACTTTGACAGCAGCAGTAGGAGAAGCTCCCTCTGTGACGGTGACGGCGGTTGACTGGGTAACGACATCTGTCTCGTAAGTCGTAACAACGTAACCATCACCACCTGCGGCAGCAGACGAAGTGACAACGGCAGCCTGAGTAGTGATAGGAGCAGCGCTTGACGAAGAGGCGGCCCAGGTAGCCGAAGAAGGAGCCCAGGTAGAGGTAGCCTCAGCCGAAGAAGGAGCCCAGGTCGAGGTGGCCTCGGCCGAAGAAGTCCAGGTAGTCTCGGCAGAGGAAGCCCAGGTCGAGGTGGCCTCAACATACGATGATGCGGGAGCAGACGAAGCGGCAGCCGATGATTCAGGAGCAGAGCCAGAGCCAGCACTGTAGAGAGCAGGGCCAGGCATGTCGTACTCATCGGGCTGGAAGCCAGGGTAGTAGATGTTAACATAGATACCCTTGTCCTGAGCAGTGTAGAGAGAGGTACCAACGACACCCTCGGGGATATCGGAACCAGAGCTCTTCACCTCAAGGTTGATGCACTGGGGGTAGTTCTGGGCACCACCAACGTTGTTGGCGCTGTGAAGAGCGATGATCTCGTGACGAGCAACATAGTTACCGGAGGCGATGCTGTCGGGAATCTTGACATCCCATTTGAACTGATCGGAAATCAGCTTGTCAGAAGCCCAGGTGCCTGACTTGCTGTCTCCAGAGATGAGACCGACAGCATCAATCTTGAACCATTTGAGGCTGGTCTTGTCGGCGTCGGCACAGTCACCATCGCACTTGGCGAGGTAAGTGATGACGGGACCCTTGTGGGATGTCGGCCAAGTGTCCCAGTTGAAGGTGACGGTATCGCCACCATTGACGGGAGCAGAGAGCTTGGCGTTACCAGAACCAGCGTGACAGATCATGTCAGGGCTAGAGTAGTCAGAGACGTAACCGTTGTCCTTGACGGTATCAGACCAGGCAATGAGGTCAGGCTTGGTGTTCGAGTACAGGATGGAGTTGTTGAAGCCAGCATAGACGGTACCAGAGGCACCAATGCTCTGCAAGTGACCGTGAGCAGAGACGGTAGAGGCGAGAGTAGCCAGAGCGGCTGCGGCGGCAATTTTGAAAGACATTTTTGGTTGTTTTGTAGAGTGTTTTCTCGTAGAGATTGCTAGTTTTCTGGTTGCGAAGATGCGAAAGTGCGGAAGCGGTTGAAGAGTCAAAGGTAAAGAATGAAAGTATCCCAGCTGCAGTCAATGCAGAATGATACGGTGAAGAAAGAGTGTGGGTGGTACGAGACCAAGGATTTGCACTGCAAAAGATTGTCGAAGGCGATAGCTTGAGGGGAGAAGAGGTGGGAGACCGTTTGGGAGACATGATTCTTATACCTGAAGTGGGTCGCCTACTTTGGACCGCGTTCGGACCAGGCCCGAGTCGTGACTGGTGAGGATGAACGTTGTAGCGGAGCCCCTGCTTTAGTGTAGTGGAGTCCATTAATATGGTAGAGTGTTCCCGCGTTTCAGAAGGCAGACAACCATGTGGCGCCGTACTGAAGCACGGAGCCCAGACGTGGGTTGAACACGCAAGTCACCGCGCTTCGGCTATCTTGCAACCATGTTGTGGAAGGAACAGGGCTGGCGCAAGATTTCAACATATGTAGGGGATAGATGAACTCCCTTTGATAACCAGGGGCCGTAGTGGAGAGCGGAACTCTGAAACGCCAAGTCCCGTCAAGCGGAGTCTCCTTCTGCTGCAGGAACAAAACCTTCTCCTCGATGATCCTTGAACTCAAATGGTGAGCTCTCTGTTGTCCTTCTACAAAGTCGAGTCAGATTCAGTCTTGTCGTTCGGCTCGGTCGACAACGGCTGACTTTTGTCAAAGGAGACTCAGCGGTTGCGCAGTCAAGGGGCGAGAATACGAACTGCGGGTTGATGCTCAGTGCTCACATCCGGGCCCGGCATGACCGATCCATTTGAACAGATACATCTAATCTATTTCGCTTGTTCAAGTCTCTAGGGCGTGAAACCCCGAAGATCATTATGGCGAACGGGGACATCTCTGCATGTTGGTAGCCGCCCGGTGCAACAAGGATAGCCAGATTGGACAGCCGCGACTCCAAACACAATGCAAAACCTTGAAGACCAAGATAACTCGACCGATGCTGTGGCTTGGTGTGTGCTGCGATCTTCCCGATTGAGCACATCTTGCCCTTCTGCATGGCATGCCTGATCTTCATATCATCTTAATATTCAAGCTTGGGTTACATACACAGCCCTCGGTGTTGCATCGCCTTGGTCTAAGAATGAAAATTTCCTGAGCAAGAGCACGACCGAGGATGGAGTACAGAATGGGCACTTTGCTCGATGTGAAGAGAGCTGGGTGTTGAGTCTGGGCTGGCAATAGCGTCCTTGGCTCTTCTTCGCGCCTGCTTCTGGAAGTACGACAAGCACGCGATAGTCTCACAAGTCACAACAGAAAGACCACAGACTGCATGGACGCGCTTGCTTCTTTGACATATCCCACCCGCATGGGCGCCAAAGCAATGAAAATCATTCGAGATTTGGCAATCTTCCGTCCAGCTTTTCGTCGTCGATCAACCGGGATGCATTTGATGTTTGTGTTTCCATTCAAGTGTTGTTATAGAGATGGGAAAACATCCCTCCGGACCTTTGATGATATGATTGATAATCGTGACTAATTTGAGCTACTTTTTGAAGAGGGGTATTGCTATTTACTTAGATAAAATCACCTGCAGTTGGCCTTGCCCTTCCGCCAGCGCCTAGCAGGCCCCTGCGGCTGGGATGAATATCGCTAAGGTCCATCTCGGCGCTTGGAGCAGGAGGCTTAGGACCACGAGCAGAGGTGTTACTGGCTCTGCGTGTGCGACGAGGGGTGATCTGGAGCGTGATACCTCTGGAGAGGAAGTGTTGCGACGTACGCGACGTTGGCTCCTGACTGGAGACCTTGTTCGTCTTGGGGGTGGAGACGGAGAGCGAGAGACGGATCTGGATGGAGAGCGTCTACGTCCTGCCCCTGCCCTTCTCGGTGGCGGAGAACGCGAACGAGAGATTGAGCGAGCCGGTGATCGGGAATAGCTATCCCGACGTCTACGAGGCGGTGTTGGTGAGCGGGTATAGCTTCTGTCTCGTGCAGGGGCCCTACGGCTAGGGGGTGAGCGGGAGTGAGAATGGCTTCGAGCTCTGGCAGCTCCACGAGCAGGAGGCGAGCGAGAGCGCGAATACGATGGCGAGCGAGAGTCTTGACGAGCCTTGCCGCGCTTTGGAGGTGGAGAACGAGAGCGAGAAATAGACGATGTGTATCTTCTCCTACGCTCAGGTGTTCTTGAACGGGAAACAGAAGCAGAAGGAGAACGACGTCTTGGAGCTGGAGACCTCGATCGAGACGGCGATCTCGAGTATGAGTAAGATCTCTCTCGGACTGAACGTTTCGGTGTTAGTGAGCGAGAGTAACTGCGTGCTCGGCCTCTTGTGCGTGACGGGGAGCGGGAACGGCTTGAGTAGCTTGAGTAGCTAGAGTAACTTGACGCGCTGTTGCTTGGGCTAGCAGCTCTCACAGGCANNGAGCTGGTAGTGTTGGCTTGGGCATGTTTTTGAGGTATTCTCTCATGCCCTCGGTCAACACACCCATACCAATGGCAGTGAAGAAGTTGATGCTGAAACGAGTGTTGCGAGGGTTGTCGACGGGGAATATTCCAGCCAGTGCAGGCAGCAAGGCATCATCCTTCATTCTCTCCGATAGCTTCTTCATTCCAATGTTTTGAGCCAGCTCCTCGATCAGAATCTTGATGAAGATACGCGAGGAGGAAGTTGTCTCGTCCTCGTTCAGGTGGATGGCACTAATAACATGCCAGCCAATGGCGTCGGAAGACAGAAGGTGACCGAAGAACTGGGCGACAATGCGAAGACGGTTGGTTTCCAAGCGGTGAATCGTATCGTAGTACTTAACAAACGAGGTTTCGAAGAGTTCATTCCACATGCGGTTGATCTTGCAAAGACGCTCACCGATCAAGCCAAAGAATTTGTTGTATGTGCGTTCCTGGGAGCAACACTCGACAATCATCGAGGGCAGCTCATGCTCCAGTCCAGGGGGCAAGTTGATGCGCAGCAACTTGTGAGTACATTCCTCGAAGCCACCAGAGGACATGATGGTGAGGTAGATGGTTCGGCGCAAGTTGACCAGGTCGGTGTTGGACTGGTCCTTGATCTCGACCTGTTTATCCGCTTCGTCGTCTTCGTCCTCGCTACTGCTGACATCTGAATCGTCCTCGTCATCTTCGTCGCTTCCATCGGCCTCACCGAGGATTTCAGCTTTGAGCTTCTTGTAAGCCTCCTCATTAGCTTCCCAGCCGGCGTCGAATTTGAAAACGTTGAGGCCATCTTGAACCTCAATCTGGTCATCCAGGCCGGTATTGTGGGTAATCTGATCCTCCTCTTCCACAAGATCCAACTCTTCTTTTACCGAGAGATTGTCCTTGTAGCGGTCCTTCCTGACCTGGAACAAAACTTCGACCATGTACTGAGTTCTCTTGTCGATGTCGGCCTCGTGCAAAATACTGCGGAATTGGTCGTAGACGGCCATGGCGATCTGCGAATTGAACTCCTCGACGTGCTGACCAACCTCTCTCATCAGACCCACTGCAATCTCCACGCTGTCGTCAGTAGGTTTGTTGAGCAAGAGCAGCAAGATCTGGGCGGCGAGCATCTCGTGGGCGACCTGCTGATTGATCAAGTGAGCCAGGAAGGTTGTGCTGCTCAGGCAAACAGCCTTGTCGTTGCGCTTGAAGGCCTTGCGGAACTGCACGATAAGACGGTTGACCAGCAACTCGCCAACTTGGGGAAGTTTCGTATTTACAATGGCGACCATGGCGGCATAGATGGGGGTGAAAGGCAAACTGGCAGCCTGGGCCTTCATGATGCTTCGGCAAAAGAGGCCACGGCCACGGATGAGGTTCTCGCTGAACAACTCGGGGACGATGTATTTGATGTTGGAGACGTTGACCTTGTTGATCAGACCGTTGATGGACTTCTTGAGGGCCTCCCAGGCCATGCGCTGGAACTCCTTGGAGGACGGATCGTTGCCGATCTCAGCCTGTAGAGCGCGCAACCTGGCGGGTGGGACATAGGTTCCTCCTGAGCGCATGGTGAGCAGGCGTTCGTATTCAGCTTTTGCGGCAGCCTGCTTCTCGGCGGCCGACAGAGGCTTGTCTTGTTGAACTTCTTCGCGACGGCGGGTTTCGGCCTGTCTCTGGCGTTCGAGTGCTCTTTGACGGTCGACATCGCGGGGAAGAGGACCGCTGCGATGAGGAAGCGGCGAGCGCGATCTCGAGCGGTCGCGTGGGGGCAAAGGATCGTTATTCGTATCGGGGTCGACGGAGCGTGTGCGCAGAGTTGGAGGGCGTCTTTCAGGTGAGGGCGAACGCGACGAAGGCGAGCGTTTGCGAGCAGAAGTATGCGACTGGCCGTCGGCGGCGTCGGGTGAGGGCAGACGTACTGCCGACTGCATCGCCGTCGCCATGTCGAGTGATGAAGAAAAGTCGAGGACGAAGGTCAAGCACAAGAAAGTGCGTCAGGCAGTTGCGTCTTGCAGTAGCAGCAGCTAACGCCGACGACATGCAGCTCTTGGCATCTCCGAGCTGACCCCGGACCAACTGTCTACAGCGTTATAGGAGTCCTATTATTCTCGTGCACAACAAGACAACTCGAGCTTCTTCACTTTGTGACTTTTAAACACAAGGATCACTCGGCCGTCACATATCACAATGGTATGAAAGTCCAATATCCTATCGTGACATGGTTTTATTGACAAGCTTCCCCTAGCTCGGACCTCTCGTCGGCGCAAGCATGCTCATCGTAGCTACCACCGTCTTCCTTTACTACACCATCTGGACGCTGGTCATGGTACGTTGTCTTCTCTCCTCTATAACTACCACTACTCGATTCCTGACGTTGCCTTCTTCCAGNCCCTTTGTCGACTCGTCGCACCCCTCTCAATCGCTTTTCCCTCCTCGTGTCTGGGCAATCCGTCTTCCCGTCATTCTCATCTTGGTCGGAGGTGCTGTCGTTGGCTCTTTCCTGTCCCTCATCATGATCAAAAGCAACCGTCAAAAGGCTCTCAAGGCAAAGTCAAAGTAGTCTCAGATACTACAACTAGATATTTCACCATAACCCCTTTTGATCACGCCTACCGCTCCACGTTCCGATACGTTGCAGTCCCTCCCTCCTCCCGATGATGCCAGGGTTTGTTCCCTCTCCAATCTGCGCGGATGTATAGATTGGAAGAAGAAATATGTGAAGAGATGCTCAAGAACATTCAATTCTAGGACTACATGCCTACCTATTGAATAATACAGTCGTCTCCAATGACAACTCTGCCCTCTCCTTCAGCCCCTCCTTCGGCCCTTTGCCTTCTGAGGTGTTGAGCCAGGGAGGCAAGCATACTTCTCGTAAGGAAAGTTTCTTGGTTCCCTCCTTGTCGTTCTACATCATTCTGGGATGTGATCTGGTGCTCCAAGTGCATGCGTTTCTTGCTCGCCAGTCCGCCAGGTGCCACATATTCATCGTCGTCTGCTGCGTTTCGCTCTTCGGCGCCTGCATCCACGGCAGGTTCTGATGTGATGTTGCCCTGTCTGTTCTGTCTTCTTCGTCTCATCCAAGATATCGACGAGAATGTTGAACTGTCCACCGCCTCGACCCCTCGTCCGAGCCTAGCGGCTTCTCGCGCCCTTGCATCTGGCGAGAAGATTTTGATTGTGTGGTCGATGCCGCTCGCCGCCAACATAGGTTCGTATGGGTGACCTTGAAGCACGTTTACCACTTCTCCATCACCTTCGAGGATATTGACCAATCGTGATGTTTTGCGATCCCAGACGAAAAAATTGCCGTCATCTGAGCCGGACACGACATATTCGTCATCCAGGCCGAAGAAATTGACATCTTTGACCGTCTTGACATTGCAGTGACCTCGGTAGACTCTGGTGTGGGGCGAGCAGTAGACATCCCTCTCAACTTCACCTCGCTTGCGACGTCTACCGAGCGCACTGCGGTAGATCAAATGGGGGAATTCCTCCTCTTCCTCTTCCTCTTCATCATCATCCTCTTCTTCAGGTCCACTCTCGTCCTGGCTTGCATCAGCACCTTCGTCTTCGTCCTCATCCGTTCCATCGTCCTGCTCTTCGGGTCCAGTAAGCGGGAAGTTAATGCTCTCGCCGTCACTGTCTTCTTCGTCATCTCCTTCGTCTTCTTCGTCGCTGTACTCTCCCATGGCAGCTCTTATCTCGCTCATGGCAATGACATCTTCCTCTTCTGAAAATTGGTCTGACGAAGCTTCAATAACCTCCATTGACTCCGCCATAGGTTCGTCTTCGGTGGTGTCAATTTGACGCTGTCGTTCTCGTAGTCGTGCATCTTCCCGAGCCGCTGCATTATTACCTGTGCCGAGGCCACCAAATGCTCGGTCTACGAGAGCAAAATTCACGCCCTCGCCAGCGTTCATGAGGACTCCACGAGCAACTTTCAAGCCCCAGTGTAATAAGGCATCACCCCGTCTTTGGGTGAAATGAAGTGCGTCTTCCATAGGATCATCTGATGACAGGTCTGCGAAAGGCGTCTTGACAGCCTCGACGAATGCTCTTACTGCATCGGTCTCCGTTTCATAGATAACACGATTCTCGTCTACCTCGAATCTCGAAGCATCAACGTTGCAGACTGGAGAGTTGGATGAGTGAGCCAGAAGATAGGGTACGATACACTCGTCGAACGCGTCGGCACTGGCGTCCTTCGGAACCGGCAAACGAGATGCATATCGAGCGACATCCGAAGATCTAGTAAAGCCATCGATTAATGCTCCCAACCCACTATCGAGCCATAGAAAGATGGCCTTCACAAAATCGTAGCCAAACCGCTCGCGGTCACCGAGACTACTGCCCTCATTCGGGGCATGGTCAATACGAGCAAAAAGAGGCGTGTCGAAGATTTCTTGGCTAGCAGTATGCGGTTGTCCACCAAGTGCTCGTGCAATGACACCAGATGCTTGCACGAAACGCCAAGCAGATTCTCTGTTGGAACGCAATGTTCTTTGTAGCAAGACTTCTTCTTGAACTGGGGCGATTGGGTAGCGCCAAGTCCGAGTAATCTCTTGCATCTGAGGCAGTATAGTAGCGGCCAGACTTCGCACTGAAGTGAACTCCGTAGCGTGGCCAGTCAAGTCTCTGCTCGAAGGAGTGATCGTTTGTTCGTTGAGGGTGAACATAGTCCTACGAAGCTCAACCACTGTCTTGGCAAGACGATATGCTTTCCGTTGCCTGTCCGTCATCACACTCTCTCGCAGAGAGGAGACGGGGCTTGTGGAACGAGCGATCGGAATGTCCTCGCTTTGACCATTTTGATACCTCACTCGCAAAGCGGTAGACTCGGTTCGTTGACGTGGATGTACACGAGAGGATGCTCCAGGGGAATGCGAAAGTTGGCTTGCTGTTCTCTTTTTGCGTTTTCTTTCGTTACTTTCTCTCGTTCTTTGGCTGTTTGATTTATTTGTCGAGAGCTGTTCTCTAGAGCCTTCGCTAGCATCTGGGCTGCGTACTAGATCAAAGCTGTAGACATGATCACCAGACCAACTGACTATAATCTCGTTTGGATAAGCATCACTGATCTTACAAGCGGTGATATGTCCGGAATCTCTTTGCGCCATGATACGCTGGCCCCGAGGTGCGAATTTACGCACACATCGAGTGGCTTGACCAAGCAAATCTTCATCCATGTCGGAGAGATTCGTCACGGAGAGGGGTGAAGCCGCGCGTTCATNCATTTTGTCGCGTCCAATCATTCTGCGATCATGGAGGAAACAGTGAAGATGAGCACCACCGAGGGCGATGTAGTGAGGTTGACTCGGCGAACAAGAGATGGTATTGAGATCCAGGTCATAACGTTTATAGGAGATTAGGGGAGGAGGTACAGAGACTGTAGATGCGGACCTACTGGAAGGAGAAGGGTAGGCAGACGACGGTTGACGCAGATCCCATTGGCGCACTTCTCCGTCTTCTGAGCAAGTCAGGAAGAGATGGGNGGAAGACTCAGTCACGACTCTCTTTACTCTGTCGCCGTGGGAGCGATAAACTCTGCAGTTTGTGTCCCCGTCGCTCAAATGGCGTACTCCATCTTGTGCATTGCCTCGCATGCCTCTATTGGCACCGTTCATAGCCATGGCGGATGCGCGTGATGCTTCTGTAGCGGCGCCAGAGTACTCCAGATCAAAGATGCGGACTTCGTGATCACCAGCAGCGGATATGACGGTGCGGTCGTTGGAATGAGGCATGAACTTGACGGAGAAGATGTTGGCACGATGGCCGGTGGCGATGCTAGTGGCCAGTTTGAATTGCGAGTTCGAGTCATCTGGTTGATAGGTGTGGATGTTGATGTGCTGATCATCGGAGCCGGAGGCAAGGAGACGGCCTGACTTGGACCAACTNNACAGTGATGAGCGAGTTAGAGAAGAGCCATGGTATGCAGCAGTTGGAGGAATGGCAAACCTGAGAGCATTCACGCAGCCCGAATGACCGTCGAGCTCGTTCACGATGTCCAGATCACGGATCCAGTTCTTGTCGCCATATATCGACCTCACCTTCCTTGAACGGCCAGCCGAGTCTTGCAGCTCACGTCGGAGCAGGCGATCAGACAGAGTGTCGCGCATGCTGGATCGTGTGGACAGGATGGTCAGTGGCAACAAGGTATGGGCATTAGTCGCAGCATATGAGGATCACGGAAACAGTAGGCGGGTGATTCGATGAGTGGGGGGGGTATGAAGAAGGGTCCGTCAGAAAGATGAATGAATCTAGCAAGCACCATGTCATAGGTACAGCTACCCCAGATCTTGACGATTGAAGTACGCCGTCTGTTCGCCGGCCCGCTGCGGCAGAAGCTACCTGAACGCGACACGCAGTAGCCGAGACAGTCTGGTGGACAGCGAAAGGGAAGTGGACACCGACTGTCATCAACCTGTGGCACTTTTGCGTGGTAGCGCTGTCGCAAAGCTGGAGGGACTGCGCTGTGCGTTGCCATCACATGTCGCTGGCGTGTTTGCGGGAGATGGGCGGTACTCCGTACTTGGAACCGGACAGATCATCTTGCCCAGCCGGGCTGCACCTTTGTCCCCATCTGCCGTGTAGCTTTTTGCGTCAAGCTACGAGACTTGTTTTGGAGTGTAGACGGGTTGCAAACTCTCGTGCAAATGTCGTTTGGCCAAGTCGCTGGCGGTAGCAACAGCAATAGCATAGATACAAGGCCGTTGCACGAGCGCCAAGGCGCAACCGCCAGCGTGCCGATCAACAATGAAGGCGGCGCTCCATGTCACTGACTCCCCCGACGAATTAGTACCTATTATTATTTGTTTGTCAGGAAGTTGGGCAGTCACCCCTGCTCGCTCCTGCCCTCTGATTTTTCACCACGGCGCAATCTTCTCGCCCCGCTTCTATTCGCTCGTCGACGGCTTCGTCTCTTGATATTGCCAGCCAGTTGACGACGGCCAGCTCCATCCTCTGGGATCCTCGCTACACCAATCGCAATCCTCCCCACCAGAGACTCCATCCCACGCACGTCGGCACTCTCTCGCTCGACAACCGCTCCGACTCGACCATCAGCGTGCGCAGTTTAGGCGGCGGCCAGCGCATACCNCCCATGGACAAGCGTCACCCCAGCTCCTTCCAGCAGCTCGAGAAGCTCGGCGAGGGCACCTATGCCACCGTACGTCGACAACTCCCGACCATCTTTCATCGCCGACTAACAATGCGCAGNGTCTTCAAGGGCCGCAACCGCCAGACGGGCGAGTTTGTCGCTCTCAAGGAGATCCACCTCGATTCCGAAGAGGGCACCCCCAGCACCGCCATCCGTGAAATTTCACTTATGAAGGAACTCAAGCACGAGAACATAGTCCGTCTGCACGATGTCATTCACACCGAGAACAAGCTCATGCTGGTCTTTGAATTCATGGACAAGGACTTGAAGAAATACATGGACTCTAGGGGTGAGCGCGGCATGCTCGATCCTGTCACCATCAAGTCCTTCATGCACCAGCTGCTCCGCGGTATCGCCTTCTGCCACGACAACCGAGTCCTCCACCGCGACCTCAAGCCACAGAACTTGCTGATCAACAACAAGGGTCAGCTCAAGCTCGCCGACTTTGGTCTTGCTCGCGCCTTTGGCATCCCCGTCAACACTTTCAGCAACGAGGTCGTTACACTATGGTACCGTGCCCCTGACGTCTTGCTGGGCTCGCGCACCTACAACACCTCGATCGATATCTGGTCTGCTGGCTGCATCATGGCTGAAATGTACACGGGTCGTCCTCTGTTCCCTGGAACTACCAACGAGGACCAGCTGCAAAAGATCTTCCGTCTCATGGGCACTCCTTCCGAGCGTTCATGGCCCGGAATCTCTCAATTCCCTGAGTACAAGTCCAACTTTCCCGTCTATGCAACTCAGGACCTGCGCAATATCCTACCTCAGGTCGACCCTGTCGGCCTCCAGTTGTTGACTGCCATGCTGCAACTTCGTCCAGAGCTTCGCATTTCTGCCACACAAGCTCTTCAGCATCCTTGGTTCGCTGATTTACAACAACTAAGACAGCAACAAGCCCACATGCATCAACAGCACATGCCTGGCGTGCCGAATACCCAACGCGCTTATTGATGCTCCTGACGATCTTTTCTATAGCCAGATGCATGTTCTTGGGTCGGCCGGCGTTCGAAGGAAAGGGGGCATTTTTGTTCTTCATGTTGTTCTTAATGAAACACCACTTTTTGAGGCCTTGACATTCGATTTGTCCTTTGGGATACCCGATACGGTGCCTATAGTTGTGGGTATGCCCAGATAATGGAGGACCGACTCGCACTGTCGATTCGTCCCTCTGCGCCATAGGTTCTCGTACTTTTCTTGCGATCGTGGTAGAATGCTCGTAATGGAGCATACAATGCAGAACCACTTCTTGGCACATATTGAACACAGTTGATCGCGCATCACCGCAATGGTAGCTAGCATGCCTACATGACACTCTGAAGTGGAGGATGTAAGATCAGACAGCGAGACTGCTAGTCAGCAATTCCGATGCTCCATATCGTCCCCGGTCTTGTACGTAAGAAGATCGTTATCGAGGCCGCTCGGCTCAACCAGGGGACCTGGCGCTCACTCTGTTGCGCCTCCGTGACGCGGGGCTTGCAACGGTCCAAGACCACCCACACAAGCCATCAGCAAAGTCTCCAGAATGAATCGATGGCGGCCCTCTTTATCTAGTGTGACGCCCTAATCTTTCTTTCTCATATCTCTGTATATCATTATACTAGGGTAATTGGAACATTCAACTGGTCCTCGTCTCCTTTGACCTCTCCCTTATCTTTTTCACCCACTCCACTCGCCTACAAGCGGATCAGAGGCTTGGACACTGTTATCCTCTTCATGTGGACCGCCGCTACATCACTCTACACGCCGATGTTGCCCGATCTTAGTCTGAGTGCAACCTAGCAACTGTCTTCCTTCTGTCAACTTCTGCTTCTCCATCCCACTTTCACCTGGACGGTTCCTCAGTCTCGTACAGTTTCTTCCGATTCAACTCAATTCTTGTGATTGGAATAGTAGACAAGACACATCCATTTCTTCGACCAGCTCTATATATCGAAAAGGAAAACATACTTAGGAATACTCAACTACACACGACGTCTCCGTCATGGCTACTGCTGCAGAGGCCGACCTGGCCCGCATGGGCTACAAATCAGAATTGCCTAGAAGTCTGAGCATGATGAGTGTTCTGGGACTGTAGGTTACACAACGACACATATCGCTGCTCCCACTAACGACTTCGTATCCAGCNTCCTTTGCGATCATGGCTGTACCATTTGGATTGAGCACCACATTCTACATCACTCTCGCAGATGGTCAGAGCGTGACGATCTTGTGGGGATGGGTTCTGGTGTCCTTGATTTCTCTATCAATTGCAGCCTCCTTAGCCGAGATTTGTGCTGTCTTTCCTACTGCTGGTGGAGTATACTACTGGGCCGCTATGCTTTCTACTAAGAAGTATGCTCGGTTGAGTTCTTGGATCACTGGTTGGCTTACGCTGGTTGGCAACTGGACTGTCACGACATCCATCAACTTCTCGGGAGCGCAATTGATTCTAAGTGCGATCAGCCTCTGGAATGAGGACTTTGTGCCTACAGCATGGCAAACTGTGCTGATGTTTTGGTGTGTGATGCTCATTTGTATGCTCGTCAACATTTTTGGCGCCAAATATCTTGACTTGATCAACAAGATCTGTATCTACTGGACTGGAGCCAGTGTCATCATCATCATGGTCGTTTTGCTCGCCATGTCAGATAACTACAGGAGTGGAGAATTCGTCTTTGCCCACTACGATGCGAGTGGCAGCGGATGGCCGAGCGGTTGGGCCTTNTTTGTCGGCCTATTGCAAGCTTCTTACACACTGACTGGTTACGGCATGGTTGCTGCAATGTGCGAAGAAGTTCAAGTAAGTCTGACGTCAAGATTAGATCCGACCAAACAAGCTAATATGACGCTCNNCCAGAACCCTGCTCGCGAGGTACCCAAAGCAATTGTCCTCTCTGTGGCTGCTGCGGGTGTTACGGGTATATTGTATTTGATTCCAATTCTCTTCGTCTTGCCCGATATTCAGATGCTTCTGGATGTCGCTAATGGTCAACCCATCGGTCTTCTCTTCAAGACTGTCACAGGCTCGGCAGCTGGTGGCTTCGGATTGCTCTTCCTCCTTCTCGGTATGCTATTGTCCAATGTGTTGAGATTGCGCCTGTATTGACTATCTACACCAGGCATTCTCTTCTTCGCTGGCACTGGTGCTCTTACAGCCGCAAGTCGTTGCACCTACGCTTTTGCTCGTGATGGTGCGATCCCTGGCTCTCGCATCTGGTCTCGTGTTGACAAACGCTTCGACATTCCCCTATGGGCTTTGGTATTGTCGACAGTGGTTGATTGTTTGTTGGGTCTGATCTACTTCGGCAGCACTGCAGCTTTCAACTCCTTCACGGGAGTAGCCACAATCTGCCTTTCCACCTCATATGGATTGCCCATCTTGGTCAGCGTACTCCGTGGACGCAAAATGGTCGCCCACTCCTCCTTTTCTCTGGGTCGTTTCGGAATGGCCATCAATGTGCTGACTCTTTGCTGGATCGCCTTGGCTGTCATCCTGTTCTGTATGCCGGTCACGCTGCCAGTTGACCCGAGTTCTATGAATTATGCCTCTTGCGTATTTGCAGGCTTCGCTGTCATCAGTGTCGTGTGGTACTTTATCCGCGGACGCAAAGCATTTACAGGCCCACCAGTTCCTGCTGATGTGGATGTCAGTAGCGACGTAGGGGTTGTCAGAGGTCAAGCTATTGACTCTGACCTGGAGAAGAGTACGAGTGCTGTGCACAAGAAGGTGGTCGATGAGCCACCAAAGACTACGATATGATGAGCTCTGTTTTGTTCTTGTATAGCAAACTTTAGTGTATATCATGGATAGCCATCGATTTTTTGGCAAGACGTTTTTCCCGAAAATTTGACAATACCACAATACGTTTGCAAATCGATCTAAACTACTTGCAAAGCAGCATCAAAGTCTTATTCTGCACACTGTGACTACGAGTAGTGGACACACTATTGACATCGAATCGAGCCTTGCGCTCCGAGGGTTTTCGGTCCACGGCTTGTTTCGTAGTCGAACAGCCCTTGGCTTTTCACGGCGTCTGCACCTCTGCACTTTTACGCAACCACACAGAGCCGCTTCGATTTGACTTCTTGATAACCCTGATCTTGTCACAACGATACCGGCACCTCAGAGGACGCTACCTATGCGAGGACTGTGAGAAGCGACCGGGCGACTGTGCTTCCACAACCGCCAGAGACCGCTAGGGACGCTTTGACTCGGGACGACGCGTCCTTTTTGCTTGTACCAAGTTTTCTTCTTCGGGCAAGAGGGCACGCGAGCAATCACCATGCTGGTCTTCTTTGGATTTGAGGTGTAGATTTCTTCGTATCTGGTTATGCGCGATCAATCTGATAAGAGTTATAGCAACTCCACCATCTTGTGCTCCTACAGTTTGACATTCTCAACTCATATCCTCACAACGACTCGGGTTTCCTGATGGGCCGCTTCGGCAGCATTATAGCGCCACTACTGTGAGGCTTCCTTGAACGTTCTTTTTGCCCTGGTCAGATCGCTTTCCTTGACTTTACTCGATCTCGTCATACTACTCTTCCATAATCTCAGCGAAAGCCACACATCATAGCACAGTGCTTGGCATCTTCTGGAAACAAGAAGATGAGACGGCCCCACGAGCTAGATGCTCTTCCAGTCTCTTGGTAGTGTGAGCGCGGGCCTCAGGACATGACAAGGGTATAGGACGAGATCAAGTATATGATGTAGGTGTTCCCCGTTTCCAGAATGATATTTTCCGCTGGTATCAATCAGAGAGAAGCCTCTTGGAAACACTTTAAAATCAGCATCTCTTCCCTTCTGTCTTTCTCACATCCATTTGTTATCTGATCATCATGCCTAATCTTTTAACATTGGCGCTCACAGCGCTGCCTCTTCTGGCACTGGCCGATCAGGCTCCTTACACAGGTTCTGACTTCCAGGCCAAGACTTATGGTCTTTACCCTACACAATCATACGAGTCCTCGGACCTCGAGGTGCCTGTCTTCCAGGTCAACAAGGCTGCAGCAGACAATGTCGACCCTGCCGATCGTGTTTTCATCTCTCCCAGAGGTACCGCAGTGGAACAAATTGCTCCCATGATCTTCAACCCAGACGATCTCTCGCTCGTGTGGAGCGATCCTAGCTACAAGACTACGTTCGGTGTCAGAGTGCAAGAATTCAACAACTCGGACTACATTACATTCTGGCGAGGAGCCATCAAAGGTGCTGGTTATGGAAGTGGCAGCTTCATCATGCTCGACCACAACTACAACGTTGCTTACAACCTCACGACAAAAAACCTGACTGTCGGTGGAGACATTCACGAGATCGAGCTGACGAATGATGGAACGGCACTCATGACTGCTTACGAGCCTATTCAATATGATCTCACAGCTTACGATATCGAGAATGGCTGGCTTGCCGACTCTCTGTTCGAAGAAGTCGACATTGCCACCAACGACCTCATCTTTTCCTGGCGAGCATCCGAGCACATTGCACTCAACGCTTCGTACGCCGATCCTGGTGCCACCGGTATCTCCCAAGACAGCCCTTACGACTTCTTCCACATCAACTCGATCGAAAAAGACGACTCTGGCAACTATCTAATCTCTGCAAGACATACACATGGTATCTACTACATCAATGGAACCAATGGCGATATCATCTGGAGTCTGGGAGGCAAGAACAACGACTTTGAGGACAAGAGTGATGGCCAAGCATCCAATTTTGCATGGCAACACGATGCCCGCTGGCGCAACACCGATTTGACAGAGATGACTCTCTTCGACAATGGAGCTGCCGATTGGGTCAAGACAGAAAACGAGACTCGCGGTCTCTGGCTCAGTCTCAACTACGGCGACATGTCTGTCACTCTCAAGCAAGACTACATCAGTCCTGAAGGCATCTTATCCATATCGCAGGGAAGTGTGCAAGTTCTCTCAAATGGCAACGTGTTCATGGGTTACGGCAGCAACGGTGCCTTTATAGAATACACCAATGACGGAGAAGCCATCTGGAACGTCCAGTTCGGCATCATTGGCAACTCAAGCGTACAGAGCTACCGCGCCTACAAGCAAAACTGGCAAGGCTTCCCCGACTGGAACCCTAGTATCGCCGCTACAGGAAATGGTACTGACAACACTACTGTATACATGTCTTGGAACGGCGCCACTGAGATCAAGCAATGGGCAATCCTTGCCTCGAACTCGTCTTCTTCTCTTTCCACTGCCGACGACCTGTGGAAGAATATCACAAAAACTGGTTTCGAGACCAATGTCACCGTAGGCTCCGATGCTCGCTATATTCGTGCTGCAGCTCTGGATGCTGATGGCCAAGTGCTCGGTGCCACTGATATTATTGATGTCAATGATGGATCTATTACGTCTGCAGATGCCAAGGTCGATATTGGTACTGGAGATGCGAACACTACAGTGACCAGCTCGGCTTCTGACTCGGACTCTGTTTCTGGTTCTAGCGGCAATGATACTGCGTCAAAGTCTGATAAAGACAGTGGCGCTGGGTTCACGAATGCTTCTTCGTCGCTTGCTCTGGGAGTGGCGATGGTTGTCTTGTTTACCTTTGGGTTGTAAGAACAATGTTTTGATAGGGTTCTACATTATAACAGTTGTAATATACATGAAAGTCAGAAACGTGACCTTTCCCTCGAAGAGTTTGTGCAAAGTCAAGCTTTGATCAGTAGCAAAGGTGTTTAAGTCTCACTTGAAGATACAAGCATATTTGCAATATGGAAAAGAATTTTTGGCATATTGTGATGGATACGTTGGAGCTGACTTTTTCTCCTTCGATTCTGAGGAGCCTCCCTTGAACCGTCATTGTTTCGGTGTGGTTGTACCTTTCTTTTGCGACTTCCATGCTCAAGTGTCGTCTTCTTTCTCGTCTTTCCTTGGTGTCTTTGACCTGTTTTGCAAACTCCTCTTCTGCTTCCTGTGTCCGCGTTGTGCCTGTTTCATCAATCTGCGAATCATGTTGTGCAGTTGGCCGTTCATAATTGACCTACGCGTCAAATCGAACCGCTCTCTCCATCACTTCCTTCCTCGTCCTCTTTCTCGTGTGCCGTACGACATGCCTTTTCTTCCTCTTTCCGATGGTCGTGGTAGAAACAACGGTCGTACCGAAAGGGTGGTACATCACCTTTCGCATAGACAGCATCGTCGGCAGTGAGTTCAACTTCATTTTCTTTGATACCAGCTTTGAAGCAGGATCTACATTACTTGTGTAGCAGCCTCTTACTCATCACTACCATCACAGCAGAAAGATATTCGACAGGCAAGTGGTTGTATAAATTGTGATCCCCCATGAAGGCTGTATCGTAGGCTGCGATATTGACTAAGAGTTGACGCAACGGAGACTTCCTGGTTGTGTTGGCGTATGCGTAGAGGATGGCCGAGTCACTTGGTATGATTCCTATGATCTTTCTTCTGGTCATGAAATCAAGAGTCTGCCTCTTCAATTCGGCAGCATCAAGACGATCGGCCAATACGAACATGGCTCCGAGAACCAGATAAGTCCAGCTTTGAGGTGTTTCTCCTTCAAATTTTGAAAGATCGTCATCAGAAACATTCACTGGAATGTCTTCGTTTTCGTAATCTTCCGCTTCGTAGGGGTGCTGCTCTTCCAGCACCGTGTTGAGCTGAGCAAATTCGTCTTTCGAAGAGGCGCCTGAGTCCGAAGACTCATAAGCAACTTTGCTAGGATACAACCAAGCGACAAACACTCTGAAGAGCACCACATGAACGTCTTCGAGCTCAACAATGCCTGTCTGGGCTTCCTTGAACTGTCCAGAGAGAGCTTTTGCGAAATATGTTGACTTGGAGCAGAGTAGTTCTTTGTGTATGCAGAAGTCTTGTTTGTCGGGTCCCACGCGCACAGTGACCATTGGTGAGTAGAGCAATCTGAGAAAAATCTATCAGCCAAAGTGTTGATGTGTCTTGTGGTTGAATGAGTACCTCATGGAGCTTAGCGACACTCCTGAGCCACTGGAAGGAGACATCGTGTTTGGTGGGGAGGTTGTGGTTGTTGATGATCAGGTTGATATGCTGAGTGGTGTGGTTGTGTGATGGACAAGGAGAGATATAAAGTGGTAAGAAAATAATCTGATGAAGTGGTAAGGTAGGGAAGTGTGTGTGAGTCGATAAATATAGCAGTGTGATGGCCGAGGTGGAAAAGTTGCGCAGCATACGAGTGAGTATCACAATACTCGTTGCAACTGGTTTTCAGTAGTGTAGGGCAGCAAAAACCTCATAAGTGAGAACGAGTAGTGAAGTGCCGGCGAGGAGCGAGAACGTATTGCTGTTCATAAGATATTATCGACCTCCTTGGATCTTTAACAGCTCACTCAAGAAAGTCCAATCAGTCGAGAATTCAACATGTCACTCTCGACTCTGTGTTGTTGCCTGCCTGGCTCGCCTTCTGTAAAGCAACATCTTCTAGAAATCCCTCACTGTCAGAACTATGACACCGTGATCAATCACTGTTCCGGGAACGATCAAGGGTGCCGTGGAAATTCTTGGATTGTTGAAAGACTCGTCGCGTTTCCGCACCGACGAGAAGAGTCGCGATCCGGATGTTATAGACCAAAGGAACACTCGGCTGCAAGATCATTTCACGATAGACGTTTCGCGATCATCAGGAGAAGGAAGATCTACACGTGGAAAACAGCTGGAGACGGGAAGCAAAAAGCCAGCCCCGCTGTCCAAGTTTTGGCTGACAAGTGACGTTCCGCAACTGCAGAGTGACGCAAGATTGCTTCACATACCAATGCCAGGTCTTACACGATTCCGATCCCAGCCATTCTTTTTTCGCTAACAAGCTGGAGAGGAGGCCTGCCCTGCCGTGCCTGCGCCTCATTCTTTTCGAGTCTCTTGATCAAGCCACGATTTTGGTTCCCTGCTTTTGATAAATAACCCAATCCCTTCGTTCTTTCTACTTTCAAGTCTTGCGAGTTTCTCGACATTCATATTTAATTACTTTTCTTATCCTTGAGGGATAATATTCAAGCTATCACGATGGCAGAACCCCAGAACAAGCCTCTGAATGAGTACGTTTCACGCGATCGGTTCCGTCAAAGCCAAAATGCTAATGGTGGCTAAGGCTTTTGTCTCATGACATGGTCGACATCTATGTCGGTCAGGAAAACACCAAATGGATCTTGCACGAGAAGCTTCTGTGCTACCGCAGCAAGTTCTTTCGCAACATCTTCCACAGCAAGGAGAACAAGAACCGCCAATTTGGTCTTCCGGATGAGGAGGATGAGCCTTTCAGAATCTTTGTCGGATGGCTGTACAGTGGCCACACACCCACTCCTGAGTCAGAGAAAGATTTGACACTTCTGCTGGATCTATACTTGATGGTAATTTGTCTCTGTCGGTGTCAAAAGAATGACAAAAGCTGACAACAACCACAGGCCGAAAAGTGGGAGATCCGCGATCTTACCCTGGAAGTGCTCAAGAGCGTCCGCAACTGGTACAAGGAGTCCGACACATACCCTGCCCTCCGCCGCGTGCAATACATCTACGCCAACACCGACCTTGAATCTCCCATGCGCCAACTACTCATCAGCAGTGTCGCAAGAAACCTCGTTACCAGCGACTCGGGCATGCCGCCGCAATGGGACAAGGCCCTCAGAAAGAATGGCCAGCTCGCTGTCGACATCATCATCGCCATGCAGAAGTGGAACCTCGAGAAGGAGAGCATCCCCGATCCGAGACAGGACTCGGTCAAGCCTATTCTGGAGGACGCTGAGCAGGCCAGAGCTCAGAAGAAAGATGGACAGAATGAGGACCAGACCAACGAGCAGAATGGTCAGGAGAACGACGACGAAAATAACGTTGACAACGAGAACGAGGCTGAAGAGGGTGCCGAAGACGGTGAGCAAGAGGAGGGCGAGGACAACGAGGAGGGTGAGGAAGAGAACGAGGAGCCCCAGGAGTAGTGGGATGAAAGATACCCGATGCGACGAATTTCTTTATAATCTTCGTTCTAGCAGTTAATTTTTCTGGATATTCAGGTAATTCGAATTTATAACATTTTCCACCTTGCCTTCAAGCTTGATCGCACATGGGGTATAAGGGAGATGGTGCATTTCTTCAAGCAAGCTCGTACTGATATGAAGATGAAGAAGAAGAAGAAGTCGAAGTTTACATGCGTCGGGGGGCGGGCATGTTCTTCTTCTCCTTTGCGAGACCTTCTTTCTGCGTCTCTCNGATGAGTCTTTCTCTGTCCTTGGACTTCATGCTGTCGAACTTGTTGACCAGGGCTTGCTGCTTCTGTTCCGACTTCTTCAGGTAGAAGGGGTTCTTGCCCTGTGCAATGGCTTCCTTCTCCTTCTTGCGGTGATCGCGTATGACTTCCTGTTCTCTTTCCTTGTTCTCGCGTGCCTTCTTCTTACTCTCCATACTGAGCAGTTTGCGCTTGAGGACTGCCTTGTCATCTTCACTCTTGGTCTTCTTGATGGCGGCCTTCAGCTCGGCCATCTCTGAATCCTGGTAGTCGTTGATAAAGGAGTATTTCTTTGCGAGTGCGGTGTCGTCTACGGGACCACCTAGTGGGCCGAAACGAGGGTCACGGATCTGTAGTTTGGGCACATCGATGACCTGGCGTTTGCGAGTGACCTGTCTGTTTGATGCTTGTGCCATGGGTGCGTGCTTGGAGCTACGAGCGTGAGGGGGACCGTCTTCGTCCGAGTCGCTGTCGCTGCCATCTGAAGCGCTGTCGTCGCCGGCGTCCTTTGCTGTTCGTGACTTCTTGGCTGCGGGTTTGCTCGAAGACTTTTCTGCCTCCTTCTTGTTCTTCTTGGGAGCGGCATCTACGCCTTTGGACTCTCTCAACTCTCGCAGACGAGCGCGAAGAGCTTCTAGTTTGTCCTCCTTCTCATCGTCGTTTCCTGTGGCTCTCTTGCGTTTCTTCGATATGGACTCCTGGGCTCTTGACAGTGTGCCGAACGAGATATTGCTCAGCTTGTCCTTGACATGCTCTTCTGCGTCTTCATCGGAAGAGCTTAGAATGTCGACTTCATCACCTGCACCAGTCTCAATGATGGATGCGGACGAGTCGTCTCCCGAGTACTCTTCAAAGTCGTTCTCATCGTCGGAGACATCGGCGCGGGACTTGACGGGTTTTCCTAGAGGTAAAGGCATCTTGTTTGAAATGTGGAATAGTTGACGGAGTCGAGAATTTCTGGCCGAGATGCGCTTGCGCCTGCCTGATGATGCTCGATGCCAAGCTTTCCTTTCTTTTCGCGCCTGCTCGTTCATGCGGCTTGCCAGGTCGCTTACGACGAACACCCGGCTTTTATGATTCTAAAGAAGAGGGATTCAGAGCCGTACACATCCCAGTTGTGATATTTTCAGAACCCATAATGTTGCTTCCTGCTATTCTGACCCACAGCGGAACTTGCAGATGGGAATGCGCCGGACTAAGATCGATCATCTTTCGGAGATGTTATCGACTTGTTAGTAACGATGTGACGGCTACAAGGTGTTCGGTAGAGGGCGGCTGAGGCTCGTGGCTCGGGTTTCTCATGAATCGGGCGAGGTTAGAGTTCAGGATGCGACTGATTCTTGACAGGCCGCCCGAAACTCGCAAACACCGCGGTGTCTGCTGGTGGCGTGTACGTCAGAGTGATATCGGCGAGATACGGACTTGGGCCCTTATTAATTATTTTGTTGTTGCGCATCTTGACCTCACTCTTCGACGTCGTCATACATCAAAACACCTTGCTCCGCCCATCAATTGCATCTCACTTTCCCATCCAAACCACACATATCAGCACATCATGAAGATTCTCACAAAGGAAGAAGAGCAGGAGCACTACAAGTACGTCGCCGATCTTGCACTCATGACATGCGCATGCGAGCACTTCTAACAACGTACGNNCAGCGCTACCATCTATGGAGGTACCATTGGTGGCCTGCTCGGTACAGCAGCTGGTGCCGTCGGTGTCTTGGGCGCCAGCAGGAGATATCCTGCTTTCCGTGGCCTTTCCCTGCCATTCCGCGCCTTCCTGATCACCAGTGCCGGTACTTTCGCCGCCATCATCCAGGCCGACCGTTACTCGCGCACCTATGAGGCTAGTCGCCATCCCGAGAAGGAGTACACCGACCAGCAGCAGACCCTGCAAGAACAGCTCGAGTCGCAGAAGCCTTTCTCCCAGCGTGCAATGGATTGGGGAAACAAGAACAGATACAGCATTGTCTTCGGTTCATGGGTCGCCTCGATCACCGCAGCGTTCGGTATTGTCGGCCGCAACCCTTACCTTAGTGGTCAACAAAAGCTCGTCCAGGCTCGTGTCTATGCCCAGGGTTTGACTCTGGCTGTCGTTATTGCCAGTTTGGCACTCGAGGCCAAGGACAAGAACCAGGGCGAGGGCCGCTGGGAGACCGTCAAGGTTCTCGACCCCAATGACCCTACCCACAAGCACGTCATCGAGAAGAAGATTCATCACGAGCGTTACTCGGGTGAGGATCAATGGATGGGTAAGCTATTTTGATCTACTGAGCGCTGAACTTGACTAACACCGCCTNNAGACATGGTCGCTGCCGAGGAAGAGCGCATCAAGCAGCGCGAATCCGCCGTCAAGCAAAAGGAGTCTGAAGACGAGAAGAAGGGCAAGAAGGTCAAGAAGCACGAGGATCTCGAGCACGCCGAGAACAAGTCCAACGCCCAGGCTCCTTGAGCTCTCCAATCACTCGACACAAAAAATACTTCTGTGACGAACACACAACCGACCCCTATACCACGATGAGTCGAGCTTCATGGAAGCCGACTTGCATAGAAAAAGAACGAGATGGAGCTGCAGGGCGGCCCCATCCATATAATTAACGACCTCTTTAAAATGTGCGCATCGTTGGATTGATATTAGAACCTGTAAGATAGTACTACTTCATGCGAGCACGATTTATAAATAACCCATTCGAAATTTGCTCCCCGACATTATCAATCATGTGCTAAACTTGAGTCAGAGCATGGCAGTTGGATCATCAAATGGAAAGGTGCCGATAGTAGCTAGGATCTCAATGGTTTAGACGATAGTCAAGCGACCATTAGAGATCTATTGATACATTGTATTTATGCTTGGGGTGCCCGACCTCGCAAAAGAAGATGTATTAATTCATGGACAGGGTCAGTCTCTCAGCGAAGTCTGTAGTCAAAGTCACCACCCAGAGAGCGTGGAGCGTGGTCAAGACAAGGTAACTCGTTCATATACAGCGTACTGTATCCAAAAGGCCGCTCCAAATCATGACTATCAGATCCCTAGGAACAAGTGAAACATGGTGCGTCCGCCCAGTTCGTAAACATAATCTTCTTTGTCAAAAACGCAGATGGAAAACAAGACATTAGTAGGCCGTGAAAATAATGGAGCCGTCGGAAAAACAATAACATCATGATACAAGTAATCCCACCCAGTCATGATTGTTTCGTGGGAAACCAACAAAAGAAATGTAAAGACGTTGACGCAAGACGATAGGGAAAAGAGATGTACCGGCGTGGCGTGGGCCGGTCTAACTGAAATGAAGTCGGTGGTCGTATCATTAAATGCGTCAAGACTTGATATGGCTTCTCGGGTGTGTTGCAAGCAGGATTCCTCGTCGTTAGAGTGGGACTATCGGTATGTTGTTGGGTCGCCCCTTGGTGAGCCCTCTTGTCGCCGAGAAACCCCTTCTCTGGGGTCTTCCTCGGGAGAGAGTATGTTCGGATATCGTGATGGGCCGGGATGACTAGGTCCTGGAGCAGCTTCATGGGGCTCGTCATATCCTTGCTGCAACCGCCGCGTCTCCCTTTCTATGCTGGAAGGACGATCTCGCTTCTTCTTGCCAGAAGACGTTTCGGACCCTCCTGCGCTGAGAGGCTGATCGCGAACCTGCGGCGTCATTGCAGCTTGGGCAGCATGTGCTGCGATAGACAAATGGCCTGGTGCGACAGCACTGCTGCTGCTACCACTTGCAAGCGGAGGTATGCGTCGAGGAGGCGGCAAGGGCTGTCCATGTAAGAGCTCCTGCTGGCTTCTAGCGGCCTTCTCTGCATTGGTAGGTCTGCCGCGTTTCTTCTTTGGCGGCTCAGGTTGTTGATTGAGTATGTTCCCGATGGTGGACATTGGTGGCTTGGGCACAAGAAGACGGCCACCTGCAAAAGAATGTTGATCTGGGCTGAACGGACGTTTCAGAGAGGACGCTGGAACGGGTCCCTGAAGACTCTGAGATCTGTTATGACCAGAAGCGGGTCCAGCAGGGCCAGGGTGATTCACGACACTGTAAAACCAGTTGCTGCATTGATTGACAGTCCGTCCTGAAAGAGCAAGTCAGTGGATGGGCCGCGTTGGCGTAAGCGCGAGATACACACCCCTTGGGAGCGCCACATCACCCCAAACGGGGATGATGCCGTGCTGTCGTATAAAGTGGACGACCACGTCTGGATGGGTGTTGCTGGACTTGATGATCTCGGCCAGTATCTCGAGCTGCTCGTGCGCATTAAAGCTCGCATCCCGAGGGTTCATTCTGTAACGAGCCGGAGAAGTAACGAGGAAGAAGAGAAAAAGGCGAACATGTATTACAAAGTAATAGGGCCAAGTCTCAGATATGAGAAAGGGAACGAGTGCAGCTGGTGAAACGAGGGTGCGTCAGTCAGACGACAAAACGAAAAACACTGCCTGCCTTGAACGAAAGCATAGAGAAGGTCAAGAAAAAATCCCACGAGGCGTAGAGGAGGAAAGAAACGAATGCAATCATTCAGCACTGTGAGAAAGAAAAAAGCCGCGAGCAACAGGAACCAGAGTGGAGAATGGGTCCGTCAAGTCAAGGCTCAGAGAGGGCTGGGGTTTCGGTTCTAGAGGGCGAGGTTGATGCATGCAGGTACTGCTGCATCCTAGGCGCACATCTCTGCAAGATGGATGTCATGCTTCACCAAGACCAGTCGATGCCGCCAATCCGGGTTGTGTGAGAGTAATCTTCCACTCGACATACAGTTCCAGGTTCCTTGGTTGTTTTGTCTTGAACAATACCTATCCCGCTGCCTCAAGCGAGTTTTCCCATTGTTGATGGAACCCGCGCAACAAGACACGACCCGCAAGGCTGGGATTGAGTTGACTTTCTCGGCTTCGAGAGTCCCGCACTCTTGGAACGGGCCCGCTCGTCCCGGTACACGGCAACCCAACATGAAACGCTCGGCAGGTTGGTTCTGTTGTCCTTAGGTTCATGATTGCTCGACTTCAGCCTTGTCTTCACGCTTCGGCGCATCTCGCGACAACGACATCTGGTGTGGGGTGTAGGTTCTTCCAGCTCAGGAGGCACGGTTGCTCGTGGAGAAGGGACGGCTACCTATCGCCGCAACCAAGCTATTGGCACAAAGGGCATCTGATCTACGAGCAGCCTCCTTAGGACTCTGGACGAGCACACGACAGTAGTTCCACCTTGCTTGCGAAGTAAAGCCTTCGGATCATCGTCTGCCATGCAAAATTAGGCGGATTCTCAACCCGGATACCTTTGCGCTAACGCAAAGGCTTCGTCAGTTCTTACATGGAGCCACGCAGCTACAAAGAGCAACCGATTCTTAGAGCATTGTCGTTTTATCGCTCCATTGGTTCACGGCCACGGACCACTGTGGAATTACAGACAGACGGCTTCTTGCTGTGCTCCAGATTGCCGGGTCTAGCAACCCTGGTCTGCTACGAACTCGAAATTTCCGCGTCGTATCAGGAGCCCGCATTGCATCGAAACACATGCAAGTGCGCGCCTGGCGGATGTTCCTTGCAAAAAGAATTCAACCAAGGTTTCTCAACATTCTAGCATCTATCTCGCTTCGGCTCACCTTGCACTTGTACTCGAGTAGCCTCGACAAGCACTTCGACCCGCCTAAACTTTAACCTCCAGGTACTGCTTGTGCGGTGTTACTGCATGCGGTACCTGTGCAAGCATTTTTTACCTCCACGCATCAAGTCAATAATCTCGGCATCAGGGAGATGACCATGAGCTTCCGCGGCAGACGAACGGCGTTGCAGTTCACGAGCCTGGTGGCTAGTGTGGCTGAGCTGAGCGAGTCAAACCAAGTATCGAAACTCTTTTGGAAACGGCTTGTACTTGATATAAGTATAAGGCTGGATGCGTCTGGGTGACGGTGCTGTCCGTGACGAATCTCGAAAGTTGATTAGGCACAGGTAGGTCAGGGTGACCCTCGACTGCTTGGTAGAGTTGGTCTGCGCGCCAAGCTTCCGACGGAACGGTGCCATCAATTGACGAAGATGGCGTCCATCTGTCTCTCATCATCCCTGTCGTCGGTCGCAACAAGACACAGTCGACTCCTTCAACTCGCTCATTGTACAGGCACGATTCTCCACAGGTGACAGAGGTTAATGAGAAGGCTGTTGTAGCGAGCTCCTGCCCGTTGTAGTCAATGTACGTGCAAGTGACTGTGAAGACCTAGATCAAGACCTAAATCAGATTCAGAGAAGCGTTCATTTGCAAGCGGTCGTTATACGAGCCCAATCGCCTCCTTCCTGCGATTCTATTCATACCATCAAGAGCTTGCCATATGCGTTGAGCACGTTTCTCGCCCTCAGCAACTCCCCGCCGCCAACAGCCCACGCGCCATCCTCCGTTTCGCGACCGTAGCCCTTGCACTTCGATCCTCCTTTGTACGGTGCCGTCGGCCCATCGGGATGCGTGTTGGCCACAAGAGCTTCGAAGAATCTGGGGCTCTATAAAACCTGTCCGCTCATCAACCACGACCTTTTCGCCTTGCGCAACGCTCGACTCTGCCAGATCACATCGCCATCATGCCCGGCTCGCGGGATAGCAGGGGTAAAAGCCTCACAACAGAGGTGGAAAAGATGGACATAACAGTTGACACAACTGAAGGGGCAGCAGCGACTCGCGAATCCTCTGCAGGCATCGAAGACAAGCAGGCGCGGCCGGCATCGAACGGAGACACGCCTCGCAGAGTCAAGAAGGAGACTCCTTCATCAAGGCAGCCGAGCGCTGCACAATCACCGGCCGTGAAGGGAGAGCGTGAAGAAACCATCGGTGGCGACCTCAGCATCAAGCTTGAGCCGGGCAAAGCCCCAAAGCTGTCCCGCACCATGTCGCAAAAAGTCATCACTGGACCTCGACAATTATTCAACGATTTGCCCGATGCTACAGATGAAGCCACTTCGACCTTTGACATCCTGCCCGATTGCACGTACGGCGCAAGGCATCTTGGCACTACCGAGCAGGCGCTTGAATGCGACTGTGTCGAAGAATGGGGTATGTTCTACTCTGAATTTGTCGTAGCGGCCAACGACTGACTATTTGTAGATGTGCGAACGCAATCCAACAATGCCTGTGGCGAAGACTCGGACTGTATCAACAGGGCGACCAAGATGGAGTGCCCTGGGGATTGCGGCTGCGGAGATGGCTGCCAAAACCAACGTTTCCAGCGCAAGGTGTATGCCGACGTTTCTGTCATCAAGACAGACAAGAAAGGCTTCGGTCTACGTGCTAACAACGATCTCAAGCCAAATGATTTTATCTTCGAATACATTGGCGAGGTCATCTCGGAGCCCGCCTTCAGGCGGCGCATGCACCAGTATGACCAGGAAGGCATCAAACACTTTTACTTCATGTCTCTCGCCAAAAGTGAGTTTGTTGACGCAACCAAGAAAGGAAACCTCGGTCGATTTTGCAACCATTCGTGCAACCCGAATTGTTATGTCGACAAATGGGTTGTAGGAGACCGACTCCGCATGGGGATTTTCGCCGAGCGTCAAATTGAAGCCGGAGAAGAGCTCACCTTCAATTACAATGTCGACCGCTACGGAGCTGACCCCCAACCCTGTTACTGCGGCGAGCCAAATTGTTCTGGATTCATCGGCGGAAAGACACAAACCGATGACCGTGGAACCCAACTTTCATCAACCATTCAAAAAGCTCTCGGTATCTTTGGAAACGAAGATTGGGAGAACGCTGCACACACCAAAAAGCCCCGCAAGAAGAAGGCCTCAGAAGATGATGAAGAATATATTGACAGCATTGAGCTTAAGCAGCTCGGCCCAGGAGACGTCAAAGTTGTTATGGGTGAGATTTACAAGAGCCAGGAGAAATGGATCATCGTCAAGCTCCTCAATCGTATACAGAACTGCGAGAACGAGAACGTGCAGTTCAAGGTGGCCAAGATGCACGGTTATGTCATTCTCAACAAACTTCTCAAGACCTACGCCGACGACACGAACATTCTATTGCAGATTCTGGACATTCTTAACAAGATTCCTCGATTGACTCGCAACAAGATTGTTGATTCGAAGATCGATGTCACTGTCGAAGGCCTACTCGAGCACGAAGATGAAAGAGTCAAATCACAAGCTGCAAAAATCTACGATGAGTGGAGCAAGCTAGTCATCGCTTACCGCATTCCACGCATGAAGAGAGACNNCCCAACCTGTTACAACAAGATAAGAGATTGGACCGTTCCGAAAGGAAGAACCGTGACCGAAGTCGTTCTCGCTCGCGCTCAAAGTCAGTCGATGCACCGAGAGGACCTAAAGGACCATCCGCCAAGGCAATTCCTTCGGGCCCACGCGGAGGCGGGCATAGAGGCGGAGGCTTCTTCCAAGGCNGGTCCTCGTCCTCCGTTCAGACCTCGAGCTCCTCCACCTACTGAGCTGCCGCCTGGTTGGTATGTCGCATTCGACCAAAACGGCACACGCTACTATTATGATGGTGACGGCAATGTCCAATGGATACCCCCTACCCAATCGGCAATCAATGCGCCCCCTCCTCCTCCGCCCAAGGTTTTGTCTGAGGCACAGAAGCTCGAAGATCTTATCCAGGGAATCGTCAACAAGAAGGAAACCCCGGGCACTGACAAACCTTCGGCCACTGCAACACCGACCGAGACACCCACCAAAGCCAAGTCCGATGAGAAGTGGCGTTCGTTACCCGAAGAGAAGCAAAAGAGGGTCTACGAGAATACGGTAAGTTGTGATTGTACAATGCGGTGTCATGCGTCATAGCTAACAGTCGTCCAGCTCTTCCCATCTGTCATTCACGTCGCAAACAAGTACAAGGGCAAGCTCGACAGAGATGACATCAAGCGCTTTGCTAAAGAATGCTCGAAAAAGCTTGTCAACTCAGACTTCAAGAACAAGCGTGTCACTGATCCAAGCAAGATCGACTCCAGACAAGAGAAAGCGGTCAAGAAATTCGTGGCCGACTTCTTCGAGAGGGCTGTCGTGAAAAAGAAAGAGCACGATCAACGCAAAGGACAAGGTTCGGAGCAAGCAGGCATGGATGCCATGCAAGTCGATTCGCCCAAGGATGCCGACATTGATGTTCCTGTCGTGGGTAACAATAACGACATGTCTGTACCAACAAGTCCTACAACCCTGAAGCGAACACGAAATGATGANAAGCTCGACAGCTGGGGCCGCAGACGAAGACGATCCACTTGGCAAGAAGGCCAGAGTATCTGCGCCTGCTCCCCTCCGCCTCCACCAGCCGGAGACTTGCGCGAAGAGGACATGCAAACAGGCAACGATGACTCCAATGGTGCCGAAGGCTTCTCGATCAAGGGTGCTGCTGGTGGCCTTCAACGCATGCCAAAGTACGCAGAATCACCAATGCAGATCGCAACGCCACCTACAACAAATAGTCCTGACGCAGAAGAAAGGGAAAGACGTCGCAGAGAATTCGGCGGGCTCAACGCAGAGAGGATGAAAAACTTAGGATTTCTGGATGGAGCAAACGATCGTTGAGCATCGAAGTCCAGATACATGAGGCTTTGAAGAATAATTTGCATGTGAAAAGCGCCTTTCAAGTTCGTCACAAACATGGGAATCAACACTGTACAATCTTTGTGACAAAAGCACAGCATCGTAGGAACACAGGATGATGCAGGATCTCAAAGGCTCGTAGATGAGTCTTGACAAAATTCAGACCAGAACTTAATCGAGATACCCCAATCTAGCATGGTTCCGGCGCCAGTTTTCATCAATGTGTCAAGGTGTGATTCTCATTCTGGTCACAATTCAGCTCTGCAAGAGACAGCATCCTGCCAGCTTCGGTGAACAGCTGTGAGGTTTAGTATTGTCTCAGACACGATTCTCTGTGGACATTCCGAACATCGGATCTACTTCTGGTCTCGCTTGTGTCAAACTGTGGTGGGTTTGTTTCGCTCGACGCTGGATCCATGCTTGTGCTGTACATCGACAATGAATCACAATATGAGGTTGAGAGCCTTTTTGTCTTGATACAACACAAGCTGAACATCGTGTTCTAGACTTCGCATACCCAGGCCTCTCACCTTCTGTTACCTGCAGGATGTCATTGAAAGGACCAGTCATGACATATAAACTGGTGTCTGCTGCACTTTCAATATCCTTATCCTTCTTCCTTCTAACAGCTATACAGCCATGTCAACCACGACGCAACTGCCAACGTTTCTGAATCTGGATATCCTCAGGTTGCCCCGCGACAGTCTTCGAGAATGCGTATTCTTCACCCCCAAAACTGTAGCTGCAGCTATCTTGAACGGCTGTTCTAAGGACGAGCTCAAGAATTACCTCCAAAGTCATGATCGCAGAACTGTCGAACGCCAGATTTCAGATAACATCAACGAGCGCCATTCCGCCCTATTCTATGCCGCAAAGAGAAATGCTGTAGACATCGTGGGACTTCTTCTGGAGTATGGTGCCGACCCTCAAGCAAGAGACCCATCGAACATTCCTCTTCTGGCCGCCTCGATCATGTATTCGAAATGGACATACAAGAATGTTGACAAGGTTATCGCGCTATTGCTTTCCTACGGTGCTACCCCTTATTGCATACCAGAGTACATGTGGTCAACCTACATCAAGATGCCAAATGAAGGATGTCTCAAGGACAACCCTGGTCATCCATCGGCCGCCTGGGCCAAGAAGCAGCACCGAATTGTTCTTGAAGAAACCTTGAACCTCACTGTCCGATACCATCTCAATCGTGCAAGTCTGACAAAGCTCGCGACAACGAAACAACGCCAGATAGCGCAACTTCTTGGATGTCCGAGGATTCTCCAACTTCCCTTTCATATTGTTGGACAAGACCACACTCTGGAAATTGTCAAGAACAAGATCCTCGCATACGATGCCATGAACAGAAGACGACCTCTAGTTCTGACCTTTGCTGGTCTTNNTTCGGGTCCCGGCAAGACAGAGCTTGCAACTAGTCTCGGACATCTCCTGGGTACAGAAGTATGCAATATTTATATGAGCAAGATGCAAGACCCGAGGAATCTGTTCGGTTGTGCTGCTCCCTTCGAGGAATATGATACAGGATCTCCTCTGAACAATTACTTGACCAGCCATACAGCTCAAAAATGTGTTGTGTTCTTGGACGAGTTTGACAAGACTAACCAAAAAGTGCGCCAGTCTTTGCTTACCATTCTGGACTCCGGGGTAAGTCATTTTCGCGTAACTCGTGGAAGCTGTCTGACCTTGTGAATAGTNGTTGGGATGGATTTGCGCTCCAACACAGTGATAGATGTTTCCAAGTCCGTCTGGATCCTCGCATCCAACAAGGGCGACGATCTCATCTCGAAGTTCTACGATAAGAACCTCGAGGGTAAGACTGACCGCGAAAGGCGGGAAGTGTCTATCAAATCGCTCGAGCGGAACCTTTCAAGACTTTTCGTCGAAGAATACACTGTAAGTCCAAAAATCAGCTTGTTGTTCCTTCACACGACTGATTCTTGCAAGCCTGCCGTGGCCGGCCGTGTTGATAGTTTCTTGCCCTTCTTCCCCTTCAGTCGCGACGAAGCTGCCGTGATCCATCACAAGTTCCTGAGGTCCTTGGATGATCAGATTCGTCTTCCGATCGATCTAACCAACAAGCCCCCTCATCCAGTCGGTCATCTTCATCTGTCACTCGTGAGAGATGGAGATCTCTGCAAGTTTCTCTCTGAAAACTACTACGTTCGTGATCTGGGAGCAAGATCGATTCACAACTGCGTTGATGGCCTTGCTGATGAGCTGTTCATGCTTTACACTTCCTCCGACGGTGAAATTACCGAAGCCACCAACGATCAGCCTCATGTCAAATACACAATGCAGCTTCATCCCGTCGACCAGACCTTTGAGGTCGCAATCCGCGAGGATGGCGAGACTCTGATCCCGTCTGGTTGATTCTCCAAGTTCCATGATCATTGCCCTTCGCATCGTTGAGGCAAGCTTCGTTATCATCGGACATTATGAAGCCTCGAATCGGGATTCTTGCAGTTCAGGGAGGCTCTCATGTATCAGTGCAGACAAGGTGATGCTCTGATGGGATATATCAGCAGTGCAAGTTAAATAGCTTTACCACCGTGTTCCAACCGTAATCGCATTCTCGATCCTTAAAACGGCTGACAATGTGTATATGTATGTGGCTCGACCATAGTTTTCAAGTCACTAATTATGTTTCAGAGCGTAAGCAACCTTTGGAGAAAAAGATGTCTCACCGAGTTCAAGCGTGTTGAATCGAGCTGTCACATTGCAGATGACATCAAACGGTCAGAATCTTGCCCTAGAAGAGCTCTGTGGATGGAACCTCTGGTAGACGACTGGAAAAATGCCGAATTGTTATGTAGTCTGACAACAATATATCAGTGCTTGATGCGATACCCAAGCTTGATTTCAGAAGATCCGTGATTCGGTTGACTAGGTTGATGGTCTCCGACTCTTCATTGAGCATTTGTTGCTTGAGAATGTGTTTTTGAGCAAGCAGCTACGATGGCAAGACGGTTCTTGAGCTTGCCCTACGATGATCTGTAGAACCACATGATGATGTTGGCAAGACATCATCCTTCTGATGTGACCGTCGCCTCAACCTAATGTTATCGACACTTTATGTGCTTGGAGCTCATACCGAGCTGCCTCAAGGATGAGTTGAGGCCGCGACGGGCGTGAGAAGTTGCCTTCTTCGGAACGAGATTCCCATCGATTTTGCAATTGACATCCCCTTCTCGACGTCCCCTGGTCTGCCTTTTACCACGTCGCTATCTATACCAAAAAGGTCACTCTCAAAGAAGCCGCTGTATTTGCTCAGCATTCCACCGAGAGTTGACAACTGTAAGCCCTCTTTCAGCTGAAGGTCTAGTCTTATTAAGATTCAGCCATCGTTGACCGAACATGTCCGCACCGTTGCACCTCTATCCTTGTTTTCGTGGGGAAACGAGAGTCAAATGGTAAGCAAGATGGAAACGGCCTGCTGCTAGTTTCTGGTTTCTCATCATCCATTGCGACTTCCACGATCGTGGATTCGTGGCTCTGCCGAAGGAGTGAGCTTTCAAGGGACCAAGGCGTATTCTTGTTGAGATGTTGCTTCCTTCGAGAGCTAGCTCTATCGATAGTTTGAGCCAAGGAGAAAGGGTTCAACCCCTCGCAGCATCCCAATGTCATCTCTGCACGGCTAATGGCTATTCAACGCCCCCATCGCCGTATCCCGTTCGCATGGGATTGGTTCCTCGATAGAGACACGGCGCGCCTCAACTGCCCTGCAGCCGGTGGGCATGGTGCGATCTCGTCGCGAACTACAAACACTCTCTGCCCGTCGCTGTTCTGGTTCCGACTACCCCTTACAACCCCAGACGGCCGTATCACCACCTAGTCATGGCTCACTGGGGTGGACGACACGGCACCACTCAGGTGGTCATCGTCTTTGTCTTCCTTGTACTCGCCTTCATCGTTCTGTCTCTACGACTTTTTACTCGAGTGATCGTCACACGGAACCATGGTCCAGAGGATTGGGTCATCGCAGCAGCATTTGTAGGTCCCCTCGACATCCAGACGTAACGACTGGACATCCTTAACATTTGCATANNGTGCTTCTCTATCACACAGGCAGTGTTTGTTCTNTGCCGGTATGCAAATCCAGCCAGCAGTTAGGCCAAGCAATGCTGACTATTCTCAGAGGTTCAAAACGGTCAAGGTCTATCACAAAGTATGCTCTCGGCGGATGACCTTCTAAATCTACGAAAGGTACGAATCAAATTCATCGTGGCACTGACTTCAAACACTGACATGNNTCTTAAGGCCTTGTATAAAGCAATCCCAGTATATCTCGCTGGATTGACCTTGACGAAGCTCTCGATCCTGCTACAATACATGCGAATTTTCAAAGATAAAACAATCCAAAGAGTCATCATCGGAATGATGATCTTCGTCGCAGCATATGGTCAGTATTGTCCAGTGTCTAAATCTCTGTGTATCAAGGCATTAACACGATTCGACTANGGAACTTGGTCGGTCATCGGATCATTACTCCTTTGCGTACCCGTCCATTACTTCTGGGATGGATTGAGTGAAGAACATTGCATGAACTTCACAGCAAAATGGTTCAGCGATGCGACAGTCAACATCGTCACTGACTTGATACTCTTGAGCATGCCGATGCCCTTCCTCAGAGACTTAAATTTACCCTATCGCTCAAGAGCAGGCCTCATAGCCGTCTTTGCTCTTGGAGGCTTGTGAGTGAACCTATCCATCTAACACAACAGAAAGCAAAGTTTGTTGACCACATACCATAACAGTGTATGTCTAGTGTCTATAGCCAGACTAGGGCCCCTATACATTATCGCGACCAACTCAGACGTGAGCAAACACAACGGTCCCGCTGCCCTTCTGTCAAGCATGGAAGTAAACGTCGGCATCATCTGTGCCTCACTGCCCAGCCTACGAGCAATCACACTACGAACCTGCTCGCGCAGAAACACGAACCGCCACTCCGCATCTTCACGGCACAGCCACTCGGGATGGTGGCGCTTCGGCAAAAGAAACGACAATATCGAGTTAGAAGCAGGACCGAAACAAGATCTAAGCAACTCAGGGAGTGCGATCACAAAGATGGTATCCATAAAGATGGATACTCAAGAGCGGCGAGATTCGAGGAAGCTATCGATATGGTCGATGAACGGCGTGGGCGGCATATTTGACGGCGGTGCTGCCAAAGCCTATATAAGGTCTGATATCCAATGAATTTATATGCGTTCTACGAGCCACGCGGTACGTACACTACACAATATAATCAAGCATTCCAAAAGGCAAAAAAAAAGAATCACAGGTCTGGCGGGTTGGAGGACTTGGTAACTTACCTCCTTCAAGATCTCTCCTCTCTTCCGATCCTTCACTCTTCTCCTCCAGCCTCTGACAGTGACCTGACCACCTTTCCACAGGGGCGCATCTATCGAGAGACCAATCTGACAGAGTTGACTAGTTGATTGAGGAAGCTATAGCGAGAAAGNTATTAGCTGATCAAGAGGCTCGAACTCGAGCATGTTGTTGTGGTTGGTTGAATTGTTTGCCGCAGNGTGAACTGCCAAGGCTTGTGGTTAGCTGTCATGCTGCTATACTAAATCGCCAGACCATGTGATTATTGGAGGAGAATGGCAGAACGAGATATATGAAGTTTGGATGATGCTGATCTCAAGCAAAGGGTCCTGAGCATTTGGTGGAAGCTGAGAGGACTGAGCAACATTGCCCATCACTATCTTTACGCAAGATCAGTATACTGAGATGAACCGAAGTTATTGTTATTACAAAAGTTGAGATGGAATGGTGGCGCCCAGAGCCCTCTCTATTTACATCCTAGTATTCTGTAGTCAAAATCTTCTTGAGATCACCGCTCTGCTTCTCATATGCCTCGACCTTGGCTTGGCTGGCCATAATCTTGGACAAGAGATAGTTAACACGGCTCTTCAACTCTGCCGGCTGTCTCGGCAGTTCACCCAGAAGGTGCAACTCTTGTTCGTACTTGTCAATACTCTGCGTCTCAGCCTTGATGCCCTCTGCCAAGACTGCGAGATCCATGCGTGACTGCAGGACCTTATCCTGAGTCAGCTTCTCGAACGCAGGCTGGTAGACTGGACGGCCGGGCTTGATGGCATATGGGCGACCGTTGTAGGATTGGATGGCGATAAGTTCTGCTTGCTCCAGAGCTGCAAGTGCTTTCTCGCCACCGGACTTGTAGGAGTCTGACAGTAAGATCTCGTTGTACCGAATGCTTTGATCCTTGGCAAGCTGTTTGATGAGTAACCAGGCTTGTTGTGGTGTCCATTGACGGCCACCGTCTTCCTGGCCGAGCACGAACATCTTCAGGATTTCGCTAGCAGATTGCTCGACGATCTCGCGGACAGCTTTGCGCGGTGTCTCGCCAGCCTTGATTCTACGCGCCAAGAACTCAAGATCTGTGAGGCGACCGCCTAGAGCAGGCAGGACGCCATCGAGTTCTCCAAGGTCCTTACGACGTTGAGAGGGAGTCAATTGCTTGATACCAGCTTCTGCGTCTTCACTCTCGAAGTCGATGTGGTTGATAACGAATCGCTTGGCAACCTCGATACTCGTGTCGGAAAGACTAATTTGACGGAACACACGATCAGGCAATGCTTTAGATAGCGACTTGCTGAAAGAGACATCGTGAGTCAAGAAGATTACGTGAGCAATGTTGGAAGTGGTGACACGGGCGGCNNCCTGTCTTGAGTCAGCTTTCGGCTTTGGAGTATTGATGTCTTTGACTTACCATTCAGCGATCTTGTCATAGACAACAGTGCCCTCCTGGCTCTTATGTAGGAAGTTGTCAATGACAACGACAGGTCGTCTCTCGGGGTGTGCTTCAAGATATTCATCGTCACTGAGATTGGCATCTCTATCGTCTTTCTTGCGTCCATCGAGTGCGATCTGTTTCAGGGCAGTTTGTGTGTTGGTAAAGATCTTGGTAAGTTGAGAGTCCAAGGTTTCAGAGAAACCAGTCTTGACACCAGTAGCTCCCTGGGCTGCAAGATCGATCAGTCCGCTGATCGAGTTCATCCAGCTGAAGACAGGTCTATAACCAACTTCTGCCGCTGTAGCATTGATGGTGCCCGAGTCTCCACGAGCTTCCTGAATGGGTTTGCAGTCGAGAACCAATTTGTTCCTTCGGTCCTTCAAGGCCTGGTCAACAACCAGCTCTCGCTTGGCAGATCCACGTGGTCCCTGGACTACGATGAAAGTGTCGGCCGTTTCCATTAGCCAGGTCTTGATCTGGTTGATGTTTCCTCTTTGATCTTCCCAAATAGCTTCCATTCCAGCTTCATCAGGTGTATGTGATCTGAGACGTACAACATCAAGGAGATCGCTTGCTTGCTTCTTGAACCAGCGATAGACTCTGTTGTCTTCGAGATGAAGCGTTCTAGTAATGTGTCCCTTGATGAATGCGGTACGGATAGGATCGAAAACTGCGACGGTAATACCAGCGACGAGAGCGGCGATAGCTGGAATGGCTATGCGAGGGTGGTTCGTGAGCCAATCGATAAACCACCTTGCTTTCTGCTTCTTCTCATAACTGATCCTGAAGACTGTCCCGAGCTTACCACCTCCCTGTTCCTCTGAGACAACATAGCCATGCAGACAGTTNNCTAGAGATGATCAGTATGACGATCAGTGTTGGTCCGAGGGTATCCTTACCTTGGCCATGACTGCTTTTCTCACCGCCGTAAAGTCGATGTTGGCAAATTTGGGCAGGACCTTCGAATCTGAAGGCTGAGAGACGATATCTGACAACTTTCCATAAGGTCTGAAGAAAGCATATAGCTGTTCTTGACTCAGTTCTGCAATCTCACCTCCAGGCGCTGTGGGCAAGAATTCGATCCTCAGTCGCTGACTAGGCAGGCGGTACAAGTCCTCAACCCATGGCTTGCCCTTGACCAGTCCTGCTCGGACGTTGGTTATGGGCGCCCACCAAGGTTTCACCTGATGATCCTGGAGATGCTTTTGTACTGCAGCTTCGATATCGGCTAGTTTCGAGCCAGAGTCATACGTGAACTTGACGAAAGCTCCGCCCTCTTTTACTCTAGGCAGGACTTCGACCACATTCGCTTGCACGGGCTTGTCAGGGGTAGCTTCCTGTGCCCTCTTGATGACTTTCTGGGGATCGATAGCTCCCATAGACTTGTCACCCCCAGTCAGTGTCGAGAACAATTTGTCGGCGCTCAAAAGTGGTAGACGAAGGAGCCATTGCAGTCTCAAAGGATACAAGTNCTGGGTACTTTTGCTTAGAGATATGCTTGTTGGTGTAGATGGGCAGAAAGACTCACTGTTGAAGAACAGTACACCTTCCTTGGCGTCGACACTGATGTGTCCAGTATTGTTCTCACCTGCTTCCAAGGAGTTGTAACGACGTCCTTGAGCACATGCCACACGATACACCCTGGGCAAGCCAGGGCGCATCAGCTGGCGGGTCAATATATGTTGGGTTGGCAGCATCACAAGTCCATGACCTCTTTATCCAAGTAGATATCCAATATGTCCAGTTGAGTAGTAATAAACCAGATGAGATGAGTTGTCCAAAAGCAGAGAATGGAATAGTGTAGCAAACTTGGAGGATGGGTAGGAAAGTTGGAAGAGAGCAACGACGTCACGTGTGGCTTGCTCGAGCGGACTTTCCTCAGGTGTCTGGTTTCGAGATGCTTGTCTTGGCCACAACTTTTTTTCTCCTACAAACACATTCATATCAAATCATGGGTTGGTGGTGGTCATCGGATTCAACAGCGGCTTCTACTATGGAGTCTGCTCCTACACAAACATTACCAAAGCCGGCGCCAGTTTCAACAACACACAGAGAAGCACCCAAGAAGGCCTCACCAGACAGCGACTTCGAGGCGCTATTCGCTTCCTTTGANGAAACCCTCAACAACGACAACGCAACCCTCAATCCCAACACCACAGCCTTCAGTCGTAACGCCAGAGATCCAACATGTAACGCCCGCCCCAAANNAGAAACGCCTACACATTACGTCCCTTCGCCCTCGGGCTCAATCGAGCAGCAATCAGAAACCGATGCACCCCTCGACATCTCCCCGGAAGCCCTCTACCCACGCCAAATGTCATGCCGTCAAGCCTTTGACCAAGCATTCTATTGCCAATCGCTCGGCGGCAAGTTCAACGACATCTACCGCTACGGCGAACTACGCAGCTGCTCCGACAACTGGAATGCTTTCTGGTTCTGCATGCGCATCAAGACTTTGCCCGACCGTGAGAAGGAAGAGCGTATCAAGGAATTTTACCAGGCAAAGGATGAACAGAACAAGGCCGAGAAGGGCAGTTCGGAAAAGATCTGGGATTTGAGGACTGAGCCTGTCAAAAAGGCCTTTTGGAGAGACCCTGAAGAGGCGACTGAAAGGAGTTGAGAGAAGCTCTTTGTTCATGTATTGTACTTTTACTATTGACTGGAAGATACCCAAAGGCGTTCGATAGCGCCATCATACGAAACTACAAGAACCATACTTTCACACTCGTCTTTCAATATTCAAACGTACACCAGACAGATTACACAAGAGGAACGTTTGTTTGGAGTGGAGCAATTCGACTTTTCATATTTCGTAATTTCCAAAAACGACAGAACAATGGTCTATCCGAACCTGCCACATATGACAGCATTCAGTCCTTTCCCATCTAAATTATGTGTGTATGCCACCACCTAAACTGCCCATTGGCTCTTGAGGCATGCTTCCAAAGAATGAGAACGATAGTGGTCGTGACAGCCATCAATGGAAGCGGCGCGTGGCTTTGGTCGGCTAGGTGTGATAGCTCTATTCCCTAAAGAGCAAATCCAGCGCTGTGTTGCGCTTATCTGCTCTGCTGGTTCGCCTTAGGGTTTTGTCTGGAAGAATAATAGGTGTCGAAGAAAACATGCTGAACGCAAAATCGCAGTAATCAAAATTTTCTGTACAGGCCAGTCATTTACTCGTTGTCGCTGTCACCGCCAATGGTCATGCCAGACTTGCTGGCACCGGGGGCAGACAACTTAGNAGGAGCGACACCAAGACCGTTACGGTTTCTGAAGAAGAGAACACCCTTGCCCTCACCCTGAGCACCCTCAGAAGGCTCGACCCACTGGCACCATCTGGCGCTGTTGTACATGGCCTTGAGGAAGCCGACGGGGCCGTCTCTGACGTCGCTGCGGTAGTGCTGGCCCATGATGGGCTTGATGGCCTCGGTGGCCTCGTCAGCGTGGTAGAAGGGAATGGTCGAGATGTAGTGGTGGAGGACGTGGGTCTCGATGATGCCGTGGAGGAGATTGCGACCGATGAAGCCAAACTCGCGGTCGATAGTCGCAGCGGCTCCGCGAGTGAAGGTCCAGGTGTTGGCATCGTAGTGGGGGAGCGAGGGGTCGGTGTGCTGGAGGAAGGTGATGGCGACGAGCCAGTGGTTGACCCAGACGTAAGGAAGGAGGTACCAGACAAGGAGGTTCTGGAAGCCGAAGTTCTGGTAGACGAAGTAGAGAGCAGTGCAGGTCAGAGCGAGACCGACGTCAGACAGGAGAATCAGCTTCTCGTCCTTGCGCTCGTACAGAGGGCTGGAGGGGTTGAAGTGGTTGACACCACCGAACCAGCCGTTGCGCTTGCCCTCACCCTTGCCTTCGGTCTGCTTGTGGTGGTTGATGTGGCCAGTGACGTTGGTGATAAGGTAAAGAGGCCAGCCGAAGAGCTGCTGCAGAATCATGTGGGTAGCGGTAGCAATGGGGGTCTCCTCCATCAGCTCGGAGAGCTCGTGGATGGCGTGGCCGACTCTGGAAGCATAGACCTCACGGGTCTTGGGAAGGAAGACCATATCACGCTCCATGTTGCCAGTGGCCTTGTGGTGCTTGCCGTGCGAGATCTTCCAAGAGAAGTAGGGGACGAGAAGAGCAGAGTGAAGGACCCAGCCGACGGTGTCGTTGAGAGTCTTGGAAGGAGAGAAGGCCTGGTGACCACACTCGTGGGCAATGACCCAGAGACCGGTACCGAACAAACCCTGGAGGACAGTGTAGAGGGCCCAGAGACCAGCTCTGACAGGAGTCGAGGGAATGTACTCGGGAGTGACAAAGTTGTGGGCGAGGATGAAGGTGGTAGCGATGCAGACAATGTCGCGGGCGATGTAGTAGAAACCAGTGGCAGCAGAACGCTCGAAGCAGTGAGCAGGAATAGCGTCACGGATCTGCTTGATGGTGTAGTCGGGAATCTTGAACTCGTTGCCGTAGGTGTCGATCAGAGTACCGCGTTGGTTCTTGAGAGGCTCGTCATCGGCAGAGCCCATCGAAGACAGCGAAGTGGTCGAGGGAGAGTTGCGAGGAGAGTCGGCAGGAGAAACGACCTGCGAGGGAGCAGACGAGCTGGCAACCGAGTGGCCGGTGACAGAGCGCTGGACGGCGCCCCTCTGTGCAGGAAGAGCAGTGGTGGATGCCATTGTGTGGGTTGTGTCGGGGAGAGACGTGTGAGCGGGAGCTCAATTGGAATTGGTAGAAATAAGGAGAGGCAGCGACGGGACAAGCCAAGCAAAAAAGCGAGTTGCCGTGTCAAGTGGGGGACAGGTGTGAGCAACAAGACTTGTTGGGGGAGAGGCACAAACAAGTAGGAGCCGTGAGCCTGTGGGAGGATGGCAGAACGAATGAGCGAACAGGTTGCAAGAGAAGGACAGGAGGAGTCGGGCTTTTAATCGACACGTTGTGCGGTCAGAAAAATTGTCAGTTGTCCCCAAGCTCTTAGTCGCCCACACGCTAGAAGCGACGACCCTGGAAGGCGAGAACTTCCAAAGCCCGATCAACCTCGGGCGAATCTTGCGTTTCATCTCGTCTGGCTGACCACTTGAACCTTCCCAACATTTACCGTTCTGTTTGCTGCTTGCACCTCGACCACCACAACCATTCGTTTTCTCACCTGTAAATAGTCCTCGTGCTCTGGCCATTGCTTCCCATTGTGCGTCCTCAGTTTATGCCAGCTGCTTCAGGCGCCAATCCTTACTCGTCCTGCTTTGGACTTTCCGTCCGGCGAATTCCATAATAACGCGGTCGATCGCGTCCCCACAAGCTGAGGCAAGCCCCTGGCCAAAGGCTCAAGCGCGGTGAAGCGCCTCAACAGCATCTCTGCTGATCTCTCCTGCTCAAGCCTTGGCATTCCTAATTGCCCCGACCTTTGACCTCCTTGACTGCCACCACCCGCCAGCGGTAGAATGTGAATGGTCTGGGGGCACACGGGTGTGGCTCTCGCTATGCTGTTCCCTACACCCGCCGTCGCACCACGAGACTTGTCACGTATCGACGTTGGCATGCTGTCGCTGCTTTTTGCGGAGCTCCAGAGCTAGTTTGACCCAACATCTGTGCTTCCTTCCATGACCGTTCGAGATGCTTCTCACGTCCAAAACCTCGTACCACTTTCGCGGGCTACTTTTTTGCTTTTCCCTCTTATGCCGCAAGCAGCAGCTGTCTTTCCCCTGACCTGTTGTGCTTCTGACTCTTGGTAGTATGCAGGGCTTGCGTACGTTGACTGCACAGTTGGAGCATTGCTTGCGAAACCCCTCACGGCAACATTGTTGGGACGACGTTCGCTGTCTGTCGTTGATATCGAACCTTGTTTCCGCAGCGGCGCAGTGCATCCCCTCGTCATCCACCACCTTCTCTCACATTAGATGCCCACAGAATCCTACCACCAGTAAGAGTCCTCGTCACCTTTCAAATGGATAGAGATACTGTCGGGTGATATGACGTCGGCTCTCACAAGCTTGTCATGTGTTTTTCATGTGTCTGTATCTTTGTTCCTTGTCATATGCAATAGTAGCTCCCAATCTCAGGGCCAACTTTTCTGATCCAATCAGTGTAACATCTCCAATATCTCTCCCCTCCGGCTGGTTGACACCGGGTATATACTCGTAGTAACGTAAACGCATAGCCCCCAGAATGTTGAATATCCTTTGACGCCATGCATGAATCCTTTTCGTTAGAGCTTCTCCATCAATCGCAATCGTACTCCTACTGCCTAGTTCTCAGCATCTAGGCGCGGTCGGGCCAGAGCTCGTTGGCAACCTGCTTGACAAGGTTGAGCTTGGCGAACATCTTGTCCTCGGTCATGGCCTCGGCACCAACACCAGTGCTGGCGAAACCGCACTGGGGGCTGATACCAATGCACTCCATGGCCTGCTCGCGGCTGACGCCCTGGCCCTTGGCGATGATGTCGGCGGCCTCGAGGACCTTCTCCTTCATCTCCTTGGCATCCTCGAGGTCGGCGACCTTTGTGCTGACGACGCCGAGAACGACGTTCTTGTTCTTGGGCAGGAAGCGGAGGGGCTCGAAGCCACCGCTGCGGGAGTCATCGTACTCGAGGTAGAAGGTGTCGTAGTTGAGGGTCTTGAAGAATCTTTCGGCGATCTGCTCGTACGAGCCCTGGGAGAAGTGCATCGACTTGGAGAAGTTACCTGCGCGACGTTAGTCTACTGATGAGTGCTGTTGGTTATGGTCTGGCTTACCTCTGCAGATGTGGAGACCAACGTGGAGACCCTCGGGGCGGCCCTCGAGACAGTCGTTGTGAGCCTTGCAGTACAGGTCGAAGAGCTCGTCGGGGTCGACACCGTCGGCCTTGAGGCCCTCGAGCATGTCCTTGGAGCAGAAGTAGGCAAGAGTGGGGTCATCGATCTGGATGCTCTTAAGGCCAGCGTCGTGCAGAGCCTTGAACTCCTTCTTGTAGGCCTTGGCCAGGTCGGCGAAGAAGGCGTCGTCGGTAGAGTAGACCTCCTTGGGGTAGCACTTGCCGGGAGCAAGACGGAGATGGAAGTAGGGAGCCGGGGGCATGGTGAACTTGCACTGGTCCCACTGCGACTCGGGCACCTGCGACTTGAGGTACTCCCACTTCTTGAGGTAAGGGCTGTGCTTGTACTCAATCTTGCCGTTGCAGACGACAGTCATGGGGTACTTGAGGCCGGCCTTCTTCAGGGCAGCAATTGGGGGAGCAGAGAGTCTGTAGAGGTCCCAGGGTGCGTCGTCGACCTCCTCGAAGCCGTCAAGCTCCTCGAAGAAGCCACCGAAGTAGACCTTGCGGTCGTACTCGCCCGAGCAGATGGGACGGACACCCTCATCTTGCTGGCGCTTGACAATGTGGGTGATGGCCTTGTGTTCAGCAGCCTCGAGCTCAGAGTCGGAGATCTGCTTGTTGGCAGCCTTGGTCTTGGCCTCCTGGAGGTCGGCGGGACGGAGGAGAGAGCCAATGTGCTCGGCGTGGAAGGGAAGTCTGACCATGATTGCGATATGTGACTGGCTATGTTGATGGAGGAGAGTAAAGGTCACAGAAACCTACCCTCAAGCTAGATATGCCCCTCCATTGCGTGAAATGAGAAGTACCGAATTATTGCTAGCGATCCGTCCACAACTGCCGTGTCGCCCTAACTTTGCTGAGTTCTGTCCATTCTATGACAGCCCACGCTTGTTATCATACCACTTTTTAGGTAATAATACAGGGCCGTCTAATTGCTTTCGACTCCCAATGCGAACGAATCGCCTGCGATTCATCTACCTGGAGCTCTGCTCGCCCTCTCGCAGCAGGACCGATAGCGGTCAGCGCCGACCGAGGTGTCAAACCTTCTTCGCTTTTACCCTGAGCTTTTTTTGAGCCGCATTCAAGCGATGCCCCGCCATGTTCTGCGGGATTTAACCGCTGTTTGTCCTGACGTTTGACCTTTAAGCTATGATATTGGAACATGTGGATGACGGGTCTTACAGCTGGGGTGTGATGTGACACGGGTAGCAATTCTCTTATATCTCTTACTGTATGTCATGATGGGATGTGAGAAAAACCAACGTATTTCTGGACATGTCACTGGCTCTTGTCTTGAGTGCTATGGTTTTCCGAGGTATTCACAGAAAGAAACACATTTTATGGTATTCCATATCACGACCACCTGAAAATGTGTATATTTAATGATTAATACACGAGACCAAAGTATTGTATCATTCGATGAAGAGTGCTTGTCAATGTAAAGCGAGATGATAGTGGCAGAGCAAACCTAGTCTTAAGACAGGGTCACTACGGAGGCAAGCGCGACTTCGTGGAAAATCCTGGGACGATCTGAAGATATTGGGACAACCCAACCACTACATGCATCATTACAACGGAAGCACAAGTCAACAGAAGGTTCAAAAATGATGGTATCATTAGCATGTAGCATTATCAATTGTATCTTGGGGCCATAATAAACACGCCAGTCAAATAACAGCATCTATGCTATCCCAACATGCCTCTTGCTCCGTCCCAGCTTACTCGTCTTGGCTGGGTGCCAAAATGGCCTGGCACTCCTCAATATCTCGGATAGTCTCGTTGAAAGTGTCAGATACTGCAGAGGCAGCATGGTTGCGATTCCAGTCGCCCTTTGTCCTCCAGATGGCGTCCATGATGTTTGCCATGACCTGCTCAAGCTGCTCGACATTCAATCCGCTCGACTTGCGTACCATTTGGTCGTCAAGACTCTTCAAGAGACCCGGATCCGCCAGGATGAGTTGCGGCTCGTTCAGCAATGCCTGAACTGTGAATGTGTGGTGGTGAGGTTGGCTGCTCGGTGGTGGTGGTCCCATAGCTCTTTGCGATAGCTGTGATTGCTGCGAACTGTACATGTCCGGTGGCTGCGTGTTAGGCAGTTGGCTACCACCCTCGAGATGGGGCAAGGCACTGAAGTCTGGAGCGTCTTCGTTACGCACACCATTGGATGAAGCATTGGTAATGACCGAGAAAGGTGCACTGCTCCTATGACTATGGTTACTCGTCTTTTGGCCCGAGCTGGTTGAAGATGCGCTGTTATAGTAATCCTGGTGTGCCGAACCTGGAAACATGCGAGTCAATGCGCCAGTCTGAGTATGTGTGTGGTATGATTGTGTGCCTTGTGCTGATGGAGTTGCGTAAGGTTGAACGAACCCAGCTCGTTCCTGAGGGTTCATCAGAGAGTTGTCCTGACTGTCGGGCATCTCGGGCTCGTCATGTGCTCCTGAAGGAACACTAGAGCCATTTGTGTAGCCATTGGACAGAGGACTAGGCCCCAGAGGCTTGGCTGGTGTGAAAGGATGCAACATTCGTGGTCCAGGCACATCTTCTCCAAGATGGACCGGTCCAGTAGACTGCTCGGTAACAGTGTTGGACACGTCGGGTGGCACGTTTGGCCTGATGATAGGCACCTCATGCCCGTCTTCCTTGGCTGTCTCGATTTGCTCTTTTTCACGAACTAGCTCGCGGTTGTATACAGCCTCACACTCAGCAACCAGTACAGGGTTTATCGCTTCGAGGTTCATCATGTCGACTTCAACGTTTGCAAGCATCTCGTTTGCCTTGAGTGTGCGTTCTTGATCGCCACTGGTCTTTGCGTCCTTTGCAAGTGCTCTGATGTCTGTGAGGAAATCTTTCGGCCGCTTGTAGTATCCGTTTGACAGACGCTTCTCGATGGTGACAATCTCCAGGTTGTAGTATTGTTTGCCGGTTGCAGTTTCGTGCAGAACAGTAGTACCCTTTGCATCTTTGGAGATCTCGTAGGGTCTGAACTGTTGTGCCTCGGCACGATCCAGATCAGTGGTGACAACGCTTGGGTCTTGCTCGTCGTAAAGGTAACCGATAAGACTTTCGTCTACAACCGGGGTCCTGAACTTCTTGTACTTCAGCTTGATCTGATCCATGACTGGTTGAATGAGCAGTTTGAGGTTGTTCAGTGTGAAGCGATCCTTCTTCTTCTGCGCCTTGAGCTCGGCCTTGCTTGGTGCCTTTGGTTGTTCCTCCAGGATAGGTGCCTCAGGCAGGGCTGGCAAGATGCGCTTCTTACGGTTTTCCGTTTGAGGAAACTCTGCGGGTGACTGTCCGATGTAGTTCATTGCCTTGCTGAAGAACTCTCTGCGAGCCATCTGTACGTGGTTATCAGTAAACCGTTTGAGCAAAAGGCGAGAAACAGAACTTACTTCTCCAGGTCTTTCCAAGACAAAATAGTTCTTTCTTGAGCGACTGAACAGCTCCCTCATCATCTCATGATTGGGGCTTGACTCGTTAGATCTGAGTTCCATCACACCAAGCACCAACACAGGATCTGTGGGTGCCAAAGTCCTCAAGAGACCATTGAAGGTCTTTATGACCTGCTGGCCCATTGTTTCATACCAGACATCAATGCTGGGAAGATAAATGACACTAGGTTTGTGGCGCTTCACCTCCTCGAACAATTGGACAACAGCTGCTTCAGGTGNACTGCGAATGAATTAGCTCTATTCAGGATACCTTCTGATACACATCAAACTTACCCTTGTTGAGTCCTTGAGCAATGTTGACATGTCAAAGGATTGTACATGAAGTCCTTCAAACTTGGCCAGCAATGCGGCGCTGATGTATTGCTGACCCATGCCTTCTAGACCGCTGATGAGCAATCTTGGGCGATTGATCCTCGAACTTTCGAATTCTCGCTGCAAGTTCTCTTTCTCGAAGCCATGCTCGTCATTGCGATCATCGTACATTGCCTCTTCCAATGCAGTTGTCGGCTTCTTTTGAGGTATGATATCGTCAAGAATGGCCGACACTTTGGCAAGCGCGTCCCTCAGTAGAGGCTCAACGTGGGGTTTCAGAGCTGAAGCACCCGAAGCCGCAGACCGCTCAGAGGAAGGCACGATCTTATTGACAGAGATCATAAAGTCCTTGGCTTGAACTCTGATTTGCGAGGGGTCAATAAGCAATTTCTTGTTGCTGGAGTAGATTTGAGGGAAGGTGCCTTGCACTGCGTTCAGGGCAGCTTCTGTGCACAGCGAACGAAGGTCTGCACCACCGTACCCTTTGGTCAAAGCTGCAAGTTGATCCTTGAATTCTGGTTTCAATGGCGGTTCCCATCCTTTAGTGTGGATGTCCAATATTGCGCGACGAGCCTTGATGTTGGGAAGCGGGAAATAAAACTCTCTGTCGAAACGACCTGGACGACGTAGGGCAGGATCGACTGAGTCGGGACGATTGGTCGCACCAATCACAATGACTTGACCACGACCGTCCATACCATCCATGAGCGCAAGAAGAGTGGCAACAATTGATGCATGAATCTGCTCCTGCTTGCTTGAACGGACAGGCGCAAGACCATCAATCTCATCGAAGAAGATGATACTAGGTTGTGTCTTTCTTGCCTCTTCGAAGAGCAATCTCAACTGTCTTTCAGCCTCGCCGACCCATTTACTGAGTGCATCAGCACCTTTGCGCATGTAGAACGTGACCTTCTTTCCGTGAGCGCTGACACTAGAAGCCAATGCTCTGGCAAGCAGTGTTTTACCGGTTCCGGGAGGTCCATGGAACAAGACACCACGAGGTGGAGTGACCTTGAACGTCTGGAAGATCTCTGGATACATGAGTGGAAGCTGGACCATTTCTTTGAGTCTGTCAATGTGGTCTTCGAGACCTCCCACACCGTCGAAGTTGACATTCGGATCGACGCCCAATGGGTCGGCATCGGCCAAAGCCTTCTTGTCTTTGACTTTTCCAAAGTTGGATAGACCACCAGCATTCGATGCGCCAGCATCGGCGTTGTGACTTTGTGGGAAGAGGCCGGGTGCCGCACCAGCGGTTGGTGTCATGCCTACAGCGCCTCCAACGCTCGCGCGAGGCATCTTCTGAGGCATGTCGTCGTCACTGCTGTCAGAGTCGGCTCCGCCAGCAGCTTCTGCCCCTTCACCACCAAAGACAGGCGCAGGACCGCCAGCGCCACCGAAAGGACCCAAGGTCGAGAACAGAGATCTCCAAGGCCCAGCTGCACGGCGAGCTCGCTGGGATGTCGCAGGTGCTACTGCTTCTTCCTCGTCTGCTTGATGTATTTCAGGTCGGAAGATGCGGTAGTCAGGTCGATTGCTTCTGTTGCGCAGAGTTGTGCCCTCAAAGATAATGTCATTGTGTCTGTTACGACGAGGGCGTTTGTTGCGACGCCTGTCTTCACGCAGATCATCAGCTTCGTCAGCGACTTCGTCGGGGTCGACGTGTTCCTCTGAAGAAGATTCACGCGAACGCTTGGTAGCTGTACGTCGAGAGCGTCTAAGACGACCACCACCACTACTTGAGTCGTTGTCACTCTTTTGGTTCTTCTTAGGTGAGTCCTGCAGTTCGTCGGCGCTGGAAACTTCTTCACCACCAGAAACTGGAGGTTCAAAGTCGCTGCTAGCTTCGCCCTGAGATTTACGCGTTCGCGGCCGCAGTCGTCGTTGCTCACGACCACGCTGTGGTGGACTTTCGGTCTTCTGCTGTGACTGGACAGAGAAGTCAGACGCAACCAAACCTTCTGGCAGTGTCACTTGGCTTACCCTCAGTTTGCGCTTGTTCTTGTTAATTGGACCCTCATCTTCGTCGTCATCTTCTTCTCCTTCGGCATCGACATCATCTTCAGCTGGCTCTGGTTCCTCCATGCGCACGTCCGAGACGAAAGGAGAGGCGGCCTCGGCTAGTGCGTCTTCCTCTTCCTCCTTGGGTGCGGGATCGGCATATTCGCGCAACTCTCTGTCAAAGGACTCGGGAACTTCACCATAATCCTGAGAGGCAGGGATTTCTTCTTGAGACACCTCCATGATTGCGCTGACAGTAGGTGGCGGCTTTTTAAGACCTTTGCTCCTTGTACTTCTAGCTGATTGCATTTGAGGATCGGGCGTGAAGGATGTCTGACGAGCGCCTTGTGCATGAGCATGCTTGCCAGAATCACCAAGGGCGACCAACGGTTCTTGTTGTTGCGAAGTGCGACTACTGCGTCTGGTCGACATGCCAAAGCCTTCGGCAGGTGTAGTACCGCGAACCGATACTCTGGCACTATTCGCCCTTGTTGATCTACGAGGATTGTTCATTGTTCCCGAGTCCCGAAGAATTTCCAGCTTTTCTGGCGCGACTTTAAGCTTGATGACGAACGAACGTGTGACCGGTGGCGATGGTAGGCGCGCGATGGCGTCGTCGCTTCCTTCAGCGTCTTCGTCGGATTCGGCGTACTGAACAGGGACACGAGCAGCCTTGCGTTGCTTGCGCCTGCCGGGGCCGGGCGAATCCTCCTCGGCCTCCGAGCCAGAGCTTTCCTCAATACTATCTTCGTCGAACGAACCCTCGTCGTTATCGTCGCTATCGTCGACAACTCCGTCACTACCGTAGTCGTCTCTTCTTTGGCGTTTGCGCGAGGGCTGCGACTTTGACTTTTTGACGCGGGCGCTTCTCGCTTTCTTGGGAGACGAGCGCACATGCGCGTCGTCGTAGTCTCCGTCGTCGGAATCACTCTTGGTGAAGTCTTCGGGGCGTCTGAACGAGCGCGGACGCTTGGGCATGTTGTGTCAAGCGGCGGGATGCGCGATGCAGGGTCCAGGCTGCCAGTGTCGTATGGGCAGACTCAGTGTCTCGCGCACCACTCAGAGGGCGATAGTATGCATATACCGATGCTGAAATGCGATTATGGCTGTCGTCGTCGATTACGCGTTGGCTGTGTCGGGATGCGCGTGCGCAAGTGCTGGCGTTGCGGCGAATGGAGGTGAGCTCAACCTCACGATCAGTGTATCAAACAAACGCGTCCTCTTCTGCACGACATAGAGCACGATGACAATGCTCTTTGATAAACTCAATTCATTGAATGATGGAAAATGATGGAAAGGGGAGAAGTGAATTTGGGGTGAACTCGATTCTGATATCCCAGTCTTGGCGAATTGTAACTCCAAACTTCATCGAGTTTCGTGCTTTATTTCCAAGCACAACCGGATGGACATTCCACAGTGAAAACAGATGCCAGATAGATAAAATCGAGGTCCAAATCAACAGTGAGAGATGGAGATGACCTCTCCTCGCCAATCCGCAACCCTCTAGACCTTCCCTAGCCTCGAAATCAAGTAGATAACATTGTACAGCATCCAGGAACCATATCCCCCTGCTGCCCCATCCATAGTTCCCGTCGATCATCCCCGCAGATGCCATGTGTCTGAGAGTAGGTTATTTCAACTCCATCCGTACCCATCAAGTCACGTGAGATCCGACTTTGCGAGGTCGTCCCATGCCCAGATGAGTCGGGTCGCATGCTAGCATGATGAGTATGCAGATTCCAATGTTTTTGGAGTTGTTCGGTCACTAGAAGGATGCAATCGAGCGGTAAATTGAATGCTCGTCAAGTCTTCCATTCACAACCCACAAACACGCCCCGCTGAGACGTCTCCACACTCTCCTCTCACACCAATTTCTGATCTGCGTGAATCACTTGAGAGCGTGAAACTCTTGACGTTATTTTTGTTATATCCTCATGTCCAAAATCTAGTCCATTGATCTAATGAAAGCTCAGACATGCAGGTAGAATGGGCAACGAGCAAACAGACAGCGGCTTGCAACAAAGTGAGTTCAGAACCTGTTAGCTTTCATTGCAACGACAATGTTTGCTGTTTGTGATTATAATATCAAGCGGAATTGTGGAATGTGAAGATGGATTTTGACGCTGGAAGCTTGCTCAGGGCGAGTGAGAGGGTGCGCAAAGGTCGGGACAACACGAATCAGGCTTGGGCGGCAAACTTTTTGGACGGGCAGCTAAACTTTTCGTGACAATTTTCATCATTCGTGATCACAATTGAAGCCATCAAAAATCAGAATAATTGTGGTAATAGACCTGATTGTCCATTGAAGATATCGTACATTTGCTGTATAGAACAACTGCCACTAGATCCAACCATGATCCAGCCTAGACGCCCTGAACACGCTATGCAAACCGCACGCTTTTTTCCGTCCGTCTCTAGCACAAAGAACATTTACTGAACAAGAAACGAAGGACATAGCCCATTATGGCGAGAGATCTAGTCTATGGACTATCGTGCCCCTCTTACAAAGGAAAGAATCAGCGGAAGCCGGGGATACCAGTGAACTTCTGGCCCTCGGGCAACTTGGGACTGCCGAAACCAACGTCAAGGTCCAGGATGATCTTGAGTGCGTTTCTGCTTCTCAAGTAAGGAAGCGGTGCCTTGGCCTCTTGCAATCCGGTTGCAGGCTCGAGGCTGCCACGAGGTCCGAGCTCGTGCTCCTCACCAGGAAGAGGAAGAAGACCTTGAAGAAGCTCGTAACCAGCGAGAGTAAAACCGAACTGAGGCGAAGAACGAAGAATACGAGCGGGTCCTCCCTTGAAGAAAGCGCGGAACCCTTCTTCTTGCCAGATAGTCTTGGCAGCGTGACGGAGCGACGTGTACTGAGTTTCTCCCTTGCGGGCTTCCACTTGCAGACGAGTCTTGATGACGTCGCAAGGAGTGGTTAGGTAAGCTGCGGGCATACCGGCGATGGCACCAGCAGACAAGAGCTGCAAAATACCTGTAGTCATACATTAGAATGTGTTTAGTCTTATGATGTTCATCAACTTACCGAGCTTCTTGTTGGGGCCTTCGCCGAAGTAGTCCTTCTTGAGGTGGTTGTAGGTGGGGAAGTAGATGGCAGAGAAGGGAACATCACGCAACAAACAGGCGCTGGCACCCTTGTAGAGACCGACCAAACCAAGGTTGCGCACAATCCACATGGCACTTCTCTTCTCGACCGCTTTTTGTGACTTGGCCACCTCACCCTGGATTTGTAGACGAATCTTGACGATTTCAAGAGGGTTTGTGAAGATGACCTGGCAAGCACCGGCGGTACCACCAGCAACGATCTCCCAAGGCAGCTTGATCTCACCAGTTTTGGGATCCGAAGCCTTTCCTCTGACCAAGTCGTTGACGGTCAACTTGATAGCCTTCTCGGGAGCCACACCAACAAGCTGGGGCAGGACACCTGAGTACAAGCCTCTTACACCCTCGTTGCGAATGACCTTGGAAAAACAGTCGATCGAGTTCTTGTAAAGCAGCTGACCAACACGCGCCTTACGCTGGTTCTGCATGCGAGTCTTGACCAAATCAATGGGGTAGACCATAAAAGCACCAAAGGCACCAGCAATAGAACCGAGGGCAAAGTGGTGTGCGGATACGAGGACATCGTGAAAGAATGATTTTGACTTGGAGACAACAGCGGCGGCAGTGTCAGCGGCAGCACCGGTGGCGGCGCCGTAAACTGTGTGGTGGGAAGCCCAAGAAGCATCGAGGACGCGTGCGAAGTCGGAGACACCGAGACGGCCAGAGGGTTGGTCCAGGCTGGCGAAGTGGAAGAGGATATCAGCTTCCATGGGGGTGAACAATGAGAAGCGAGTGATGCGAGCGGCCTCGTTCAAGAAGTCGGTACGTGTGATCTTGCCGTCCTCGGTCTTTCCTACAGCGTTGCGGATGACCAATTCGACGAGGTCCATGTCGCGGATGATGTTCTGGAAAGCGCGTACATTGGCGTATGAGATGTGGCTGCCGGGTGAGATGTTGCAGAGGGTCTGGAGGTTGGAGAGCAGGTGGTCGGAGAGCTTGTGCGAAGCAGTCTCGCGAATGATGCGCTCGAACTGTTCTGGATCGATGTAGCCGTCGCCATTCTTGTCGAAGTGGTGGAAGGCTTGTCTGATTCTTTCTCCTTGCAGACCACGCAGCATCTGGGCGAACTGCGGATAGGTCATGCTATGCCTGTTCTTGCGGTCGCCAACATACAGGGAGGCCCATGTTGAGTTCCAATCAAAGGGAATGTTGTCGGGAGAGCGGTTGGCAGCATACGCTTCCTTGAACGAGTTGAAGTCGACCACACCGGTGCTGGGGTCGCAAAAGAGACGGAAAGCGATTTCGTACTCGGCATCGGGCTTTGCGAGAAGGTTGTTGAAGGTGGCCCAGTCGGAGAGAGTTACGCGACCAGTCTTGCGGCGGTCGGCAATGGAGAAGAGGACGGCATACTGTGATCGCTTGATCTTGTNGCTGTGCAAGGTCAGTACTGACGGCAAGACAGAGGATTAAAACAGAGAGATGCGCACGTAGTCTTCAGACTCAGGAGCAATGGCGTTGACAAACTCCTCTTTACCCATGTAGTAGTCTCCAGACTCGGGATCAGTTTTGGCATGTTGCATGAACTCAGCACGCGTCTGGGACGAGAGCTGGGGCTCATCTTCGACGCCGAGCAGAGTCTCCTTGACCGTCTCCTTGATGGCCGCAGTAGTGGAAGCCATGGCTGCGAGATGTGACTGGGGAACACACTTGGGTACTCAGACGGACGATGACAGCTGGAGCGCGGACAGCGAATTCGGCGTCACTCGTCAAAGGATCCGGGGACGCACGGTCAAGACAGCGATCCTGGTATACGACAACGGTACCGGGGGTTGGAAAGTGAGGTGGATAGATTGGGAGCCTCGACTCGATCACGCAAAAGACAGAACAGTGATAATATACAGGAGACAAACGACGAACGGAATAGGCGGACCGGTTCTTCATTCAGGAAAAAACTCGAAAATGCTATGACAAGGCCAACTCGGGCCGGGGTACGGCGACTCAACGGCAACCTGCTTGGATGTAACTTCAGCCGAATATATCTCGTGCGGCAAATGCGGGCTTTCTTTTGCTTTTCCGGGGGTGCCGAACAGGGCGATTGCGCGCGCCGGAGCAGTGATGGAGCTGAAGAGGTGTCCATAGCAGTACGTGAGATTGAGCTGCCTCCATGTGCTGAGGACAGTCACACTAGGATCGCACCAAGAAATTTCATAGATTCACTACAACGCATAGTTCTGATGGCTCTCTCTGGAGTGGTGTCTTGTCCGGAATTGACTTTACATGTTTGTAGCTACAATATGACAGTCTTTAGCACACAGAGAGGTGGTGTAGTATTTCCAAGCTTCACTTCCAGAAGATTTCGCTATTCGGCAGGTGCAGTCAGAAAGGCGGTGAATCGGAGAGCTCGGGCCCGCCGCCAACGCCGGCAGAATAGATGCATCCGTCATTCAAGCAGTCGCACCCAAACACACCAAACAGCCATCCCACCATACAACCATGGCGCAAGCAGTAGAGCAGAGCCCCTACTTCTCTGACCGAAGAGCAAATGGCAGCCTGATCGTCTCGGACGCCCCAAAGTTCGACCTGGAGAGCTACGCCGCCAACTATGACCGTATGATCAAAGCGTCTATTACCACTCTTGCCTGAACTCACACAAGTCANGAACACACCCGAGTGAACCGCTTGAGCAACATTGCCCACCTCTGTCCGCCGCTAGCCCTCGACGCCCTCCACTTGGCCATCCCCGCCTCCAAGAACGCAAAGGACACACAGCAGTACCTGGATCTTACAAAACTGCTTCATCAAATCAATCCTGAGGATGCCCTGGCCGAGATCGACACTCCATGGGTCGAGAAGACCAACAAGTTGAATGAGCACGAGACGGAACGTCTGGAACATGAGCTGCGCGGCTACAAGAACAACCTCATCAAGGAGAGCATTAGAATGGGCCAGGAAGATCTGGGCACCCACTTCCTCAACATGAACAGGCTGGATCAGGCAACAAAGGCTTACCACAAGATGCGCGAGTTCTGCACCACTCCCAAGCACATTGCCGAGATGACGCTCAAGCTGGCGTACATTAACATTGTCTCTCCCAACTGGATATCAGCCGTCTCGACAGCTCAGAAGGCTCGCTCGCTGACGCTTCGTCCCGAGGACAAACCCCGCTTCGATTCTGTTTCTCAAGCATGCACAGGATTAGGCTACCTCGGTTCCGGTAACTACGGACCTGCAGCATTCGCCTTCCTTGCTGTCGACCCATCATATGCCACTGTTGGCCCCGTCGCGAATATCGACTTCTCCCGCGCCGTCATGACCGCAAACGACATAGCCGTGTATGGAGGTCTCTGTGCCCTGGCATCCATGGATCGCCAACAACTCCAAGATTCCGTTCTCGAAAACGCAAACTTCCGCAACTTCCTCGAACTTGAACCGCACATCCGTCGCGCAATTTCCTTCTTCTGCGGCGCAAAGTACAGTCAATGTCTCGCTATCCTCGAAGCTTATCGTACAGACTACCTGCTGGACATCTTCCTCGGCCCTCACGTCAACATGCTTTACCACCTCATCCGCAGCAAGAGCATCGTCCAATACTTCGTCCCCTTTTCTCAAGTCACATTGTCCGCTCTAACAGAAGCGTTCCCCAGACAAAACGGTACACCCCAAATGATGGAGGCAGAGTTGGTCGACATGATTCAACGCGGTATCCTCAATGCCAGAATCGACACTGTGGATCAACTGCTCATTGCACCTCCCAAGGACTCTCGCGCAGATGCCCATCGCGGTGTCATGGAGACGGCAGATGAAATTGAACATCTCCTGCGTCTCAAGTTGCACAAGATCAACATGGCACAGGCTGGTCTGGAGGTCGTGGCCCCAAAGGCATCAAAGGGATCCAAGAATCCTGTTTCTTCTTCTTGGGGCCCTGGTCAAACGCTTGGTTGAACAATCGAGTCTTGACCAAAAGCAGAGATGAGAAGGACTAGACGGTTCTTCCACATACGACGGCACGAACACTTTTTAGCAGGGGGTAAGGACAAGAGGTTGCTCTTCGATACAAACATGGCAATGCATAGCTCAAGGCGTTTTAACTCGGCGATATTAAGAACGAGACGAGAGCAAAGACGATTTACATATATCTCTCGTCTCTTCATTTCAGTAAATCAACCAAATAACCGACCCATGTCACACAATTGGGGATGCGCAAGGTGTGTGATGAAAGTGTGTGTTTCCTGTATAATATATGTCCTCATCCACTCTCCTCTCGGCGACGAAAAGAGTGCTAACCCAGGAAAGAAAAAAAGAAAAAAAAAGAACGCCCCTATAGACCGTAGATGCCTTCAATAAGCAACAACAGCGCCTGAAGTGGTATCATCCGCCATGAGAAAAGGCGCCAACCAGCCATCCAGTAACACCGCCTATACACCAAGTTGCGCCTGGATAAACAAAAGAAGACGATCAGTCCAAATCAATGGAGACTAGTAATCTCCCTCTCCAAAGAGCTCGCCTGCCTCACGGCAATATCTCGCTTCACCTGCTCCACCTCTACCACCAGTCTCACTGGCCCAGCAGACAACACTTGCATCTACCACACCACCGATGACGCCTTCGATGGCTCCCAGTACTGCCCATCCGATCGTCGCTGCTATCAGACCGACAATGTACGCGTAGAGACTGCCCTTGAAACCGCCGCCTGCCAGCTGCACATTGCGTGCTGTAGACACCCATCCACCAAAGCCGAGGGCAAACGACATGATGAAGCGAGTCGCATGTAGGAGCAGCTTGGCCAAGCGGTAGGGCATCATGGTACCGCCAGATCCAGGGTGTGCGGCAAAGACGGAAGGATTGAGTGTGGTTGTCGGCGAGGTGTTGGAGACAAAGTGTAGCTGAGACAAGCCTCTAGCGCTGATACTCAATGATTGAGAGTGAATGGCAGCATAGGTAAGCGTTAGAGGATTGGTAAGGGCAGCAAGCGAGGCCGGTACCATAGAGAAGGCGCACAGAGTCACAAGGCTAGCAATGCGTCGTGGAAGAATGATCAGGGGCAAACGAATGAGCAGCGATAAGAAAGTTGACAGGCAGATCGTGCCGAGCATCGGGCCAGTCGCATGCATGAATGAAGCTCGCACGACCGTGGTTGACGACGGCGCAGGCACACTAAGACGATGGAAGTACCACTGCGAGACAGTCGCAGCAGTCGTTGCCCTTTGTACACCCGCAATGATACCCAGAGTCCAGAGATAAATCATGACGAAGAAGAAACCTAGCCACCACGTATTGAGATCGATTATAAAGGTCTGGAGCTTCGACATGTGGCCACCCAGGAAGAGTCGTGTGAACATGCCCATCCAGATCCAGGTGAAGCAGACTACCACACCTAGTGTGCCGAATCCCAGCAAGGTCAGACTTGGTGAAGCTGTGACGATGCGGCACGCGAATTCAAGAATGCCAATTGCCTTACCGAGCGAGCGACGACCTTTGTAGACCGAATAGACCCAGACACAGGCAACAACTGCTGGGACGAAAGAAAACCAGCGCATGACCTTGTCCTGAACGCTGTTTCCATGCCATGCGCCTTTGTAACTCGAGATGAAGGGGTACAGCGAAAAAGAGAACAGAATGATAGGAACCGAGACGAGCATCAGGAAGACCAGAACGCGCACATACTCGCGGAGAAGAGCCAACCAGAGCATGGCGACGATTACAGTGATGACTGTGTCCCAGAGTAGGAGATTGATGGAAGACGTCAGAGCAGAGTAGATGGTGTCACCCAGAGGCTTCTTGGAGTTTGGCGATGAAGTATGGAACCAGACCAAGATGAAGGTCGCAAACATGGCAAAGACGCAAATCTTGTATAGCTGGGACCAAAACATGTCATGGCGTTGTGGCTCCGGTGCTGGGAGGATTACGGTTGGCGGTACACTATCGCCGTCTGGACTGGGCGGCCTCGGATGAGCATAGGCTATCTCGGGATCTGTCTCTTGCGGAAGAAATGTAGATTGTGGAGGAGGTACTGAAGGCTGGAATGTCTGGAACGCAGGTGGTCTGGCGTCGAGTTCTCTGTCAATGCTATCGAAATCCGAATAGTCGTCGTCGTGATCAGGAGAGCCAAGCTCGACGTCGACCATGGCCGACTTCTGTTTTGAAGCCGAGAGAGCAGGCTGTGAAGCAAGGGTCGAAGATTCGAGGTTGTGATCTTCAATCTCGGACGACTCGGTAAGGTGACTGGGGATGAAGTTGCGGCGAGACTTTTGTAGAGCTATGTAGTCTGCCATCTCACGCTCGTGTTGTGTCTCTTCGTCTTCTTGATCGAAGCCCTGGAACAGTGGCACGTCCTCATGTCGCGGACGAGAGGCAAAAGGAAAGCGAGACAGATATGAGACGGAACCCGAAGGCTGATATGGCGTAGGCATCGAGGTACGCTGGACGTAGCGAGAGGACGAGGCAGGCTGGCGTCGTCGATCGAGAGGATTGCGAGAGCGGGTATCTGGCTCATGCTGAGTGAAGGAGAGGCGGCTTTGAGACTGCGCCAGGAAGCGCGAGGCATCTGATGCATATCAGTCACGCGCCCTCGCCTCGCCTGGAGACCGGTAGCAATGATGGACTTACATTCAGAGAACATGACAGGCAGTGGCGGCACTTAGTCCAGGCCGCCGTGTAGCGATGATATGATATGTAGTGATCAGGAGTGGGATGGCTAGGGCCGTAGGTAGGATGGATAGGGCGGTGGATAGGACGATCTTGTCCGGACTTGACGATGACTCCGACGATAAGGGCAGGAAGTCACGACCGACTTGATGTGTAATGAAAAAGTCAGAGTCTACAGAGTCTCTTAAGCTCCCACAGACGGTGCCCTGGAGTCGAAGGTGTAGGTGTTGTAGAAGGGCACAGGCAGCAACGGGATTATTCGCAATAACCACTAAGGTCGTAAATGACGTTTCGGGACTGTCCAGGCGGTGTTGCAACTTGTGACGGGCAACAACACGTGCCCACTCGCGACACTTTCAGAGACCTGCTAGATCAGAAAATATTACCGAGAAGAAACCCGTCAGAGAACAAGTCGGAGATTTAGTTCGTTCAAGGACAGTCGCAGGTCAAAGACGACGACAGGCAAGTCCAGGTCGGGAGGGTCAAGCTGAAACATCCGCATTCGGGTGCTACAAGTAGGACAGCTGTGGGCCGTGCACAGTTATAGCCGTTCTTATCGCCGCGTCCTGATATTGCGGAGGCCGGGGCTCTAAGGGTTGAGGGTGGCTTGGAGATTATTGAGGACAGGTATTTCCACGACCTTTTCTTGTTGCTGTTGTTTGTCAAGTTGTGGAAGCACAAAGTCGCGTCAGTCATGTCTGCAGTACAGCAGCAAGCCGACCAGGGCACCAACTGGATGGTCAGAGCATCCGTCGCATACTAGAGCATACATGTCAGCTAACATTTCGCANNGTCGACCGCAAAGTCGGTCGCCCAGACAGTTGGTATCTTCATGTTCGTCAACTTTGCCATCAAGCAAGTCACTGGAGGCGTCCAACAACAGAAGCAAGCCGAGAATGCTCCCGCTCCCACCGTCGCCGCCGGTACGGGCCAACAGGTTCCTGCTTCCTCGTACAGCGCCATCCCCGAGATGATCATGCCTCTGTGGCAGCAAAACGCCTCCATGGACATCAACATGTATGTCTCGCCTTCGTTCGCCATGCCCGCCCTCAGCCAGATGCCCCAGGAATCCCTGGTTCTCCAAGAGCGCAACTTCCACTACGGAGACTGGTCCGACAAGCGCAAGGTCCATACCACAATCGCCATTCCTCAGTCCGTCCAAGAGAACGGAACTCTCTGGGCACACATCTACATTTCCCAGTCAGGAAGCGTTATGGATCCTACTCTTCCTGGCTACGACTCCTTCAAGGCATACCGCGTTACCAGACCCTTGACAAACTACCTGGCTAAGAAGAAGGCCCACAAGACTCGCAACCTGCTCGACTCTTCTGACGCCGAAGATGAAACCGAGGATGATGCCTCAGGTCCTGTCATCTCCAACTACTACCACCCCAATTTCACTCTTTCCATCATCCCCAACATTGGAACTCCCGTCTACCCTCAGATGCACCCAGCAATGCGCCAGTTCGTCTCTCTGGAAGCAACCAATGCCCGCGATGATTCTGGGAAAAACGCCTGGTACTACCCCGTTCTCTATCTCAACACCTTCTGGCAGCTTCGTTCTCAGATGACTGAGCTCAACTCGACCGTGACCGAGATGCCTCTCAACCTCGATCTGCAAACCGATCCCAATTGGAAATTCAGCATCATGGCAAGCATGGACGAGGGTATGAAGGAGAATGCCAGGAAGATTGCTCGTGGAGAGACCACCCCTGGAGGTGGTGACGGCAGCGAGCTCGAGATGATCAAAGAGGTTCTTCTCGACACGAACATGTACCTCCTCGGTATCACTGGATTCGTCAGTATTCTGCACATGATCTTCGAAATGCTGGCTTTCAAGAACGGTATGTGTTTTATTAGTACTTTCTACTCCTTGCTGCGCTAACAACCTTCCNNTGACGTGTCTCATTTCCGAAAGAAGAAGGACAATGTTGGAACCTCAGTCCGTACCATTCTCGCCAACGTCTTCATGCAGAGCGTAATCTTGTTATACCTGATCGACAATTCGGACAACACCTCTTGGATGATCCTCTTCGGCCAAGGTATGGGCATTGCTATCGAAGCATGGAAGGTTACCAAGACAGTGGACGTACGTGTTCGTGCTGCTCCTCAAGGCTCCCTGATCCCCTACCGCGTCGTCTTCGAGGACAAGCACAAGTTATCAGACACCGAGAAAAAGACTCAGGAGTACGACGAGATCGCTTTCCGTTACCTTTACATGGTTGCAGTTCCGCTCCTGCTCGCCTATGCCGGATACTCGCTCGTGTACGAGACTCACAAGAGCTGGTACAGCTTCATCATTGCCACCTTGGTCGGCTCAGTCTACGCATATGGCTTTCTCATGATGGTCCCCAGCTTGTACATCAACTACCGCCTGAAGAGTGTTGCGCACATGCCCGCAAAGGCAATGACCTACAAATTCCTCAACACCTTCATCGACGACTTGTTCGCATTCACCATCAAGATGCCCACACTGCATCGTTTGGCAACTCTGCGTGACGACGTCATCTTCTTCGTCTACCTCTACCAGGCTTGGGCATACAAGGTTGACCATACTCGTGTCAACGAGTTCGGTCAGGGAGGTGACGACGAGGAAGTCGAGGAGAAGAAGGCCGCTCAGCCCTTGAAATCTGCACCTGAAGAAGATGTGACCCCTGTCAAGACTGAAGCCTCGAGCTCTGGCGCTCAAAGCAAGGCTGGTGCTTCAAGAAAGAGAAAGTAGAATACGCAACCGACTAGTAGATTATGTGGATGTTGAATTGTTTGGGCACTCTAGCTTTTCATATACTAATTTTGAGCATCTGGCGGTTCATTGTGTCTGTATATAATATCTATCGTCATCAAACTATTCGAAGATACAAGAAGTCAAGCTGCGATCCATCGCTTTCGTCCCGGTCGCAATCCTCCTTCAATCAGACAACCACAAGAACTTCCATCAAGATATCATCAAAAACAGAATCATGCCTCCTACTCCCATTTCCAGCGATGCAAAAGGTAACACCTAGCATAAATCGCCAACCAATTAAATACTAATCTTTACAAAAGTCACTAGTGATGAACACGACACTACACAAACTGCGCTACCACCAGAAGTCGACATAATATGGCACAACATGTACGCCCCCAGCACTTTTATCACCAGGCGAAAACACTCCCGCCGCTCGGTAGAGGAACTCCTCGTCGACTTTACCACTCTGGTCAATCAGAATGTCTTTACCATTGTCAGTTTGAGTGTTAGCGAGGCTTCTTTTGTTGCTATTGTGGGTTGTGAGAGGGATTGGGATGAGATTGAGGACGATATTTTCAAGGCGACAAGGTAGTTTGTTGGAAAGCTGTGGTCAAGGGTTTGGAAAAGGGTATATACATTTTCTGGGGATGAAGGGGGATGGTTGTGAACTTCGAGTTTCGGTCTCTTTTCTTTCTGCGCTGGGTTTCATCATCTGCGTCCTCGTTCATGGGCGTCATCATACATGCTTGCTACGTCTCCTGCACGCCTCTACTTGTCATCATCGTCACGACCTTCTGCTTAGTCCATGCTCCTTATACTTTACTAGTCTTGTTTCTCAGCAACGAGAGATCTAGGCCTTCTGGGCAATGTTTCTGCGAGCCTTGACGGTTGCATTGTAAAGTGCATCCTTGAATGCGAACAGGAAAGCTGCAGTGATGACACTCTGAGTGACCTTGGGGCCGATACCNNTGAAGAGGGAGTTAGTACTAAATGCTGGTATTGTGATGGAGCTCGACTTACCTCCGTAGAGACCGGCCCAACCCTCTTCACGCAAGATTCTGGAGAAGCTGTCGAACATGCCCTCCTTCTCTCCACTGGCAACATGGGCTCTGGACTTGACTGTGATGTATGGGTAGGTAATGCTAGTGGCGGCGAGCTTGCCCAGAGCACCGAGGTAGAAGCTGTCCTTGGGGGTAACACGACGACGCTTCTCAAGCGACTGCTTCAGTTGCTCGAAGATGGTGTATTGAAGGATGGGGTTGATGACCAGCACGAGAGCTGGCAAAACACCTGCGAAGAGTCTCATGAAACCTTCATCCTTGATGATGGATAAAAGGGTACCGATAGTGCTAGGACTGAGCTGCTTCTTGGGCTTTGCGCCTTCCTCGGTAGGGAGAGCACTCTCGTCGCTCTCATTCTTGCGTGCTGTCATGCGAGTGTTGACCACCCAGATAGGGTTGGTGATGAGCACAGTTGCGCTTCCAGCAAGCGCACCAGCAAGCATGCTCTCCAAAGCACTGAGCTTGCTGGCATTGGGGCGGTTGGAAGCCTTTGCAGCCTTGATGAAAGCAGCGCGAGTCCATTCGTACCAGTAGTAGTAGACAAAGTTGGTGACGCTGATGCCGAAGAGGGCAGACTCAAGACCAGCATATAGACCGCGCACACCTTCGCGTGCGATGATCTTGCGAGCTGCTTGGAGCACGTTGGTGTCGGCTTTCTTGGACTCGACCTGGGCGCGTGTTGACAAGGTGATCAGAGGGTAAGTTAGAGCCATAGAGATGAGACCACCGCCCGAACCAGCTAGAGCGTGAGCGACATTGTCAGACTGCTGAGAAACTGCATCTGGAGGGGCAGTGGCAGTCGACTTTTGCAGCTCGTCCTTGACAGAAATGGATTGAGACATGATCGAAGAGCGTAGCAAGAGCTCGAGATACCACGCAGTAAGGGCAGCTGCTGTTTCTAAAGGGCAAATAAAAGGTATGATCGGATGTTTCAGGAGCTACAGCAAATGTTTCGAGGGTTGGATAAGGGGTGGGAAGAAAGAGAAGCCTCTTATGCCTGGATCAAGTTATTGTAACCAGGTGCGTCAGGTGTAGCTTTTACCTTGGAAGGGTCAAGGAGCCGAGGTTGCATTCCCCACATGTGAATGAACGAGATCGGCAACTGCTCAGGGTCTGTTTGACAAAACTCGTGACAATAGTCCGTTAAGTCTTTTAGAGCCGAAGCAAGGTGATGAGAAACGTGTCTCAATCGTTGGGGAAGATGTATAGACACAAAGCTGCAGCGATAGATTCGCTCTAGATCGACCATGATAGTGAAAGCCGCATCTCAATACCCTTGCACATGCAAGATGCACAATTGTTAATTATAGGTAGGGCTACAAAGGAAGGAGCTACCACGACTTTTGACTGCATATCTCACAATTTCCCCTTTCTCCAGATCATCAGCCAGAATCAGTCAATTGACCCGTTATTCGAACCTCTCGCTCACACCAAAAGCCGACTAAGTTGGACGTCACGTCTTGAAACCGGAAGCCAAAGTCCATCAATCTCATCCTCGGTCTCGACGTTTGTTTGATCGCAGACCTTCCTCGGCCCCTGGCCACCCGGTGACCTTCGGATATCCGAAACTCCTGGAGCTAGACCCTCGAGCTTGGAGGTGCTACACACTCTCTTGGCGAGAGCAAGTAAAGAAGAGAAGGACTGACGCATATGGCGCATAGAGATGTGTCCGAGGACGCGATGGAGAGCACTGGCAGCTCTCCAGCCTCGTCGGATGCCCATGGGGGCAGCATAAGCCACGACTATGATATGGAGTCAGCGAATGCGACACCCAACTCGCTCTTCACTGGTACTGCTGAGAGCGACATGCCCCATGACTCGAATCCTGCATCTCCAAGACATGTTGTGTCGCTGCCGACTCGCTCGTTTGCACCGCCCACTCGACGTGCTTTGCCTCACCGCGACGTGTCAGAAGAGAACATAGTCGACGCATATGCCGCCTTCATTCTGTACTGTAATCCGTATTTCCCGCTGGACATCGATACTTCTGATTTGAGACGCATCTTCCAAACACCACCTCGTAGCGATGGCAAAGATTTCAGTATATTCACGTTGTGGGGACTTGTACAAAGATTTGACAGCAAAGACATCAAAACATGGACACAACTAGCCCTAGAGCTGGGTGTCGAGCCTCCATCAGCAGAGAGAGGTGGTAGTGTCCAAAAGGTACAGCAGTACTCTGTCAGACTGAAGGTCCGTGTTATATTTTCCTCGTGCCCAAGTGTTTCACTCCGACTCACAGCCGTTCTANNGCGCTGGATGCGTGCAATGCATGTCGACGCCTTCTTCGAGTATCTGCTTGGCAAGAAGCATAGTTACTACCTGGATTTGCCTCCACCTCACGACCCTCACCCTTCTAGAGGTCGAGACGGTGTGCCCGCTGACGAAGATCTTGCCATCAGAGCATTAGATCCCTCCTTCCGTCCCAAGAGGGGTCGAAAGAGAAACGAGACGCCCGAGAAAGACCCGGCTCCTCCAAAGAAGCCGCTACTCACGACATCCTTCTCTTACGAAGGTAGAGTACTCTATGCTCAGCCGCAGGCATCTTACACTGCATCTGCAATTCCGCTCAGTGCCAGACCTGTGGAAAACTTTGCAAACGACATGTGGACACCTACCAATGCGACATCAAGGCGACCAATTCCGCATTCTGCGATAGCTGCTCGACCGCCGCAACATCTTCAATGGCAGGTTGGTGGATCCAACGACACGGCCACAACCCCTCATCCCATGTCAGCTCTCGAGCCCAGAGCACCGGGCCTGCCAACATATGACGAGCCGATGTCGGCCATTACTCCAGGATCTTCTCGTGGCCGCTCACGCAANAAGCATGGCCCTGCAGTGTCTTCTGCCTGGACGAACGCCACAGCGACAAACGCAAAAGCTCGAGGCAGGCCCCCAGGTAATCGATCAGTTCAGGATGGCCCATACACCACATTTCCAGCGGACCCGAACGCTGAGAGGTCAGCGTCGAGAAGCACTCCAGCTGTATCCTTGATGCCGTACGATACTGAATCGCATTTGCTCCGTCCCAATGCCTACACAAAGCCACTGCACAAACCTGTATTCATGATGTCCAACCCGGTTGACGACGCTACCCCACCGCGTCGACCCGAGCGTGGCCGTCTATCCTTGCAAGTGCCCGAGAATACTGGTGGACCAGTCCAACCTGCTACACCATCAGTGCCTACGAACGAAGACTTTGGTCAGGCGTCAGAAGATCGCATGCCCATGGACACCGAGCCCACAGCCTCTGTCTGGCCGGAACCACAGATCCGGCCTGCTTCACAGACACCCGCCGCTCGTCAGAATCAGAACCCCGAGCCTGAAGTGGGCCTTGCATACGAGGCGCTCAAGCGAGTTCTCGCTGCCGACCTCCTCCGTGCAGACTTCTCCGGCAGATCAAGCAGATTGTTGGGACCAGAAGCGATGCGTTTGTCTGATGCAATCCTTCAGCGTTTCGGCATACCCAAGGCAGATTCTGATGACAAGAGAGACGATGCTCTTCGTATCGCGGCGACGAGCTGGCTTGGTGTGTCACGACAACTCGGCTTTCAATCTGCAATCCCATGCAACGAGAAGGAAATTGTGCTGCAGAGGTTCGCAATACGAGATAATGGCCTTGAGGAACGCATCGGTCCAGACGAACACGCAGCCAGAGTCAAGGAGAAGTTTGACATCAGTTGGTCTGCTGGGTTTGGAGGAGTAGGTGGAAAGTTTTGCGCTGTCGGACTCGAGATTGAACAGGCAGCGATGGATCCAGATGATGCAGAAGATCGAGCGCACGAGATGATCAAGGAGGTTGCCAGCATGAAGGAGTCCGAGATTGACTACAAGGCAAAGTACATGGCGCTGGATTTTACAGTCAGGCTCATGAAGGGTCAACTGAATAGATTGCAAGACAAAGTGCTGGACGCTTTGTTGTGAATGTATGTATGAGATATCTCTTAACATTAATGAATATAGATTTATGCCCGCAAAAGATGTAATGAATTGCAGTCTCAGCATATCTGTTGTTATTCTAGAGTCCTTTAACGGAGTGTCCACTCAACTCGCTGCCCAGCTTGGGGTTGGTGCTGCAGTAGCATTCTTCTCCCACGGCTTCTTGCGTGCAGGGGCTTGTGCTTGAGTACCTTGACCTTCCAGAATGGTATCAGGGATATCCTTTATACCAGGTATTGGCTTGCCCTCTGCGATGAGTGCACATATTTCAGCAAAAGAGGCAGGCGGAGGAGCATCACCTATAGAAGGTGGATGAGCCGATTCAGTTGCCGATACAGATTGAGGCTCAGCGGCAGTATGATGTTGCGATTGAACCCAGTCTTGGTAGGCCTCGAAGCTGACAGGTGTTTTGAATTTCCTGGCACGTTATGAGAGCAAGTTTAGGGAGAGCATAGAAATGGACATGTGTCACCTTGTGTAGTAGTAGCAACGGGCTCGTGTGGTCAGATGTGCGGTCTGCTCTGGGGTCTTTGCAGACCTCAGAATTGATGCAAGAGCGGTCTGAAATTCATTGTCGTGATCCCAGTCGTACTTGTCCAACTGCTGAAATGTAGCCGTAGCATCACTTGTTGCTTGTACTTCTGCCATCTCGCCTTTGTTGATTCATGTGAAGTGGGGACAGGGTGAGTGAATGACGATGGATAGCACGCGAGAGGTCCGTGCGCGAGCAGTGAGTAGGTGTTGGTGCATGGCGGTTTGGATGGTTGCTGCCGCTCCTGTCTCGACCAACACACTTCTTCCTCCACCTGCATTTCTTCTTCCTGCCTGACTATACAGCTCGGGCTGTTATTCATACCTCGCCATGTCCGAATTCATCGGGTGCGCACGCCCAATCGAGTCCTGTCGTGTAGCAAGCTAGCTAACACTGAGGACAGATCGCGCATCTCCCTCATCTCCAAGAGCGACATCAAGTGAGTGTCCAAAGTCACCGAGTTACCAATTCACTTGGCCGAGTAAGCTGACTGTTGGTCGCGCAGATACGTCGGCACGCTCCACGAGATCAACTCGGAGAACTCGACAGTCGCTCTGGAAAATGTCAAGTCATTCGGCACCGAAGGCCGTCGCGGCAACCCAGACGACGAGATCCCGCCTAACGACCAGATCTACGACTACATTGTCTTCCGTGGAAGCGACGTCAAGGACCTGACTATTGTCGAGCCTCCCAAGGAGAACAAGCCCCAGCCTCCTCAGATGCCCAATGACCCCGCCATTCTCGGTGTAAGTTGCTCGCAATCGCCCAAGATACACTCATTTGCTATGATGAAACATTCCGGATGTAANACCATTGTCATTTTCCGAGAGCGCAAAACCATGTGGACACTTTCCGTTGCCTTCCTTCTGAGCCCATACAATACCACACAACTTCGACCTGCTTTCTCAAGAGTTGACGCTGACGTTAACTCATTCAGNGCCGCGAGACCCCACGGCGCACCCGGCGCTCCCCAAGCACCACCTTCAGGCCCTCCTCAGGGCGCCTTCCCCCAGCCCAACCAGCAGCAACAACAGCAGCAGCAGCAGTGGCGCGGTCCTCAAGGCCCTCAGGGCCCTCAACAACCCCACCCTTCCCTCCATACGGCNTACCCTCCTCCGCCCCAGGGCAACTCTCGTTTCGGTCCTCCCGCCGGTCCTCACGGCTTCCCCAACGCCCCTCCTCAGTTCTATGGACCCCCTCCCCCAGGCTGGTTCCCTTCCCCAGGACAAGGCTTTCCTCAGGGTCCGCCGGGACACTTCCCTTCTCAGCAGCCCATCGGCCGTCCTGGTCAGCAACAACAGCACCAGCAACAACAGCCTCAATCTCAGCAGCAGAGAGCCCCTGACGCTCAGGAATCTCCTGCTCCTTCAGAGAAGCAGACCGAGTCCGCCAAGGACACCGCCGCCTTCCCTCCCCAGGTGCCCGACCAAAAGCCCACAGGCTCTGCAGACCAGGCGCCTTCTTTCGAGACTTCCGCCCCTCCTCCGCCAATCGATTCGAAGCCCGATGTCGCTGCAGCTACCGCCCCTGCTCAATCTCAGCAAAAGCCTCCCACTGGTCCTAAGAATACCCGTGTAGCCGTTCCTCTTATTCCCCTCCACGCTAAGCCTGGCAACGCCCCTTCGAACTTGGTCCAGCAGCAACAGACTGCTACACAGACTGCTGCGGCCGCTGTAGCTGCCGCCATGGCCAAGCTCCCCATCTCGGCCAACACGCCCGTTGACTCTAGTGTCGATAACTTGGTAAAGCGTGTCGGTGATATGCGCACTGACGACAGAACAAGACACCCGCGCCAACCAAATGCTGGTGGATTCCCTGCTGGAAACCGTGGCGGCCGTGGTGGCAGACGCCCCAGCAACCGTGATCTCGCCAAACCAGTCGAGGTACCTACGACAGATTTCGATTTCGAGACCAGCAATGCCAAGTTCAACAAGCAGGATCTGGTGAAGGAGGCAATTGCATCTGGCTCTCCTTTGGGTACACCCACCACCGATGAGCCTAAGCATTCTCAGGAAGATGCATCCAACGGCTACGAAGCTCCTCAGGCCGAGCGCGAGGTCGTAATTCCTGGCGCCACCTACAACAAGTCAAGCTCGTTCTTTGACAACATCTCATCCGAACTCAAGGACAGACAGGCCGCTCAAGAGGATGGAAGACGTATGGGAGGCATGGAATTCAGAACCGAAGAGCGCAAGAAGAATTTCGAAACTTTCGGACAGGCCAATGTGGATAACGGATTCCGTGGTGGATACCGTGGTCGCGGTCGCGGCAGAGGATTTGGGCGCGGCGGCCAGCGTGGCGGTTTCGCTCCCAGGGGCGGCTACGCACCCAGAGGCCGGGGTGCAAGCTTTGCTGGCGAGTCTTAGGAGGGCCCCAAAAGCTTACAGAACGGAAAGAACGGCAAGAACCAATTTTCGAGTTTGGCAGAGGAAGAGGCCTAGAGTGCCAATTTCGAAGAACCTCGCGGACGAACACTGAAACGGTTTTGCATCATAACATAGCGAGGACGACACGTTCAGATGGCAGAAAATGATGGCGCATGGAACAAAGGGGACATGGCTGGGATGGACTTGGGGGCTCTGTGTTGTTTCATAAGGCTCTCACTCAAATGATAGTGGGAAAGCATGGAAAATGTTTATAGCGGTCCTCTTATTTCATCTTCTCAATTCCCTGAAGCATCGAATTTGCCTTCAAAAAGATAGAAAAAGAGGGTTGATACAAACCACGATCACAGGGTATGCTGCTGAGGTGGGGCGGAAGCATCTTATTGCTTTTGAACCCGTTCGACTGTTCACACCTGTATAAATTTTAAGCTGACATGATTTGCAGTTCTTTTTATACACGACCTGTCGAAACGTCGACCATGATTACACCCACATATGATCAGATTGTCGTGATGAGCATCAAATTCGTATCTCGCTTTCTAGTCAATAGCACTATAGCTTTGCCGAAGGAGCATCATTGTTGTGCAGATGATGTTCGCTCGTACTGATGATCTGACCGTCGCTCTCTCGCAACAGAGTTCCTCTGATCATCGCCATGCGAGTTCCTATATTCACAATCTAAGGAAGGTCACCTTGTCAGCATATACTCAATCACTCATGTCTCTAGTGCTACGCCTGCAAGTCATGAGCAAAACTTACCTCGGTCTCCAATCGCAAGATATCTCCTTCTTGGGCTGGTTTGAAGTAAGACATATTCAGCGTCCTGGATGTTCCGAGAATAGGCCAAAATCCAGGTCGAGCAATGATTAAGAGTGTCCAGCCTGTACATGTATCGTGTGCAGCAGCTTGTGCACCTCCTGCATATGTAGAGAACGCCTGTAGGTATTCCTTTATTACAGGGAATCGCCAGACGAGTCCACCTGTGTTGTTTCTGTTCTTTGTGGCGGCAACCAGCTCGAGATTGTCAAACCAGCGGACCATAAATTGGTTGGGGTCGACCTGTGTGAATGAGGTATCAATAGTGTGGTGGTATGTCACAGAAAGCGAGTTACTTACAGCTTGCCTACGACTCGATGAGTTTAAGTATTTTCTAAGGCCAGCGAGCAAAGTCTCGTCGCTAACTGATGATTTGGTCGAATTTTCAGACATGATAGAGATAAAGTGAGTAGTTGCTGGATAGTGGTACTTGGTATCTGATAGATATGCAGTATAGTGAGAAATCTCGGGCGTGTGAGCACATGAAGGAGCAAATTTGGTCATGTCCACTTATAGCACGACAACATATCAAAGGCTTCAATGCTCCTCTCACCTTATTAGTGCAATGCAGACTTACCGCATTAGAGCAACGCAGATGATGCATATGGATAATGCTGTGAGGGTCTAAGCGTAGGACGTTGTCTTGTCGATCGATTTTGAGCTCAAGCTATAAAAGTTTATTCACTAGTCACCTTTCCACCGGTATACCTATCTTTGGCAAGCGTTCCCAACGTCCTTAGATCGTCTCACCATAGATCTGCGTTAGCTACGCACTGACGGTGGCATGTTGTTGGAGGGTTTTCATGTGATAATGCTAGCCAGGAAAGGCAGTGACGATTGTCTGTCTCGAGCAACCTGTGAATGACGTGTACTGATACCTTGTATGGTTACACTTAAACAACAGCTGTGTTCTTGTGAAATTGTACGATAATTTCCTCCAAGATCATTACAACATACCATCACATTGCCTGATATGAACGCACAACAATCGTCCTTGAAGCCTGTTGCAGTTGAGGGTGACCCGCGTATTCGCCGATGCTCAGCCAACATTAACGGAAAAACATACGGTAAGTCGTGAATACCAAGTGAGTAGTGGGCAGAGAATACTGACCGTTGCAGGATATTTGTTAGCAGAGCCCGGAGAGCGCTACACAAAAACATGCTTCTTGATTCATGGGTTCCCTGACCTTTCTGTCGCATGGCGAAATCAGATCCCAGTGTTCCTTGAGCTTGGTTTTCGTGTGATATGTCCCGATTGCATTGGTTACGGAAGATCTGTAAGAACTCAACATTGTCAGCTACCAGAGACTATACTTAAATCTGTATAGTATACTACAGAGGAAGGTCTCGACCCTTACACTCTCAAGTCACACGCAGAAGACTTCCGCCAGCTCGCTATGGAGTTGTATGCACCTGAGATCATCGTTGGCGGACATGACTGGTCAGAATACAGCACATCAAGACTATCAAATTTCTATCTTACTGAACATTCGCAGGGGGGGCCGCTNATAGCCTGGCGTATGGCATTATACTTTCCTACCTTCGTAACTCATCTCATCGCAGTGGCCATGCCATACATTCCACCTACCCCATCATATATCGACTCCGAAACCATCAGCAAAGCCGTTCCAACCCTGGGATACTGGCGTCAATACACCAGCGGTGATATCGAATCACACACTCACGACAAGGAAGAAATAAGAGCATTTCTGAATGCAGAGTACTGTGGTACAATCGCTGATGGGAAAATGGCTTTCGATCCTAGAACAGGAGTGGACTTTGAGTTGGCTCGACAGCTGTCGCCGTCACCATTGATGAGTGCTACAGAAATGGATTACTATGTTGACGAGTACCATCGGCAAGGACTCCAAGGANNCCCTGTAAGTTTGCTGATACTCATCTCAATCACGGAAAGACAACATTAACATTCTCTTCTACCAGGCAATTACTATCGCACTCGTCAGCAAAACTATCAAGACGAGAAACAATTCACCAAGTCTGCGGAAGCGATGAAGATTCATTGTCCAACCTTGTATATCCATCCTTCGCAGGACATGGTTATCTCGAAGGAAATGACCAAGCCAATGCGTCACCTGGTGCCAGATCTCAAGATGGAGGAAGTCAATGCAAACCATTGGGCACTATTGGAGAGACCCACCGAGGTCAACAGTATCTTGTCGGTATGGTTGAAAGCCCAGTCTGAATCATGAGCTTGTTTTCGTACGTAGAAGACCAGATTATTATAAAAGTGTAATTCAGCATCATCGAATGCTCGCTTTCGGTTCGTGTCAGTATCATAGACTTCCGTGACAACATGATGTATCACCATTCAGAGATCATGTAAACTTTCTAGTATCGCGTAACTATCTATTCATGCCATAAGGTGCTCAGAATTGATTGCGATGATGCCTCGATGTGACAAACTATATATGATAGAACAACAATCTAGATGCTTCCCTTATAAGTCTATATCTCTAATGTATGTACTTGAAAGAACTCGATCACAATTCCATATCATGAATCTCATCATGATCAGACCTTTCGTCGGAACTGTAGATATGGTCCATCAACCACAGCAACCGCGAAACCCTTGAGGCGGTATTCACAATCTGTCTTGTTGTCTTTACCGCCACAGCAGGGGGCCTTGGGAGCAACACGCATGTCGTACGAGAACACCGTTCTTGCGAGCGTCAGGTTTGTCTCTGTCCATGCTAACTTCCAGCCAACGCAAGTTCGTGGTCCTGTTCCAAATGGAGCGAATGCTTTGCGAGCCTGCTCCACCGAGCCAATGGCTTCTCCTTCATCATCGAGCCAACGCTCAGGGTGGTACGTGTCTGGATCTGGGAAACAATCCGGGTTGCGGTTGATGGCATATTGCGAGCAACCGAGAACGGCGCCTTCTGGCATCAATTCGCCGTCCACGTCGGTGCCGCCTGCTTGAACGTAACGCGGAAGCACGTTTGGGACTGATGGAACCAGACGCATGGCCTCGTTGATACATGCCCCAAGATATTTGCACGAGTCCAGCTTTGAGCCGACTGTGATTTCGTCTTCATGAGCGAAGGTTGCCTGTAATTCTTCGAGCACGCGTTGACGGCATGCAGGGTAATGAGCCAAGTAAAAGAATGTTGCACTCATCGCAGTGGATGTAGAATCGGATCCNNTGTTGATAGTAAGTACCTGGAACACGGATAAATAGCGCGTGTACATACCTGCTACTAGAAGTAACATCGATTCAGTCCAAAGCTCCTTCATCTTGAACTTTCTGCCAGACTTGGGATCCTCAGATTCGATCATTGATTGAAAGAGATCTGGTTTCTCTGAGTCAGGACCCCTCTCAACTCGAGCTTTGGCACGCTCCATTGCCCAAGTCCCGACTTTGGTGATATCACGATATGCAGACGCCAGGAAAAGGCGGTCTATCTTGAGTTCGTAAAGCTTGGGCTGGATCACACACTGGAAGTCTCTGTTAGCCTATGTTCTGGCTGTTGGTGTTTTTGATTGACTTGCCATCATTCCACGCCATGACATCGCTCGGATTGCCCGGAAAAACCATCTGTTTTTAGAGGATCCCAACATCCCCATGGGTTCCCCGTAGGAGAAGTCGGTGATCACATCGAACGTGAGCCAGTTGCAAAGTTCCGACACATTGATGTTCGGGCCCCAAGAGGCTTCTGAGTGCTTGGTAGATAGATCGGTAGCACGATCTGCAGTCATTAGGGTTAAGAATTTATTGACGTGGGCGAGTAAGCGGGGCTCGAGTGATCGCAGGTTCTGATCTGAAAGAAAACGTGTATGCACTTTGCGCTTGAAGTTAACGTCGTCTTTCTCGATTGCACTCATGGTATTCGTCGTTCTTCGGCTTGCACTCATGGCCCCGTAGCCTTTGTCTTTGCAAACGTTTGCTTGGCGGCCATAAATCGTCTGCATCGAGGTCGCCGTGTTGCAACAAAGCGAGTTAGGACCCGTTCGTATGATCGGTCCTTGACATAGGTTAGTCTTGTGCTATGGAGATGAATCCGGAGTATGATTCTTACCATATTGGGCATGCCACTGGCGGATATGTAGGTGCAAATCACCCCTGCCGACCAGCGCTGAAGCATACCAATTACTCAATGCCGCTGCCTTAGGTCCAGGATATTTAGACAAGGGATGGAAGTATAGGC